GGTTTCGAAAAAAGGTGGGGCTTTGGGAGCATGGCGAAAATCGCCATCACGCCATGGAAATACGTTTGCCTCTCATTTCTTAAGTTATCGAGATATCACCTCGAAATTTGTTGTGAGTGATCCTAGTCTGACCCCCAATAGAAATGGACAGCTAAAATTTGTGGGCGTGGCCAATTTTCTGAAATAGCGCCCCCTAGGACCATTAAAACTGTCAGCCCCAAGCCATGCTTTGACTGAGGATTACGAAATTTGGTACACTAATGTGGTGTCTCAGGACCTACAAAAAAGTCTCTTGGAGCCAAGGGCAAAAACGCACAGGAAGTCGGCCATTTTGGTCCAAGTGCGCGATTTAGTGGTTTTCGCACACGTTGTTTGGAGAGTGATGCTCCGTCGCCCTTTTCACCAATCTCCTTCAAACTTCTGCTATATACTCTTAAGACATAGGGGAAAAAATTCAACCGTCGGATTTTTCAAAAGTTGAAAGATGTGGGCGTGGCTAAGCCTCAAACTTTGACCTGTCGCCACGCCACTCTTTTTTCACAGCTCCCTACTGGACTCCTTTTACCCAAACACCAGGATTCTGTGGCAAACAGCAGTAGACAAGTTGAGGTTACTTTGTCTCCAGTACTGGCAGGTTTCGAAAAAAGGCGGGGCTTTGGGAGCATGGCGAAAATCGCCATCACGCCATGGAAATACGTTTGCCTCTCATTTCTTAAGTTATCGAGATATCACCTCGAAATTTGTTGTGAGTGATCCTAGTCTGACCCCCAATAGAAATGGACAGCTAAAATGTGTGGGCGTGGCCAATTGTCTGAAATAGCGCCCCCTAGGACCATTAAAACTGTCAGCCCCAAGCCATGCTTTGACTGAGGATTACGAAATTTGGTACACTAATGTGGTGTCTCAGGACCTACAAAAAAGTCTCTTGGAGCCAAGGGCAAAAACGCACAGGAAGTCGGCCATTTTGGTCCAAGTGCGCGATTTAGTGGTTTTCGCACACGTTGTTTGGAGAGTGATGCTCCGTCGCCCTTTTCACCAATCTCCTTCAAACTTCTGCTATATACTCTTAAGACGTAGGGGAAAAAATTCAACCGTCGGATTTTTCAAAAGTTGAAAGGTGTGGGCGTGGCTAAGCCTCAAACTTTGACCTTTCGCCATGCCACTCTTATTTTCACAGCTCCCTATTGGACTCCTTTTACCCAATCACCAGGAATCTCAGGCAAATAGCAGTAGACCACTTGAGATCACTTGGTATGCAGTACTGGCAGGTTTCGAAAAAAGGCGGGGCTTTGGGAGCATGGCGAAAATCGCCATCACGCCATGGCAATACGTTTGCCTCTCATTTCTTCAGTTATCGTGATATTGCTACTAAACTTCTGGTGAGTGATCCTATTCTGACCCCCAAGAGAAATTCACAGCTGTGTTTGTGGGCGTGGCCTATTTTCTCAAATAGCGCCCACTAGAGCCATTAAAACTGTCAGCCCCAAGCCAAGCTTTGACTGAGGTTTACGAAATTTGGTACACTAATGTGGTGTCTCAGGACCTACAAAAAAGTCTCCTGGAGCCAAGCGCAAAGTCGCACAGGAAGTCGGCCATTTTGGTCCAAATACTCGATTTAGTGGTTTTCTCACACATTGTATGGACAGTGATGCTCCATCGTCCTTTTCACCAATCTCCTTCAAATTTCTGCTATATACTCTTAAGACATAGAGGAAAAAATTCAACCGTCGGATTTTTCAAAAGTTGAAAGGTGTGGGCGTGGCTAAGCCTCAAACTTTAACCTTTCGCCATTACATTACATGACTTAATAACTCCCAAGTGCATGAACAGATCTATTTCAAACTTTGTCTGTGTGATCACTGACCACATCTCAAGACAACGACAATGTGGACAGCTGACATCACCTAAGCCACGCCCCCTGACAACAGGAAGTATATTGTTTTATGGTGAAATACCCATATTTGTCCCATCTAATTTAGTGAACATGACACTAAGGTCATACACTGTCTTCATGATGTTGTAATGACCATTCAGATCTGATAGCTTTCCAGAAAGGGAGGGGATTTGATGCCATGGTGAATGCTGGCATGACGCCATGACCGTATATTTGACTGTAACTTCCACAAACGGCCTCCGATTTGCCCGAGACTGAACATGGCAATGAACAATCATGCCCTTTAGCCAATGAGGCACAAACGGTTGGTGAATGTTATATAATGTCACCAAAGCTGACCTCAATGGGACTTTTCTGTAGTTGGTCACAGCGCCCCCTAGATAACGTTATCCTTCAAAAACTTTAAAAAACATGGTCAGAATAGCATTAAAGTTGGTCACTGTCATCACATCACCAGTGTGGTTAAGATAGAGGATTCCCTAGTGGTGAGACATAAAATATAATGGTGGGCTCAAAGGGGATGCTGAGTCAGGGTGAGGTGCGGACGAGGTGGCCGTTAGCAGTTTCGGGTGTCGGGGTGGTCGATGTTTCTGTTTCGCAGACGTAGCCTGGTGCCCCGGGCTGCCGGCCAGGCCGGAGCGGCGCGGAGCTGCGAGGGCCGAACGACGCTGCTTGCAGCTTTAATTTCTCTTGTTTTCCTCCACAGCACCTAGATTAGCTCATTGTTCGTCAGTAAGCAACTTGCTGTTCTAAGTGTCATTCCTCATCAAACACCAGCCCTTAAAATGATGTGGTCTAAAAACACCAAATGACTTATTAATGCGTTTTTTGCTAAAATGGTGTTTTGTTTTTTCCCCCCCTTCATTTCAAGTAGAAACCAAAGCACACTTCAAACCCAGAACCCAGGATGTGGAGGTTTAGACGACAGAAATTTGTGATGAGCAACTCTTAAAATATCATGTCAAATATTTTCTACACGAATGTGGCTTCAGTTTCCTTGTAAGGATAAAATAAACTACAGAGCAAATCAGTCGAATGATTTCATTAGAACTCGTTTTTCCATACATGAAGGTTGTGTCAAGATCCAAGGCATGAAGTAAATAACGTCTTTATAGTGCTCACTGTTTTACTGCTGTGTCTAGTCTGTCCAATAGTAAGAAAAATCACAATCTCCACTTTTCCTTTCCATTTCTAGTGTTTCACATATTAAGCTGGAAAAGCTTGTAGTGTTTGTAGTGATTAATCATTGATGAGTTGGTTTCTTAATGTTTTTCTAGAGTGGCTTATGTGTCAGGGTGGGGCTAGCTGTTAAGAAGTGACTCAGTTTTGAATATAAAATCCCAACACAGCACCTCATAGCAATCTGTTTCTTTTGAAAGGCATAATGGGCCAAATGAGGCTGGTCCATGATGGGAGATCATTAGGATGTCCTCATCTACCTTTTTAGCTGTAACTTTATCTCTAACAGTGTTGTGTCACATCATACCATACGCCGTCAACAGCTTTTTTATGAATAAGAAGTGTTATTGCTGCAATATATAAATCATCAAATACAAAAATTGTTGGAACTAAATCGCTTTTTCAAATGTAGACCTAAGATTTGATGTGGTAGAAGTCCATCACAACAGGTACTTGACACGTCTCACCTTTATGTTAATGTTGTTTTATTAGACGCACTCCACTTTGAACTGCACCAATCCAGCAACTGCTGCATTGTAATAACTAGTATTAAAGGTGAACACACCAATATTTGCACAAGAATAATTTTTGTTTTAAACTCTCAGTGACATACTTTGCAGGGGGGATTTGGCATTTATTTTTTCTTGGCGTCTGGAAAAACATCTCCTTCTGCCCCCCTTTGAATTTCTGCCCCCTTTATTTTGGTCCAAGATCATTACTGGGCTGGCCCTACCCTGCTTAGTAGACTTAATGAAGTATTTTTAAGCCAGTATAAAAACAACTGAAACACAAATTTACATATTTGGCATTACTGACCAATATCTTTGGTTTAATTTATTTAAGAAAATCAAGATGAACATTATAAAGTAAAATTTTCTAGTGCAGAGAGGAGACAACCCATAGAAGCACTGATTTGATCTCATTTCAGAGAAAAATAGAACAGGTCAGATACACCTAATAAATAAAATTACTAACAAACTCAGGAATCTTTCTTTGCTTCATTGTTCTGGTGCTGAAAATATCACTAATGCAGATCAAAGGAGATACACAGATGAATGCACCTCTTATTTATTATTTGGAAATTAGTGGGTGTGGTTTACATCAATACATTATTTTAAATCTGAAGCTGATAAAGATTGATCAGAAGTTGCTATGTGTGTTGTTTATTAGAAAAATATTTACAGAGCAGCCTCAGAATTGAGATGAAATGTTTTTGATCACAATAGCAAAAGAACTATTACAGAACAAGTTTTTCACTAAAATCAGAACATTAATGTTTAAGTGCATGAATTAATGCATCTGAACTCATGCATTAGGAACTAGGAAATATGAAATACTAGAACCATTTTATTTTAATTTGATTAAACTGATTTTTTTCCTAATGTTGTTGGCATTTTCCCCACACACAATTGAACAAACCAATGTTGATTACCAAGCTGCTACATCCTTCTCATTCTTGTCAGGTTTCTAGTCTGGGTTGTTGCAGAAATCGAAAGCAAGTTAGAGATCCATTTACCCTCGGTTGTTTTGCCGAGTTGCCATCTAACCTTTTGCTTTAACCAGTGAGTAGTCAACATGTTGAATAATAATTTATTAGCATTCATTGACTCTGGTAGGAATTGTTTTATTATGCTGAAAAAGGTCAGAAAACTAAATGTTTTGTTTTGAGAAATCACGTAGTGTTTTATGAACATTTAGCTCCTTTTTATCCATCACGTCTTTCTGTGAGCATGTGGATTGTTTCTAAAGCACAAGATTGTGACAGCTGTTTGAAATACTTCAGGATTGCTTCGGAAGCTGATGAATGTGATGGCTAACGTTGTGAACAATTATTTTACAGATGTTTTGAATCTAAAATTACAAAGAAAGAGTATTAAAATAAACTAATAATGGCTTCTTTCCTTTATTTTTTTATTTTTTTGTGCAGCAGTGCCGAAGCATACTACATCAAGACGGTCCTTAATCATAACCACGCCTCCATCCTTCCCCGTCCCTATTTACAAACAATCACAAACACCAGTCTTCAGCGATGCCAAGGGAGGCTAATCAGCCTGTCTCCTGCTCTGACAAGCCCCGCCTCCTCACCTCACACCCTTGAAGCTGTGCTCACTAAGTGTTGACCTTTGACCTCCCCTGTGCCGAGCTGGGAACCAAAGGCCACCTGTTCTCTTCTGAAACCGGGGACACCCTCCTGTCCAGCCAGGAGCTGCAGCCACCAGTGGCACTCAGAGGTAAGCAGTGGGGGTGGGTGGGGGGGGGGGGTAGGCATTTGCATTCCCAACTGACTCCTTCTTTATGAAGTACTGAAGGCAGCTGTGCATTTAAACGGCTACAGATGTGAGCGGGTGTTTAACCCTCAGGTCTGAGGGACCTACTACATAGTTTTTATGAAATCAGATGAAGCAATAAAGTTACTTGCACAGACCCTCCGCTGCTTCATAGTCAGAAAACCAAACTATTGCCTTAAAGGGACGTAGTTTTTTTTTTATGCATGTAAACGCATTAGTCTGGCTAAAGCACCCACATAATGCGGTAGAAACTCAACTTCATCTGCATGTAAATGACTCAGTCGAGCTGATGCCACGAGACCGTGGAAGTAGTCTTCTGATAATTCCATTGTTACAAAGTAACATGTGCTACACCATCAAACAGTACAGTATCAGCTGTGCTGCCGCGCCGTTGTCCATTGCTTCACAGCCATCGTTCATATCCTGTTTTAACTCTGTCTGGCTCACTCCCGCCAGCATTGGTTTACTATTTGGGCAGCAGTCGCTCAGGAGGTAGACCGGTAATCAGAAGGTTGCAGGTTAGATCCCGGCTCCCATCAGACAATGCTGCTGTTGTGTCCTTGGGCAAGACGCTTAAGCCTCAGGCTTCACTTTATTTTACTATACACTTGAGTCTTTAGAGGACATAACGTCCGCTGGTAAAAATGGCTATAAAAATGTATACAATAATATTTTTCTTCTGCTTTTTTTTCATCCTTCTGTTAAACTACTTCAGCCCTCCATCATTTTTAACACTTCAAATGCCAGTTTGATTACTCAGTCATTTCTGGAATTTATGGAGGAAAAAACACAAAAATGACTTATTTTCCCCCAAAAACAACTGTTTCTTCCTGGGGCATTTATTATAAATCAGGCTTAGTCATGTTATGAAATAACTGAAAAATAAAAAAAATTGCATCCGTAGTTTTTGTGTAGCAACAGATTGATCTTGGCGGACAAAAATGTCCCATTGACTTCCATTCAAACCACAGTTTTTCATCCTGTAACATCTGGAAAAAGTAATCATGCTTTCTGTGATATTAGTGTTTCATTTTTCACTAGTGAAATTTGTGATTTTTACTGTTCTTCACCAAATTCAGTTATTTCTCCATACGTGGCCCAGGTGAGAAAGTCTACACATTTCTTTAGATCTTCTGTTGTTTGTATTGAAGTCAAAAGGTCAACCTGACCTCTGATAAGTAGATAAAACACAGTTTGACTCTCTTACTGAACTTCAAAGTGTAGAAAGCAAAAACAATTGGTATGTTTATGCACGTGTCTGGAGCTCCAGCCAGGTGCATAAACATACTAAACTGTGGTTTGAATGGAAGTCAATGGGACGTTTTTGTCCGCTAGACTCAAGTGTATGGTGTTTTTTGTTTTTTTCTTCATAGTGTTCACTTGGTTTATTTTCAAAATTCCAAATTGAATTTCGAAATTTGTCCAGGGAGGTGTTTTGCAACAAAGATTTGTACCGTATGGTACGGCTGAACGATCTATCGTTTTTGGACCGAAATTGCGATTTCAAACAGCACGCTCATGTGACCGTCAACGCTACGGTTTTGGAGGTTTTGACTGATCCCGGATCAGTTTTGTAACTTTTTATTTTTTATTTTTTACATCTGGGGTTATCCCCCTGTGTTATGTCGGCGGCAAAATCCAGCGCGGGGGAGGGGAGTGGGGTGTGCCATCCAGAGCAGAGCCCAACTCCAAAGCTGCCAGAGCTGCATGTTCAGGTTATTGTTCCTGTTTTACGTTCACACACACAGCGCTGCTAGAGCCTATAATAATGGGACCGAAGGTGAGCCTGGGACAGAGAGAGAGAGAGAGAGGACGTAGGGGGTAAGGGAGAGAGACTCCTCCCACATTGGAGCAGGTTCAGGCTTATTTCTAAAGCTTGGTTTATGCTTCATCAGCGCGAGTGCGGAGCCGCGCACTTTAGTTGACTTGAAAGCTCAACTTATCTTTTAAAAATGGTTTGAATGTTTCTGATGGCACACGTTAGCTCAAACAAGCTAAGGTGTCAGAATGCTTGTGTCTCTCACGGAGTTGACATTTTAGTGAGGAAAATCAGACGACTTTGAAAAACGTGCAGCCAGCCTGTCGCGGTAATGCAGGGAAAACTGTGTGCATTTTTTTATTTAATACATTTAAAATCTATGTTTACTTACAGATTTCCTCCATGCATTTTTGGATAGAACATGTTTTGTAAAGCTCCTCTCTAGATATAAACTACAAGCACAAGTTGCTTCACAAACACATAAAAAAATGTAAAAAAAAAAAAAAAAAGATAATGGGAGAATATAATGGCTAACTGTTTTTATTGTATGATTAAATAGTAAATATTAATGTGAATGATTTGTTGTACTAGATTAGAATCTAGACCATCTTTTCACCTAATCTACAGGGTGGCTTGGCAGGCTAATGCTGGATCTTTGTTTGCAGAAAATCGTGAATTGAACCGAAATCGCAATTTCTGCTAGAAAAATTGCAATTCAGTCTTTTCCTAAAATCGTTCAGGCCTACCATATGCACAAACAATGGTGAAATGGCATCCAAAAGAAAAGCAAAAAACTGCCCAAATGGACAAAAATGTCCCTAATGAAGCCTGAGGGTTAAACCCACCTTTTCTGCTGGTGGTGGTCGGAGACTGGTGGCGCCAGTGTTTGGCAGTCTTGTGTCTATTATTGAACCTCAGGGCAGCTGTGGCTACATTGTAGCTCATCACCACCAGCGTGTGAATGGGTAGATGACTGATTGTGTTGTGAAGCGCCTGGGGGGGGGGGGGGGGTAGAAAGAACCCTAAGAAGGTGCTTTACAAATGCAGGCCATTTACCGTTTTGGTGTTGCTAACCGGAAGAATACCGACACAAAAGGGCGCATGTTGCCTCGGAGTGGAGCGAACTTCATTTGAGAGTTCGGTTTTCTAATGTACAAATAAACTAGGATAATGGCTCCCGGTTAGTTGACTTTGATAGACCTAGCTCGAGTTAGTAGTGCATCTCTCTGTGATGGCTGCTATTGTGTTTATACTCGTAACCAGAAGTCTAAAATAAATGTTTGTGTCGTAAAATATTTTTATTGGGGTGTCAGTCATTTATTACAAACTATGGTATGGTACATAATTCTCAGAAATTATCAATCAATGAAGTCTTTAAATTCTTATATTATCTAAGAAATAACTAGAGATTTAGTAACAGAAAATACTAGTCCTGCTTTCCTTTAAAGCTGTTTTTCTAAACTCTTCTGACTTTAAACCTTTTTTATTACTGTATATTTATTCCAGCTGTTTCTAACATCTTCTCACATTGTTTTCCATCTCTGCTTCCCTTCGAATCTTGACAGTCTCCCGCTTTCTTTTTCCAGGCATGGCTCCCATTCGGGATTCCGTCAGCCACTCTCCTAATCAAACAGGTGACAACATATTGTCTTCTTTTAAAAAATGCTCCTCCTTTGCATTTACTGCTCTGTCAAAGTGCTTTACTTTTGCTTTCTGCATAGAAAAGATCCAACCTGGACTTGACCTTGTCCAGTGGTGTGTTGTACTCCGCTCTCGTCAGTGAGACTGAAATGAATTCATGAAAAAGTGTGTGTTGAAGGGTGCATAAGAAGACCTGGTGCAGGCATGAAGTAGTGGATAGTGACTGAAAAATAACAAAGGCAAAGCTAAAAACACCATTATTATGGGCCTGTGTCCTTTTAGTTCTGTGGCTCATAAATAAATAAGTTATTAACACACTCAAACACCTGAGTGTGATTTATACTTCTGCGTCGATCCTGAGACATTCAACGCCATTATACGTTGGCGCAAGGGCTCTCCAACGGGCTTACAGATTGAGACATGCCCAAAATATTAAACATCTGTTAGAAGTGAGAGACCGCAAGCTTGTGATTGGTCAATTCAATTCAATTGTATTTATATAGCGCCAAATCCCGACAAGAGTCATCTCAAGACACTTCACATAATAAACATTCCAATTCAGGTCAGTTCATTAAGCCAGTCAGGAAAAATGTTTCCTATATAAGGAACCCAGCAAGTTGCATCAAGTCACTGACTAGTGTCAGTGACTATACAGCAATCCTCATACTAAGCAAGCATGCAGCGACAGTGGAGAGGAAAACTCCCTTTTAACAGGAGGAAACCTCCAGAGGATCCTGGCTCAGTATAAGCAGCCATCCTCCACGACTCACTGGGGATCGAGAAGACGGAACACACACACACACCACACACCACACACACACACAGACACACACACACACACACCAAGCAATGTGTCCATGGTTACACCGTGATTGCTTAGTAAATATTCTATTTGGCGAGAGATAAACTTTCTTGTATTTATCCTAGTGAATCTATTGTTAAGCGGGTAAACTAGTAGTAGCACACCAACGTCAAGGAAAGCAAAAAGTTATTATCAGGAGAGGGAGAATGTTTAAGTGGTTAGCAGCAGTGTGCTAGACGATGGTCCCCTCCATGAGGCCACCACAGCTCAGCAGAGCATCGTTGTAGCTTCTTCTGGGGAGAAAAACACTTAGAGAGAAAAAATAGTTAACAGCTGAAATTGCAGAAAATAATACAGTTAAAGAGCAGATTGTAGAAGAAAGTAGTAGAGTGTGAAAAGTGGTCAGTGTGTCCTCTAGCAGTCTAAGCCTATAGCAGCATAACTACAGAGATAACTCTGGATAATCTATCCTATTTAGATGGAGGCATGTTGGAGGCAGGACAAGGGAGAGCCGTCTTTACCGACTCTACACTCCACCTCCCTGTACTCTCCCACTTGTCCAGATCTAGGCTAACATCAGATTTTAACCATAAGCCCTATACAAGAAAAATGTTTTAAGCCTAGTCTTTAAAGTAGACAAGGTGTCTGCCTCACAGACTAAGGCTGGGAGTTGGTTCCACAGGAGAGGAGCCTGATAACTAAAAGATCTGCCTCCCATCCTAATTTTAGATATTCTGGGAACCACCAGTAGACCTGCAGTCTGAGAGCAAAGTGCTCGGTTAGGAACGTATGGAACAATCAGATCACTGATGTATGATGGACCTTGATTATTAAGAGCTTTATATGCGAGAAGAAGGATCTTAAAATCTATTCTGAATTTAACAGGCAGCCAATGTAGGGAAGCTAAGACAGGAGAGATATGATCTCTCTTTTTGATTGTCATCAGAACTCTAGCTTCCTGTAAATTTGTCAACAGCTCCATTAAAAAGTGAAAAGACATATAGCGGTAGACCCAGAACAGATTGTAATGAAAATGAAGGACAAATTTGGCCGTGTTGTAAAGTCTCTGAAATATATAAACACATTAGTAATCGTGGACTGGATACATGAGTGTTAATGTGGCAGGATACCACAGAACAGCACTACGCCGTCAGTTGTCCTGGCGGGGATTTGCTTTGCAACGCTTCGCTGCCTGAGCAGAAGTTCGCATGTGAAAAACTTTCCGACACTCCGTGTACGTCTCTCTGTTGCGGAGTTGGCGGTCAGGTGTACATCAGGCTTTACCTGAAAATCACTATCACTAACCTCGCGCAAAGTTTACTTTCTAGAATCAACTGAATTGTTGCTGTGAAGTTGCTTTTTAGTAAATATGGCGTAGTTGAGAGTAAAACCTGGTTTTCTACTGTGAAGATGTTGTTTTGGTGCCAGACCCTGAGAGTGGAGGAATACTATAGCGCTTAAGATCTCTGTGGCAGAATGAGTGTGTTTAAAAAAGGAAATCATTATTTTGTGGAGTCTGTAAAGTCTAAATTTAGAAACATGTCAGGTCTGAATACTGATGATCTCATTCAGTTAACATACTGGATGCCTCTACCTACTCGTCTTTGCCAACGACTGCCGTCACTTCCTTCATCCTCCCTCTTTTCTGATTCTGTAACCATCCGTCTCAAGCCCTCCAAGCTCCCTTCCTGCTGACAGTCGTCATCCGCCTCATTGAATCTTAGTTAATAGCTTTGGCAGGCATCCGAGTCCTCCAGTGTTGACAAAATGGTGACAGCTGTGTCCGGACTTAGGCCTGGCAGTAGCAACACACGTAGCATTTGGCTGGAGTGAAAAGCCTAAATGCAAAAGAAAAGCGTGAATGTGGGGTTTAACGTAGAATATACGTTTACGGTATGTAAATGGAATTTTGCTTGATGTAGGACCTTTAAGTGCAGCTGTTTCTTCTGGTTCTGGGGACATGATGAAATTTTTATGCTAATTTGTTGTACTAGAGATGTAACCGATCTTATTTAAAAACGGCATGTTTCTGTTAATTTAACCGCTGGGTCTACCTATTCTCAGGTTTGGAGCATCCTGGCTTGGACTCGCAGTATGAACCTTCTCCCTGGTCCTCCGGCTCCCCGTGCAGCAGTGACACGAACAGCAATTGGGGCAAAGTCTTAGTGGACGGAAGTACAGACAAATCCCGTAACGCTTGTTCAACCAGCTCCTGTGTCTGGCCTCCTTCCTCTTCTTCGTTTTCCTGCTCTTCCTCTTCGTCATCTGGCTGTGGTTCAGGATCAGATCCTGAGTTGGCGTCAGAATGCATGGATGCAGATTCTAACTCTTCAGTTGGCTCAGAGAAGAACCTCAGCACGGTTGCCACAGCAACAGTAATGATGATGTCGGCAAATGCCTCTTCCTCTGTGTCTTCTACAGCTTCGTCCCCCTCTTTCTCTCTGGTGACTCCTCCCATGATGGTTGGCGTTACTGTGAATGGAGATGGCAACAATCATCTGGGTGGAGGTGTGGGAACCATCAGCAGTGCAAATAATGGAAATATTATATCTGGATCCTCACACTACTCCATGGCTGGGCCCAACAGTATTGGCAGCAATAATATGAGTAACCACAACAACAAACTGGTCACCACCAGTGGTGTCTGGGGCTCCCAGCCAGGCAGCAACATGAATACCACAGGCAGCAGTAACACCTATATCAATGGTGGGTCAAACCCAAATGCCAATCATGGTTCCTGGCCTCAGAATCCAAGTCCAGTGAGCCAGAGGCAGGCTCAGGGGATGAGCTCCAAACTGGGTGTGGTTCCTCAGCAGGGGTCCTTGCTGGGCTGGGGTGGCATGGCAGCCCCAGACAGCAGTATGATAGAAGACACTGAGATGGATAATGGTACATTTAGCAGCAAGGTGTTGGGAGGCAGCAACAGTGGAAGTGGTGGTCTGCAGCCTACCAACCTCAACACTGAATCCAATGGACCAAATAACACTATCATGATGAATACTACTACTACTAACACCACAGTGACCTCTAGTCCACTGGACTCTACCACCTCACCCCAACTAAGCGGGGATTGTTCCTGGGGTTCCATTGGAGGAGGAAATGGGGGGCCGTTGGCCAATGGAAACTGTTCATTAGCTCCCCAGCACCCCCAAGGAGATACTGGGGCCTTTGGTAGACCTTGGGGCGCAGCTGCTTACCCTGTAGACAAGGGTCCCCTGAATGCAGACACTGTGAACCCCCAAATCTCCTCTACTGCTGCTTTCAAGAGTAATAATAACCACAATAACACTGGGGCCGTACAGTGGGACCAAGGACCCACCAGTAACCCAAACCAGCCTCAGAGTAACTTGTCCTGGTGCGTTGGCTCTAATCAAACACCGGGCTCTACGGGACAAACACCAGGAAACGGAAACCCAACTACAATGGGTCCTCCAGCAGGGATACCTCGACCCTGGGGGAGCAGCGCGTCCTCTTCCTCCTCCTCTTCATCATCTTCCACATCTAACAGCAAGATGTCAAATGGAGAGTGGGGATCAACAGCTCCTTGTAACAGCAATTCGGATGTGGGAAGTCAAAAAGGAAGTTCAGCCAATAACGGCTGGAAGAGCCTTGAGGATGACGCTATAGGCATGGGTGGAGCAGGGGGTTCTGGGGGAGGCCAAGGCCCGGGAAGCGTCATTGGAGGCTGGGGTCGCTCTGGAGGAAGTGAAGGCAGCGCAGAGAGCTCTGGGGGTCGGTCCAGCTCAGACAGAGACAACAGCCAGTCTAAAGGAGGAAACCGCAGGAAAGTTATCCATACCACACCAATACCACCACCTCTGACCCACGCCGAAGTGGACCCAAGGGTTCTGTCCAATACCGGATGGGGACAGACGCCCATACGGCAGAACACCGCCTGGGATGTTAACACTCCTGCAAAAATCCAGGATCTCAGGAAGCAAAGTGGCGTAGGCTCTGGCTGGAGCACCGCAGCCCCGGCAGCTCCATCCCAGAACTCTGGAGGTAGGAACGTCACGTTATTGTCTTAAAAGCAAAAGCTTAAATTAAAAAGCCAGCAAGAAAATAATCTGTCTTGTTTGATTTGCTTGTAGGTTGGGGGGTTGGGCCCAGCAGCTCAGGCCCAGGTAACGGAGGTTCTGGCTGGGGAGAACAGAGACAAACATCTGGGTGGGACACTAAAGGTCCCTCTAATGGAGGAGGTGGAAGCAGTAGCTGGGAGGATGAGTCCAGTTACAAGAATAACAACAGTAACACCTGGAACAACAACATGAAAGATGAGAGGTAACTAATGTTTTAGTAATGATAACAAATCCAACTTTAAATGATTTTCAGGTTCTCTGATCACTGTGGTTCTTTGTTTAGGTCCAATACATGGACCAATACTCCTAAGGTGCAGCAGGGCTGGGGTTCCGGGAGTGAGTCCTGGGGCGGGAATGTCGACGGTCCCAGATCGGGGTCCAGCAAACACTGGGGAGAACCTCAGAAAGGTGGAGGTTCAGTGGGCTTGGACAGTGACAGTGACCGGTCCGGCTCTGGCTGCTGGAGTGAGCCAAGCAGAACCAACACCAGCAGCAGCAACGCCTGGGCTGGCAGTGGAGGGTCAAATGCTCCCGACCAGAGCACTCCAAACCCGGGCTCCAACTGGGGAGACTCGGCCACCAAACCCAATCCTCAGAATAACAGTAAAGGCTGGGGCGAGCACGATAAGAACAACCACGGAGCTCAGAACTGGAGCGAATCCGGTTCTAAACCTTCCAACGAGTGGGGGAAAGACCCTGAGCCCAGGATGTCCAGAGCCAACCAGGGTTCTAACAAGCCCACGGGTACCTGTAATTTAACAAATACTATCTTAAACAACACTTTTAGATAAGATGATCTAATGTTTTCCATTTGGTCTTTATTAGGCTGGTTGGGAGGTCCGATGCCCACAGTGGGTCCCAAGGAAGAAGTTTCAACTGGATGGGAGGAACCTTCTCCGGAGTCGATTCGTCGGAGAATGGAAATCGATGATGGAACTGCAGCTTGGGGTGACCCTGGTAAACTCCACCATGATCCTTAAGAAGAGCCTCGCTATTGCTAGATGAAAAGAATAATCAGGTCATCAGCTTTTATCAGATGACGTTATGGTTGCATTACTTGGTGTTTAGGTAAATACGGCGGTGGATCTGTCAACATGTGGAACAAGACCTCTCGCTCCGAGCAGGAAACCACGGGCCCGCCCCAACAAAATCAGCCCCACTCTGCACACAACTCCGTTCAGCCCATGCAACATCTCAACCAGGACAAGAGCTCCGGTTCGGGTAGGCTGCAACTACTGCAGATACTAAACCCGGTTCATGTAATCAGCTCTCATGCCTATGATGTCATAACTCCAACTTCAGGGGCCAGATTTATAAACCTGACACAAAACAAAGCTAATTATTAGGTCATTTTACTAAATGAGTCACACCTCTTGTGTTGGTGTATTCTTCAAAGCAACACTAAATGAGTTTCCTTCTTCTCTGCTCTACTGGTTGAAAGAGGAATTGAACCTGTCATAAATAACCCTGCTGCAACTAGCGCAAAAAAAAAAATACAAATGCTAACACGAGCCAACTGGTAGTAAAGTAAGACACACAGTAAAAAGATTCACACAGTTGAACAAAAAATGTTATTACTTTCAAGTCCAATAGCAACAAAGCCAGGTCGCAATCGGCCTATTATTTTATTACCACAGCCTGCTCCCTAAAACTATCGGAGGCAGCGTCACAGTTCACTCTGGTTTTAGCTCTTTGCAGGTTTAAAACATTAGTGTTAAAAACTAGGGCTGAAGGATTCTGGAAAATAATCTAATTGTGTTTTTTTTTCCTTCAATATTGCAATTGCAATTTAATTCACGATTATTTTATTTTTCAACTAACAGAAGCAAAAAAAATCTATGTAACTTGTACTGAATATAAACAAGTTTATGAATCTACATATTTATCTACCTATCATATCAACAAGTATATTTGTCTACATATACATAAATACTCACAAGTAAAAACTAAATTTTGTATTTGAAGGTGCAATGCTTTGCAGCCAGGAGCACATCCCTTGAAGGAGCATAGGTATTGGCGTCAACTGTGAACATTTATTTTCAGGAAAGAAGTGTGCCCCGTTTATTGAAGTCTTGTGTTTAGAGTTTTTGACGTCTTGTCCATACAGAGCTTCCGTAGTTCAGTTACGTCCATAGCTGCTAGCCAAAACTCTGTGTAGTTAAAGTCTCTTACGGTTTTCTAGTTACTGAAATATCTGTCTGTACTTATTTGATTGATGGCAGTTTTTACTTTTTATTAAGACTCCAAATGTAATCATTTGACACGTAATCTGCGATATTAGCGTTAGCATCCCTATGGGTTTTTCCACGTATATTAGCATTGTGCTAACCACTCGCTGCCAGTCAAATCGCAGCCTTTGCAATTAGAAAATCTCCTTTTGTCACATCTCAATTTAATTGCATATGCAATAATCGTTCAACCCTTTTAAAACCCCTTTAGTGCTGCTGTAACACCCAAACTAGAGGCAGACTGATATGTTTTTTTAAGGCCGATGACGATTTTTAAAGGATTTTGTTGCCAATGGCCGATATATATATATATATATATATATATATATATATATATATATATATATATATATATATATATATATATATATATATATATATATATATATATATATATATATATATATATATATATTTGGCACAGCGCGTTGCCCCCCCCGAGCGCAGGAGCTTGTCACCTGCTGACAGCAGGCTGCTGTCTTTTCCGAGGACTGCATCTTGCCGGTCATTATCACGTGACAGCGACTAGTCGATGACAGGCATAAAAAGTCACTATAGTGAAGTCGACTAGTTCATACAACCCCTATATGGTCCCCAGTGTTCTGCAGCGCACGTTCTCTTTGAACTTGATATCAAATTTTCCCCTCCTCTTCGTCTCCGCACGGTTAAAGTTACCCTCGCGGTCTATCACTGGCAAATCAAAAGTGAGACGATGACACAACCGCCCCCCGTACTTGCTTGTTACCACATTCCACCCGGCCACAATAAGAGACCGCCCATTATTCACCTCCGCCGACTCCGACACCGGCCAAAATATGAGACCCGGCCGTTAATTGAATACAGGCCTGTATTAGAGGATTCACGGTATACATATATATGTATATATATATATATATATATAATCAGCCTCTGTATATCGGTCGGCTTCTAATGCAAACAAAATTATTGGATTATAATAAAAACCAACCATTTGGTGTTTTAGTGTGTATTTTTCATAAACCAGACAGCTCTCTAGAAGACGTTGCATGTGCAACTAAAGCATTAATGCCAGGACCACCTGGTATTTTCTTGGTTGTATCTAAAAACCTTCAATCTGACAAACCTTTAGTCCCTTTGTTTTTTCTTGTTGCTTTTGTGTACCAGATGCAATTTTCCTTTCATCCTCCTATCTTTATTTATTTTGTACTTTTTTTGTTGTTGTGACAGTTTAATTATTTCAAAATATATTTAAGTCTTGACATGCACATATTTCATTGACATAAGGTGTAATTAAAGCGGTTTAGTAATTCAAGCACATGTCTGCTGTTTGAAGAGTTTGAGCCTTGAAGGAATCTTCTGTTTCTACAAGGATACATTTGGAATCAGGCAGCAATGTACACAATGCTGTGCAGAGTTTTCACAGGATAAAACCGATCCCCGCCTCGGGGCTCGTTGAAAGCCTGATGAGTCATTCCTTTGGTATGCTAACAGCATCAAGTTTTCCTTCTCTCTCCTTGATCGTTTTTTCTGGTTCACTCGCCACTTGTAAGAGAATCGCACACACTTTTGTTGAGTTTCAGTTGAATTGAGGAAGAGAGGCCATGAGGGGCAACGGGGGATGTTATTGGGTGTTCAGTTAAGGTTGAAAACAGGAGGCGGCTCTAGTGTGGAAAGAGATGTAGGCATGGAGGAGTTGTTGGTGCTCACGGGGGAAGTAGTGTTTGGATGTGTTGAACTGAAGTCTTCTGTGTTTTTGTTGATTCTATTTGAAGTTATTAAAGCCATACGATGAAACTTTTTCATATATTTATAACATTTACTTGAGCCAGTATGTGCTAAACTTACCCTTTACAAGGTTAACGAAAGGACACTCAGACCCAACCCCCCCCCCCCCCCCCCCCCCCCCCCCCCGGCTCTCTGTGGCCAGAATACCACACTTGCAATATCCGAGTTGCCAGTCCAGTCCCTGTTGGATTTAGTAAAGTGGAGCTGACATGCCTTGTGCTGCAGTCTGGTTCCAGCATGTTTCCTGCATGTGTTTCATTTAGTGATGAACCTGTAGACACTAATGAAGGCTGTGGAGACATTTCAGCTGTTACATTAACTCATTCACTGCCAGCCGTTTCCTGATCAGAAAAGCCCTTCGCTGCCAGCGTTTTTCAGCGTTTTCACAATTTGTTTGTTTTTTTTTAGAGCCACAGAACGTTGCGTTCTATGATGATGTCAACGCCAAAACTAGCAAGACAAAAAGTAGACTCACCCCTTACATCAGGAAGTATCCGCACGTTTCAAGAGTTATCCGTTTTTTTCATAATCCGTCTTCGAATTGCGATCGGCAGAAGCTTTTCCGGTTCGCGCCTCAATTTTTTTTACAGCAGAGTTGAGGTGTTAAGGAGATAAGTTTCACTTTTGCTTTCACTAATGGACACTAGGGGGTAGGGCTGGGCAATATATTAACATTTTTAAAACATCGATTTAATTTCAAACCAGAAACCAGATGACTTTATATCGATATAACTCGACTAGCCACTATGCTAGCAACTAGCTTTCTCGGTCTCTAAGCGGCCATTACCTGTATTGTCACAAGTCTGCTCAATCAGAAAATCTCTGGGTCAATGTTCTGCCCAAAACTTTGCATTTAGCTTTGTGGCTTTTAGTATTTTGGAGACGATCGTGTGTGTTTTAGTGAGCCTTTTCGCCGTGGCTGCCAACCTGAGCTTTGTCTTTGCCAAAGCCCTCCCTCTGACCAATCAGGATACAGCTACGGAGAGCAGTGAGGTGCAAGTTGAGAGCGTAATAAGGAGTGTAATCCTGACTAGAGGGTGCATGAGATAAGGACGCATCATGAATTTAGCTTAACACGATAGATATTTTTATCACGACAAGAAATAGCCAGAGAGTCCGAGTCATTACAATCTGATCGCTGATATGAATCAGTACTGTCAGATTCCAGCCACGTTTGCCCCAATAACTAAAAACTGCACGCTGCATGACCCCACGAGTGTAACCCTCAGTAGATGCAATCACGTCATCAATTTAGCGCAACGTGATTGATTTTTTTTCTCTGTACAAGAAATAATTTCTTGTAATATTTTGAATATGAAATGGGTCACCTCTAGATATACTTTTAATTATTCTACATTAATTATAAATATATAATAAGTGCCTTGAGACATCTCAACTGAGATGGATGGGTAGATACTTTATTGCAGACTCATGGTCCAGTTTATGTTGAAAACAGTTAGAAATCCCGTATAAAAGTGAACCATGCAAGACACATAAAGATATGAACCAATGTGTGTGTGTTAACAGACAGCTGTACCAGTGTTTCTAAAGCTCAGACTGATGGAGAATGGGCACTAGGGCTGGGCAATAAGTCGAAAGTTTAGCGTTATCAACATTTCTGACATATCAAGATCATTTTTCCCATGTCAATAAACCTGATAATAAAAAAATGAAAAGATGTATGTAGGTTGGCTACGTTCATGTCCCTTTAAGAAGCTGTACCACCTGTGACTGGACGTAATTCATGTGACAGCCCCATCTAGTGGACAACTTTTGTTTCTGCGCACACCTGTAGTTATCGTCCATTTATCGTTATCGAGGCAAAGTCATCAATATATCATGATATTGATTTTAGGCCGTGTCACCCAGCCCTAATGGGCACTAAGGTTAATGTGTGACAAGAATAAATAAATTTCTATGCATTTAACCTGCAGATTAATTTATGGGTATATTTTCTCAAGACCGAGTGAAGGAAGTTGACTCGTAAATATTTTACGTGAGGAAAAATGTCGAATGCATCTCTTTGTGCTGCGTGGTGTTTTGGGCACGAACTTGCCCACGAGTGTGTGCAGACCGACAGAAGGAACTTTAGAGCCCGTGGCTGCCCTATGATCGGTCCTATTTTTACACAAGTGTCTGCAGCACCTCCCCCAACTCCTCCTGTAGAGAGTAAACACAGTGGGTTCGGGTGGTCGGCTGTAACCGGAGCCTTCTGGACCCAAACGGGACACGCGTGTGCTCACATGCGCTCTTAAGTGAACACTTATGTAACCAAACTAACGCGAGGTTTCTCAGGAACGGGGGGGGATTATCGTTGAAATAAAATCAGCTTCAAGTCCTGAAGTTTTATGTATTTATTTCTACCAGAGATGTAAAAATAATGCCACAACTGAAATGAGTGCCTCTCACCAACAGGTTGGGGTGAAGACTACAGCCAGCATAAGGACTCGTCCTCGTGGAGGGAGCCAGCAGCTGGGCCTCCTGTGACGTTGGACAACGGGACGTCTGCTTGGGGAAAGCCCACGGACAGCAGCGCTGCCTGGGAGGAACCCAGCAGGAAGAGCCGGGAGTCCGTGTGGGACAGCCAGCACAAATCTGGTAACGGCTCTGAGTAGAATCCTGGGGCTGCACGGTGGCGCAGTGGTTAGCACTGTTGCCTCGCGGCACGAAGGTTGCGGGTTCGAAACTCGGCTGCGGCCTTTCTGCGTGGAGTTGCGTCTTCTCCCCTTGCATGCGTGGGTTTCCCCCACAGATCACAACATGCCCTATAGGTTATAAGTTGTAAGTCACTTTGGATAAAAGCGTCTGCTAAATTAATAAACATAAAATAAAAGGATAGTCATTGTTTATTTCCAGTCATGCATACTGCAGTGTTGATGTTCACCTTCTCCATGTCTGCTTTCTTCAGGGCCCAAGCCCATGGAGACGTGGTGCAGCGATGTGTCCATGAGCAACAGCTGGGATCAGGAAGAGGAGGTGGAGATCGGAATGTGGAGCAACAACCAGCAGGACAACCGGTCCCACGACCAGAACACCTGGAACTACAAGCATAAGACCTCCAACAAGGTTCGTCTCATCAACCCGCACATTTCTGTACCTCAGATGTTTATTTATTTATTTTTTTTTACCTGGTGATGAACGTTTGTGCTTTCCAGATGAGCAAACCCGTCACCAAACAGGATGACTGGAGCAAACCTTTAATCAGCCAGTTCAACAACATGAACTTCACAGTACGTATACACTTAACTCCCGAGCAGAGGCTCTTCTCTCTGAACGAGAGTGAAGGGGAAACACCTGGAGCCAGAGCAGGTGTCTGAGCGTTGACTCGTGTTCTGTGTAAACATTCGTTAAGGTTTCGGCTCGGTCAGAGTTCTCATTAGCATATCAGGGAGTTCCTACTATTTGACCTCCTCTGTTTTATCTTTGACCTTGCAGAGGGACTCTCCTGACGAGTCCATGAAGCTGGTGTCAGGGATGGCAGCAGACAAGCGCATGGACACGAGCAGCATGGACTTCAACGGCGGCGTGGGGAAGAACCCCGGGTCCCGACACCAGTTCCACAAGGAGTCTGCTGTGGATCGTAGTCCTTACTTTGACAAGGTAGACGGCACCTTCAGGGCCTTCTGGGTCGTTCTCTGTCTTGTTGTGCCCTCTGGTGGTTGTTCTAACAAACTGCAGGAGTTCTGTTTTTAAATGACTGCTTCTGGACTAGTAGCTGCTGTTTTAGTGATGCGAGGTGGTGAGACGGTGTTAGTCATGCTTGTTTGGCTTTGCTGCTTTTGCTGTGACACAACTGCTGCTTGGTGATTCCTTTGTTTCCACTCTTGCACCATAAATGTTCTCTTCTCACCCACTGTCCCAGTCTTTCTCCTCGTCACTTTCCTCCTCTTGCTGTCACTTCACTTTTATAGTCATTTTTTGTTTCCCCTCCCCGTCTTTCTATGAAGCATTAATTGTTTTCTCGTTTCTCCTTTCCTCTCTGTCATCTGTCTGGCTGCTGATGTGCTTCCTGTCCCTCTGTGCTTGCCGTCCATCTGCCACGCACCCGACCTTTGCTTCTGCAGCTTTCTACCTATGATAGCCCAGCTCCTGACGAGCTCTCCTCCAGTCAGAGCATGGGCGTGTCCCCTAGCCGCTCCGCTCAGCCTGTCCCCCATCTCGGTTCTGGGCCTTACCCGTCCCGCTCTAATTCTGGGCCTTCTCAGCAGGTGAGGGTGGAAGGACAAGGAGGTGTTCTTCTTTAGGTCCTGAGCCGGTTGCCAGACCCAAAAGCAAAATGTTTTATTTCAACTCTTTCTGGCCTTTTTGGTTTTAAATGTTTTGTGACTTATTTTCTCGGGTTTGTCTTTTTCAGAATGTAAACCCCTTGTTGGGAAGCAGCAGTGTAGCACAGGGCCGAGTCGGCCCCCAGGCACAGCCCCCACCTCAACCCAGTCTTCGCAACCAAGTGCCTCCACCCATCCTGCCCTCTCAGGTAGCGCACGCACACACACACACACACACAAACACACACTTCTTAGATCAGGAAGAATCGGCGTGTTTCTAGCGTTATCCGTTCTTTCACAATCCGTCGTCGAAGTGTGAGCTGCAGAAGCTTTTCCGGTTACTCCCAATTGATGGATTTTCTGCTTCCTGATCACGTGATGTGTGACACACACGGGTGAAAATCAGCGTTAGAGACGTGATGTTTATTTTCACGATGCAGAGGCTCGTTCCGACACCCCGCCCCTTTAAAAAAAATGCAATTGACAACTTTAGTCTCACACACACACACACACTTACGAGGCATTCATTCCTACTAGAGACCAGTGCAAATGTACTGGGGGGGTTGGGCTGGTGATCCATTTGATATGAATCACACCTTTAATGTTGTCGAACGTCGTATCCGATTCCTGAGCTGTAGTGGAGGTTGAACTAAACCCTGAGTCTTGTTTTCGTGCAGGTCCCCCCATCCCTGCTGAAGTACCCCGGAGCCAACAGTTGTCTGAACCCGCTGTTGGCTCCTCAGCAGATGGCGATGATCAACCAACTCTCCCAGCTCAACCAGCTAAACCAGATCAACCAGTTGCAGGTACAGAAATGAAGAAAACTAACAGTGATGGACTTAAAATGTGTTTTATTTTTCTGTAATTGTTTTTTTATTATTTCCACGTGCAGCGTCTTCTCCTTCAGCATCAGCAGCAGCAGAAGGCTCACACCCAGAGAGCCATGCCGGTGGGTCGTGAACAGGTGTCTACAACACTCGTTAGGCAGCAGTGAAGTGTGTCTGGGTTTCGTTTGGTTTCCCTAGACTTCCATTTTCTGCTTCCAGATGCGTCCAATGGACTCATCACCTTCACTGATGCAGCCTCCGCGACACCTGGACCCCTCGCTGCCGAAGCAGGGTCTGCCACTCAAAGCTTACCCTGAAAACTACCTGTCCCAGAATCCCTCTGACATGCAGAAGGACGCTGCCGCCATCGGACCCTTCAACAACTTCCCTTTAAGTACGTCGGCTACTAACACTCAGTCCTATTATGGTCGTTGGCACGAAACCGACTTCCTGTCTCCTCCATCCCTTCAGGCTTGACCTCTAACCTGAATGTACCCCTGGACATGGGCGTAGGTGGTGGAGCTGTGAACTACAAAGAACCACCCCAGTCCAGACTGAAGAAACTTTGGGCTGCTGACCCTCTGGAGCAGAACAGCAAAACCGGTACAACCAAACAGAATTATACCTTTAGAAGCCTAATTAGACCATTTAAATCAGCGTTACCATGGTAACTGAAGTGGCGGGCTCTGTGTGCGACTGTCCTTTTATGTTTGTGCGTTTGTCCCACAGGTGCTATGTCTACTGGGCTGCGTCTGGAGGACTCTCCCTTCTATGACTTCCTGTCTCCTGGCCCATCCCCCCTGAGTCCTCCTGGCCAATCAATGGGCTCTGTGGGTGATTGCTGGCCACCCCGTGCCAACTCCCCCCCACCCCATGGAAACACTGTCACATGGCCCCCAGGTACATAAGCTCTCGCTGTCACACACACAGACACAGACGCACACACACACAGACACGTAACATGTTTTCTCTGAAAGCTGCTAACCGCTTTGGGGGCTGGTTTGCAGAGTTCCGGCCCGGCGAGCCCTGGAAAGGTTACCCCAACATCGACCCTGAGACTGACCCTTACGTGACCCCTGGCAGTGTCATCAACACCCTCTCCATCAATACCGTCCGTGACACAGACCACCTCAGGGACAGGAACAACGGTGAGTCACTGAGACGGTCTGCTGAGGCGACCCCGACCTTAACCGCGGAGGTGACGTGAGACTCTGCTCTTCCTCAGGGCCATCCTCATCACTGAACACCACGATGCCTTCCAACAGTGCCTGGTCATCCATTCGTGCCTCTGGCCACAGCGGCTCTCTCACCAGTACAGCACAAAGCACTTCAGGTGTGTTACGCGTGTGGAGAGCTCACGGTGACCAGAGAGAGTTTAAAACTAGAATCTGATCTGTAACCGACCTTTCTTTGTGTTCTGACCTGTTGTAGCTCGACCCAGTGAGTCAAAGTGGTCTCCTGGTGGTGGTTCTGTATCCAACTCCTCTCTAGCCCACGAGCTTTGGAAGGTCCCCCTGTCTCCCAAGCCGCTGCCAGTGCCAGCGCCCTCCAGACCACCGCCGGGCCTCACCAGCCAGAAGCCCAACCCTGCCTCCTCTGGCTGGGATGGCTCTACCCTGAGGCTGGGGGGCTGGGGCTCCACAGAGTCCAGATACACACCTGGTGGGAAAACACAAGATTTTCTCTTTGTAATGGATACATGTAGACACTTTTAGTGTAGGTAATCATCCACATGCCTCATTGCTGCTTCATTTAGGAAAACACATCTAGATGACTGAGGTCTGTTATTCCTGTCACTCCTGATGGACTGGAGGCTTTTTGCAAATGTGCAAAAACTGCTTCAGTTTAGTCATAAAAATTTCAATTTGTTTGCATTTTGTTCAGATTTTATATTTAAATAGTTCGATTTTTTTATTCTGTTTTATAAGCCTCTGACCCCTCTCAATATGACATCACTTCTGACTGTAAAGCCTCTTTTATAAAAAGCTGAGCGGCGTGAGGTAGCGTTAAGCCTGCCGCACACGAGAGCAATCGGCAGAGCTAACGGCCTCGAACGACCGTGTGCTCAGCAGATTGCTCACCGCGTGCGCCTGATTTTCACTGAGTTTTCTGCCTCAAGAGACGCTGAGCCGAATATCTGACCAGCCAGATTTTTTCGCCTCACGGGGGGTAGAAACTCGCCTACCGAGCTGCCGGCTGAGCTGAAATATTCTAGTGGCCAATCAAAGCGCGTTCTCCGCTCACATGACCCCAAGATGTATTCTGATGCAGCCCCTCTGTCTGCGTGTCAGAAAAATAAACAAAACGGCACCTTGCGGAATGATGGGCCCACTGTCGAAGGATCCGGGCGGCGTTACTGTCGGAAGGATTCTGGGTCTTATTGGCATACTTTCCTAACCTTGAAATGCCGGTGGCGGCAGCGCTTCATCAACAAAAAAAAGTAGAGGCATTTCCTCTGTTTCCAGCTTTCCAGTTTATTTTCCGGCATACAGACAGGGGGCTGCCATCTTGGAATCATGTGATCAGAGAACTTGCTTTGATTGGCCACTAGAATAGGTGAGCTCAGCCGGCAGCTCATGTAGTGCGCACACGGCGAGTTTCAACCCCCCGTGAGGCGAAAAATATCTGACTGGTCAGATATTCGGCTCGGCGTCTCGCAAGGCGGAAAACTCGGTGAAAATCAGGCGCACACGGTCATTCGAGGCCGTTTGCTCTGCAGATTGCTCTCGTGTGCGGCAGGCTTGGTTGTTTTCCAAGTGGTCAGACCGTGGTGGTGATCGTGTCCTTTTTACTAAAGAATGGCGGTAAAAGGGGGTATGGGAGCGGCCTCTGCACTGATACAAGCTTCAGTCTGTTGTCTGTCCTCCACAGTGTGATCTGAGCTCCAGCTCTAACGTAGAGCAGCTCCTGGGGCTCTACGTTGCTCCAGTTTATCGTTCGTCTCAGCTGGTTCTGTTTACAAAAGCAAAACTTACACTGGTGCTTACTTTCATTTTCAATGTTGTAGCCTTCTGGAGCTCAGCAGTACCTCCCCACGTCGCTGCAAGGCGTTATCATTCACAGGTCGGGCGTAGTGGTAATATTACTACCAAGCCTGTCGGAACGAATGCCGTAACATTCCTGCATCGCCATGTTGCCACTGCGCGTTCATAAGACACTGTGGCTGCAGTGTTATGCTGATTGTTTATGATGCTCCACGGTGTGTTTTCTAAAAATGGCTTAAGAAAATAAATGTAGACTGGTTCCTGGCACCTGCAACAACTCAGGCTGTTTTCAAGGGATTTTATCACACAAACTTCTTAAAAATGTCTCAACTTTCAGCGAGCTAGAGCCCACAACTCTGTAGGAAATGGAAAACATTTATCTCCTGTTAGAATGTAGTTATCAGGTATAAACATGAGGTTATCAATCAAATCAAAGATACTTTATTAATCCCAGAGGGAAATTAGAGTTTCAGTTCACACAATTCAGAGATCAGACATACATGGGCAAGACACATGACAAGAAATGGTGACTGCGGTCATTCGCAACCCTGAGTTGCGCTACCTTAATAGAGATAAGACGGTAACATGAGGATTGGTTCAGGTGGAGGGAAAAAAAGGCACTTCAGAGTTACCCTCCACCAGTGTGTGTGTGTGTGTGTGTGTGTGTGTGTGTGTGTGTGTGTGTGTGTGTGTGTGTGTGTGTGTGTGTAACGTTTCTCCTTTTGCAGATTTCTGATCCCATCACTTTGTGTCGGCAGGTTCCAGTTGGGGTGAAAGCAGCAGCTCAGGGAGAACCCAGTGGCTTGTTCTGAAGAATCTCACACCTCAGGTACCCGCTGCAGTGAAACGAGCACGTTCCTGGGTTTTTCCCCTGTTGGGTTACGATGTGACATGTGACGTTCTGCTGCTTTGTTTCTCAGATCGACGGCTCTACCCTGAGGACCCTGTGCATGCAGCACGGCCCTCTGATCACATTCCACCTCAACCTGCCACATGGTAACGCTGTGGTTTGCTACAGCTCAAAGGATGAGGCTGCCAAAGCCCAGAAGAGCCTGCACATGTAAGAGCGTCCAGCTGTAGACTTTGCTCAAATGTAGCTTAAAGAGCAAGTCACCCCCTACCAGAGTATTACCCCACTTCTACTTCATGTTTGAAAAATGCAACAAATGCTGTTGCCTAGCAGACCGAGAGGGCGGAGCCACTAACTCATACACACACAGGCTCACAATGGCATTGTGACATCATATGGTACCAGCTAACATTCTAGGGTACCTCTCAGCCAATAGCGATGGCAGATTTAAATTCAACTGCAGTGCAGAGTTTTTACCTGACAACAGTAAAACACCGACAGTTTTAGGCAGAACATAAAAATTTTAACTAAAATGCACTAAAGTGCATAAAATATTAACTACACGTGTCTGCAGCATGATCAGACATGCGTTTATATAGTTTATCAGCAAAAAGGTTGATTTGGGGGTGACTTGCTCTGTAAGAGTTTCACTAAAAAACAGATTTTTTCTTGTTTGTTTTTAAATCTGATCAGTCACTCTGCGTTTAACGTGAAAATAGTCTTCTGCCCATATCTCCTGCATCTGCCACCGATGGAAAGTAGACGGGGAAGCCCTCGGGTTAAAAAAGCCTGTCAGATCAACGTCACGCCTAAAATGGGCATTTATGGACTCGCCCATCTTGGTTCGTGACGGGGAAGGCTGTTGGTTTAGCATCCAGGAAAGAGTGTCTAAGCTAGTAGAAGCTAACCGTTAGCGTTAGCAATTCCACAAGGTTTGTGTGGAGATGAAACCTCAACGCTGCAGAGCAAACGGTCTGTGGTCGAGTCGGTAGCCAATCCGAGGTGAGATCTCTGAATATCAGGAAGTAAGACTCCTGTCCTCTCCTGCTACCCCACTCCTCTGGCTACCATCTACTTCCTGAAACAGGAGCACCAGAGCTTTTTTCCCCAGAGGTGGGCTCAGGAGCCATTCGTTTTTACTAGACCACTGCTAGTGTGTTGAACAAATGAGTGAGAGCTTCAGACATTGCGTCTTCTTTCTGATGCTGTTTTAACTAGTGTGGTCAGTAAAATGTGATTAACTGTCAGGTTGTTGCTAACACGGTGAATACTGATGTTTCTGGCCTCTGGTCCTTACAGGTGTGTTTTGGGGAACACTACTATTCTGGCTGAGTTTGCCAGCGAAGAGGAAATCAACCGTTTCTTTGCACAAGGGCAGTCTTTGGCCACTCCCTCCTCTGGCTGGCAGGCCATCGGCTCTTCTCAGAGCAGGATGGATCAGTCTCACCCCTTCCCCAGCCGTACTTCCGAACCGAACCAGTGGGGCAGCGGCTTTGTGCACAGATCCTCCCTCTGGGGCGGCTCCAACTATTCCAGTAGCCTGTGGGGGAGCCCCAGTGGCACCGAGCCAGGGGGGATCAGCAGCCCCTCTCCAATCAGCTCCTTCCTCCCAGTGGATCACCTGACTGGGGGCGGAGACTCCATGTGAGAGAAGGGTCAGTAGAGAATCGTTAATCGTCAGAAGAAAAATGAGAAAAAGGAAGAAAAAAAAGTAGTTGTAAATGCAAAAGGCACTAGTTGGACTCTTTCTCACTTACAAGATATTCAACAAGATGGGGTTTCCCCTGTGGAATACAAGTTACGTTTCTCTTTCTGCACATATGTCCACTTTGTTTTAGCCCAAAAACATATCAGTCGGAATACTTGAATCATGCAGGCCAATTCTATAATGTGAACGGATGGATTTTTGCTTCCAGGTAGTGCTCTTTCAGACCGAAAAAAAGCTTCAGTCAATTCATTATTATTATTATTACTATATATATATTTTTGTTTCATTCGTCATGTTTATTTGAATTCCAATTCCTTTTTATTTTTAACGTTTTCATTTTATTTTTGCGTTTGTTTGCTGACGATGTTGGAGTATGAGCTTTTTAAACTTTGCACTGAATGTGTTTTTCTCAGTATATAATCTGCAATATAGAGGGAGCAGCCAGTTTTTCCAGTGTAGCTGTTTACTCATGGAGGTCCTTATCGTGCGCGTGTGTGTGTGCGTGTGCGCGCGCATCGTGAAAGAGTATGTGTGTGCTCCTCTCTGCCTTGGCACGCCTACCTTACTGCGTTGTTGTGGAGTTCAAGATCAACAAATAGTTAAAGAATAAAAACGTGACGTAGGATGATTATCGGGTGGAAGAAAAAAAAGTACATTAAGAAGTATTGCACCGATTTATTTTGTTTTAAAACTAAAGAAAGTTGAGCTCTGCAGTGCAAAGGACTGTAGCCACAGCTGGGACTAGCAAGCCCCGCCCGTTCTAATTTTAGGGGGCGGGGCCTATCTAGCAAGCCCTCCCGTTGGCCCCCTAGTGGGCCGGGAGGGGACAGCACTTTCAGAATAGGCTTTCAATGTTTTGGAGGTGCCACACTGCAACCTCTTGTTTACAAGACTTAGGAGGCAGAACGTGTGTTCATTCTTCGTTTTAAAAAGAAGATGGAATAAAATAAAAAAGAAGAAAAAAAAATTAAAAAGCTTTAAAAATATATATATTAAAAAAAATTGTAAAACCCACAAAAAAGTGAACTCTTATCGAGGATGTAGACGACGCGATGTAACTCTGGGAATTCGGATCAGTGTTTTTTTTTTTTGCCATGGCGTTGGTTATTTAAACGTTTCCTCTTGTCTGCTAAATAACCAGCAATGGTTCTCAGGAAATTAAGCCAGTTTCCCCCCTTGTAGTTGAATTATTAAAAAAGAAAACTACTACTACTCCTTGTAGGAAAGGAAAATCCAACATCTAGCACTGAAAACTATGTATAGGTCTTTATTTAGTTTTATTTTTTCCTCTGCCAAATAACTGCTTTAAGCTGGAGAAGCTCACACACTGCTTTTAATATGCTGTCTGTAGAGGGAGGAGGAGGGCACCCCCCCTCACCCCTCCACTCCACTGTTATCTAAATGTGGGGAGTGTGTGAAATAATCTGTTATAAACCAAGAGAAAGGCTAATCTGTATCTATGCATACTGTACCCTCTCGCGTTCACCGAGAGGACATTTATTATCATCATTTCCCCCCTTTTGTGTCTCGGCTGTTTGATGTTTCATTAAGTACAACAAATGCTTTTTTTTTTTGTTTGTTTTGTTTTTTAAATCATTGCCACAGACGGTGTTTTGAGAAAAACAGAAGAAAATCTTAAATTCTGCTAAAGGATGTTTTGAGCGTGCAAAAGTCATCCACATTTCATTGCCTTGATCCCAATTGTGTCCGAAGATGCAACAAGTCAAGTGGCTTCTACCTGTTTACAACTAGAAATGATTGTATTGTTGTTGTTTGTCTTTACATTTTCGGTTTTTCTCCCTTCCCCTCCTTCGGTTTGGGGGAGAGGGTGGGGGGTACTCATCTGAAGTTTCTGACGTGCGTGTGTGTGTGTGTGTGTGAGAGAGAGGGGGAGAGAGAGAGAGAACGGCGTGAATGTAAGTCCACCAGTGGTGTGTGTTGACAAACAATACTAGCGTGAAAAATAATGACCTATATACAAGTGATTGTTGAGTTACGATGATGCACAAAGTTATTACGACTAAACAAAAAGCTTCGGAGTGTGTTGATCAGCATTAGTGAAGCCATGGACCTTAATTTCTTGTGTTTTGGTTTGTTTTTTTCCCCCTCGTTGGGCCTGTTGTGTGTCGTTTGCATGCATTTGACCCCTAACCGAGTGTAGGTTTTATTTCATAAGTACGAGAAGCGTTGGCTTTGTTTTTAATCCACCAACTTTAAGCAAATGTAGTGAAACCGACCTTTGAGTATTAGCCAGACCTGACGGCGGTGTGTGCCAGTATTGAACGCTCTTTACCAAATACTTCAATCATACAAAAATTAGTTTACTTTATTCCACATTTGTCTGCTTAAGCTGTGTACAAATAAGTTTTTTAGTTTTGTCTCATTATCAAATGGAACATCTGAACCGTGTTGTGTGATTTTGCGTTAAGTTGAACTGAGGAGCCTTGGATTTTTGCACTTGAACCAATCAGAGGCGACCGCCGAGCGAGGGAACGGGAGCCGAGTGGGGGGGTGCGGTTGGTGTTTCCAGACGGCGTTCCGGTGGCGTTGTGTGAAGGTGTGTCTGATGGTGCTGCTTTGGTCCCAGTGAAGGAACAGTCTAAAGTCCCAATGGGATTACGTTGACCGCCCCCTTAAGCCCAATCCCACCAGGCTGAGACCGTTGGTGACGAGAAGATGAGCGGATTGCCTGTTGGAATGGCTGCGAAACATCAGCTGGTGATCAGAAACGTACAAATGTAAATTATTCCAGCACCGTTTCCAAGCAGCAATAACTAATCTGAGGATATTTTGGTGCACAAACACAGCCTCACCAAGTGCTGATTCACGCTAACAGTAGCGGCACAATTTAGCATCTTAGTAACTCATCGTTTATTAGCAGTTTTATTAGAAATTCTGGGTCCCAAACCAAACTCACGAGGGTTTGAGACCGCCTCCAGATGCCTGCATCCACGTCCAGCAGCTCTACTGCGAGATAACGATAATGTGTCGCCAACGGTCACCGCCCGGTGAGGCTTGAAGAAAACTGCACCCGCTGCTCATCTCCGGTTACCATGGTGACCGCTGTCTTTTTTTAAAGGCTCACGCGTTGAGCTTGACTGAATAGAAGTCGGCCCGTCTTAACTGAGGCTAAGTGTGGAGACTTTGCGATGGGCTGGTACTGCCAGGCTTTTCAGGAACACGGAGCTGCACTCGCCTCCTAGGCTGGCTGATCTAGAATCAGCTGTCCTTATACGCTTAACTACAGGAGACGAGACGCTGAACTGACGAGATTGGGAGCAAGTGAGCTCTTGTTTATAATTATTCCCTTTTTGTTAGTTGAAATGAGTGAGTTTTTCTTATGTTGGTAATGTTTATTTCTGAGAGCGGACCCACGATCAGCTTTGTCGTTTAGTTCATTAACCATTAGTGGGTCGAGAACTGGTCTGTGGTCAGCGGCTCCGCAGCTAGCATTGCCGTGCTGTGAGAGAAGGGACAAGCAACGTCTGTAAAACACCTCTCGATGTTACCGTTTTATTTCCCAGCGTCATTTTTGTGGTCTTTGTCTCGTCCAATCTTCGTGTGTGTGTGTGTGTGTGTGTGTGTGTGTGTGTGTGTGAGAGAGAGAGAGAGAACTTATCATGCCAAATCAAGGAGGGAGGGTTGCTAGGGAAGGAAAGGGATAGATTTTAGTTGTTTTTAAACTGTGTGCGCGCGTGTGCATATGTGTATTTAAAAAGCTGGACAATATTAAATGCTTGAAGAAAAAAATGAAAAATTTGCAAAAGGATGATGTAAGAAAAACCACCAAGAGCAATGTACAATCCCCGGGGCTGCCAAGCAGCCTGCAGACAGGGCCAGGTGAGGGCAGGAGAGACGGAAGGAAGGAAGTTTGCTGTTGATACTCTACTTTTTTAATATTTAAGTCAAAATAATAATAATAATGTGACTTTGTTGTGTTTCTCTTAACTATCCTGTGAGTAAATGCTATATCATAACACACCCAACGGCTCGTATGGTCGATCAAAAGTGCTAAGGCTTTTTGTTTTTTGACAGAAAAAAAAAGAAAAAAAATTCACACAAACTGTGAGAATCTGTTGTCTTTGTTTTACATTTAGTGTGACCACATGTACAAACCCTGAAAAGCTTTAGTCTAACCAGCACAAAGATGGGGGAGGGGTGGGTGTTGCCCAGAGACTATGCAGTGGAGTGTTGAACCCAGGCTTCCATGTCCACCTTGGGTTGTTGTTTTCTTTCTTTTTTTTTTTTAACAATTATTTTTGAAAATCTCAGAAAAATAAATAAAAACGCTGAAATGGGATTCCCAATAATGTTTCTCAAACGTGTGCCATCTTTGAATTGTACTACTACTACATAAATAATAAAAACAACAAAAAAAAAGGATAAACCTTTATTACCGGGTTCTGACCTGGTACCAGGCCAGTTGTAGCAGGAGGGGACTGGTTCAGATTTACAAAGTCCATTTATTTTCACAGCTTGTCTCCTTGAAGCCGAGGGGAGCGAGGCCGGTAAAACTGCTAATTTTACACAACTACGATGTTTTTAATAGAGATTCTATCAATCCACAGAGTGTAGTTGGATCACCTGTAAACCTGTTATGCACATTGCTTTGGGGAGACTGTTGAAACTATATATATATAATAAATATATATAATATAAACGTACAGTGTCTATAATCAACCCAGAGCTTGTTGTCCTCTTGACAAAACAGGAAGTACCTTTTTATTTCTTCCAAACGTCTTCCTCGGTTCATCAAAGGATTTTATCTTAAACTTCGGTGGAATCTGCACTTTTTGAAGGACAATCTTTATTTGTATGGGTGTAAATTGACAAAAAGCAAAGTCACCTAATATTACATGGTATAGAAAACCAACTCCAGTGTGCTCTAATAATGAATGTCTCCTTTGATGATGTATTTGTTTGCATTCATTTAATCTTTTTCTCCTTTTGTTGTGTTGTTCGTTCAGTTCCCCTTCGCTTGTTATTCTCTGGATTTTACTGCTCTTATGAGAATCTGTACTAAGGTGTAGAGTAGTAGGTAGTAGGTTTTCTGTTTGCTGTACTCGTATACTGATTACTGTTTGTAACCCTCTGGCTCCTGCAGCCAGCATACAAAGCTGTTTAACTTGGGTACAACCCTCAATAAAAGACTAATGATGACACGATGATGAACCCTGGCACTCTTCTTGAATAATGCCTGTATTGAATGCTTTTATTTTGAAATTTAGTTCTATTGCCTTAAGTGTTCCGAGACCATGGCCTTAAATGGAAAAGGGTAGGAAGTAGTGATGCACCGATATGAAATGTTTGGACCGATAATGGCATCACTGTTATGTCCGATAACCGATTTACTGACATAATTGCTTCTAAAATTAGCAGATTTTGTGTAGAATTAAATTATTAAAGCTGAATTTACATTATGTACGCACATCACACGAGATGATTACAATCACTGTCACGTGACTAAACAACCCTGTTCACTCTGAAACGGATAAACAATTGGAAACGAGATGGGTAAAAAAATGGCGGTTGTTAATATCAGCCGTTTTTATTTATCGAACCGGTACTGATATGTTAAAAAATGACTAACATCGGCTGATACCGATATTGATGCCGATATATTGTGCATCCCCAAATGGAAGCCTTTTCCGGTTCAGGGACGAGGTCCTGCACCAAGTGGAGAAGTATCTCAGGGTCTTGTTCACGAGTGAGGGAAAGTCAGTGACTTGATGCAATTTGCTGGGTTCCTTATATAAGAAACATTTTTTCTGATTGGCTTAATGAACTGACCTGGATTGGAATGTTTATTATGTGAAGTGCCTTGAGACGACTCTTGTGATTTGGCGCTATATAAATAAAATTGAATTGTGAAATCGATTGGTGGATAGGTGCTGCGTCTGCAGTGATAAGGATGTTGTACCGATCTGTCATGGTGAAGAGAGCTGAGCCAGAAGGCAAAGCTCTCAGTTTACCAGTCGATCTACGTTCCTACCCTCACCTATGGCCACGAGCTTTGAGTAGTGACCAAAAGAACAAGATCACGGACGCAAGCGGCCAGAACTACTTTTCTCACAGGGTGTCTGGGCTCTTCCTTAGAGATAGGGTAAGAAGCTCGATCATCCGGGAGGGGCCCAGAGTAGATCGCTGCTCCTTCCACATTGGGAGGAGCCAGTTGAGAAAGCACGGGTGTCTGGTTAAGATGTCTCCTGGACGCCTCCCTGGTGAGGTTTTCCAGGCACGTCCAACCGGCAGGAGTCCCAAAGGAAGACCCAGGACACACTGGAGGGACTGTTTCTAGGCTGGCCAGTGAACGCCTTAGGATTCTCCCGGTGCTGGCCCAAGTGGCTGGGGAGAGGGTAGTCTGGGCTTCTCTGCTTAGTTTACATCCCTCGTGACCCGACCCTGGATAAGCGGACAAAAACGGATGGATTAAGTTCAGTGTTTTCTGCACAAATTTGTGCCAACGACATCAATGGTGGGAAGGCTTTTGGAGCGTAGCTATTTGTGTCCCAATACAGACTATTGCTTTAAATCCAGCAACGGGGCTGCTGAGAAAATAGGGAAAGCCATTTGCTCTGATAAATCTTGATTGTCTTCAGAAAAGGTGAGTACTCTTTGATCCAGTCGTATCAAGCATCCTGAGACTGTTGATGTGTGGCGGTGCTTCCCATACATAGGAGTGAACTTTTTTTTTTTTTGCCTCTGAACAGACATGAATACACAATGGTTCCTAAACATCCTCCAAGAGGAACCCCTCAAACCATCAACTCTGCATGCATTTATAGGAATGGCAAAGTGTAATTACATGTCATCACGTTTCCCACATTTATGTTTCGACTTTATTCAGAAATTGATTAGTTTTTTGTTTTCCTTTTTGTTACTCAACACCCCATAATGTGAAAAATGTTAGATAATTGCTAATTAGCATGCTAAGATGTGATGGTCAGATGAAGCTTTCGAGCCTTCCCTTTACCCATCCATCCATTTTCAGAAGCTTATCCGGGGTCGGATTGCTGGGGCAGCAGCCGAAGGGAGGCCCATACTGCCCTCTCCCAAGCCACTTGGGCCAGCTCCTCCGTGGAAATCCTCAGGCATTCCCTGGCCAACCGAGAGACGTATTCCCTCCAGTGTGTCTTGGGTATTCCTTTAGGTCTTCTGCCGGTTGGATGTCCCCAGAAAACCTCACCAGAGGTGTCCAGGAGGTATCCTAACTAGATGCCTGAGCCACCTCCACTGGCTCCTCTCGATGTGCAGAAGCAGTGGGTCTACTCTGATCTCGTTATTCCGGTCACTACCCAAAGCTCGACCGGCAAATTGAGTGCTTTTCTTTTCCACTCTGCTCTCTCTTCACCGGTACAGCGCCCTGCATCGTCTATCAGCCTGTCGATCTTAAACTTCATTTTTCCCTCACTCGTAAACAAGACCTTGAGATACTTGGGGCAGGATCTCATCCCGAATTTTTTCCCCACTTTAGCAAAATAAAATGTGAACAGGGACAAAATGGACATTAGAAACCGCCAAATGCTGGAGCTCTGACAGGGATCATCAGGTTCTTAGTCACCATCCTGACTTGGGCCCTTTCCAATCAGCTGAATTTACCGCAGGTGGACGCTGGGTAAGCTGTAGAAACATCTCAGTGGAGGCAGGAAGCACCTGAGCCTAATTTAGAGCTTCATGGCAAAAGCTGTTAATCATTTCAAAATGCATCGTATATTTAAGTAAGTCCAACAAAAAAAAATTTAAAATCTTTGAACCAACACTTCTCGTTCTCAGAACTTTAATCTATGGGAGTGGTGGTAACATTTTACTATCCACTGGCTCAATGGTTCCTAACCTAGGGTCTGTGGCCCCTCTAGGGGGTCCCCACAATTCTGTGTTTGATGTTTTAGGTTGTCTAGACTAAATTTGTAAAAACTACATTTTTAAATCCAGATGGCACACCCAATAGAATCAAAACTCTGTAAGAGGTATAACTGTATAGTTTGCAATTATTCCATTTAAATTGTGTGCGTGCAGGTTGGGGGAGGGGGGGGATGGCTTGTCTTGGACACGGGAAAGAGGGTCGTTGGAAACCATTATTAGTCCTGCGAGTTGTGCTTTATTTCTCTTAACTGAGGCCATTCAGGCAGCTATATGAAACAATATTTGTCAGATTTGTCTTAACTTTAGTACTGTGTCACGGCCCAGGGCCATTTGTTTTTTTTTTTCCTGTGTGTGTGTGTGAGGAGATGCAGCACCTGTCTCCCATCTCACTAATCTGTGTTTTGTGTTTATATTTATGTAAATAAATGTTTTGTTACTTTTACCAGGAGAACATGCGTCCAAGTAAGGTTTGGGATCAAAAATCCCGGATGAGCCCCCATTTGTTACGATCCAGGCTGTCTAGGGGGCATGGGATAACAATTGAGGATGCATGTTCTCGTGGTAAAAGTAACATTTATTTACATAAATATAAACACAAAACACAGATTAACAAGACACATCAGCAGCAAAGCAAAACGAGTAACAACTAAACTCTCATATTAACCAAATTAATACCAAAACTACAAAAGATCATCACATAATTTCCTTTTTACCGAGTGATGTCTTATTTAAACAAGCGAAGGGGTAAAGCTTCCTTTACACCTAAAAAGGCTGATGGTTAAACACAGTTTCCTAAGCACCCACCAAAGCAGTCACATAATATTTTTACTTAAAATCAAAAGCTGCTGAGGAGACAGCAGACCAGAGAGAACCTCCCTGGCCTGCTGCTCCCTGAACTGAGGGCTGGCTGACTTTTATGCTGCTGGCAGAGCTGATCATCAAAATCAGCTGGGAGGGTCTAACTGGGAGACAGGTGCTGCATTTCCTTACACACACAGGGGGGGACAAAATGGCCCTGGGCCGTAACAACTGCTAGAAAAGCATTGGATTGGTGTTACTGTTGCAAAGGCAAGAATATATAAAACACTGGCTCGTCTGGTCTACCAAACAAATCCTGCTGCAGTTTCTGAAGGTCGGACGTGCACGCTCAGCTTGTCACAAACCAGGCACGAACGGCATGAGCAGAATTGAACAACCCGTCTTTATTGATTTATTCATGTGAAATTATACACCAACAACCACAGGCTGGGGCTAAAAGAAACAAAACTGGAGCTGTGGTACATCGTTTCAATAGTTTTTATCTCTATGCTCTCAAGAACATATTTAAATACAGTGAAACACAGGACGCAGCAGGCGACGCAGAACTCGCCACAGCGGACAGGTTTGAAGTGGGAAATGGTTCGATGCCAATCTGCTTCACAAAAAACTTCCTGTGTGAGGCCTCCCTCTGTCAAAGAGAGGGACAAATAACTCTTAAAAGAGACACTGATACAATTAGAGACAGGGCCAGGAATGCCCGTGTGACATACCTGCCTCCGAGCTACAAAGAGATTATTCATAAACATCTTTTTTGTCTGCGATGTACTGTACAATCTCCTCTGGAGTCATCAGCTTCTCTGCCTCTGCGTCTGGGATCTCAAATCCTGCAGCAGGAACCAAAAACATTCACGTCCCAGAAGGAAAAAAAAGAGCTGAAGCTACACGAGTTTGAGTTCATCCCGAATAGGAATAAACGTGAAGGCAGAGGTCTGTGTGTTGCTCTCACCAAACTCATCTTCCATGGCCATTATGATCTCCACCTGGTCCAAGCTGTCTAAGCCCAAATCCTTCATGAAGTGGGAGGATGTCTGCAGCTGTGGGGCAAATACAACTAATCAGATTTAGTTTCATTAGCCCTGGGAATCAGTTTTCTTTTGAAGTTGGCAGAAAAACCTTGTCTGGGTGAATGTTTACACTAAAACTAGTGTAAATGTGAAAATACATACAAATTTAGAGTTTGGGAGAACTAAATCTTTCACATTTCACTGACTATTTTGGAAGAGATGGTTATATGCAGATCTGTGGGTATTCCAGAAAGGAGGATCAAAACAGTCTGGGTTTTTTAAAGCGAGGAAGTACTTGATAAATAACATTTTAAATGAGAAGTAATATATATATAAAATAAAAATCTTTAGGAACAGAGACTATTATCTATTGAGGTCATGAGAAGGGTAATTCTATAAGTTAAATGGTAAATGGCCTGTATTTGATATAGCGCCTTCTAGAGTCCTGGAACCCCCCAAGGCACTTTACAACACAACCAGTCATTCACCCATTCACACACACATTCACACACTGGTGGTGATGAGCTACGATGTAGCCACAGCTGCCCTGGGGCACACTGACAGAGGCTAGGCTGCCGAGCACTGGTGCCACCGGTCCCTCCGACCACCACCAGCAGGCAACGTGGATTAAGTGTCTTGCCCAAGGACACAACGACAGCGACAGACTAAGCGGGGCTCGAACCTGCAACCTTCTGATTACGGGCGAGCTTTTAACTCCTGTGCCAACTTAAACAATTTAAGTAAAATTGTTTCTAAAATAATGGACAGGATAGGTACTGTGTCTGTTACCATGGTGATAGACCCAGAAATCAACTTGCATCTCTTTCTGAAACAGAAGGCTGCGTTTCCCTAAACTTCGGGGGGACACACACACACACACACACAACCTGCTTTCTGTAACACTTCTTACTCTTACCGTTTCTGGGTTGATTTTATCGTACAGCTTCAGTACATACATGACGCGGTCTTTGATGGTTTCTAGAGTGAGAGGGGGGAGGTCGCTATACTGTCGGCACAGCACACCCACCGAGAGGATCTAAATGAGGCATAAAGGGAAAGACAAAAAGGGAGAATGCGAAGCAAAAGAAAGCAAAATGGTCATGATCACTCAAACTGCACACCTAAATGTTTGTTATGCTGTAAAATGGAAATATGTTTTAAAAAAACTAAAAGTAAAGAGCAGATAATCCAGGGCAGGAAAATTGTGAACCACTTAAAGCAACACTAAGTTTTCAACACTAGCTATTGCTTTTAAACTGGTTTCAGTGATTCTTCAGCAGCTTTCAATATAACAGCACTCTGTTGCCCTCTGCTGGTCAGAAACTTGAGGTTCAGGTAAGAGCACTAGTGAGAGGTCTACCTGTTTTACAGCTGTTACTGTGCCAGTAGCTAATATAAAGGCTGACAGTTAGCTTTTTCTGTTCACATAATACGAATAATTTTGCTTTTTTTGTTGCTGGCATTAAGGCAGAGCTTGGAAATAAAGGTAAGAGTGTTTGGAGGCGAAACCAAGAGCTAAAACCAGAGCGAACATCGATGCAGCCTACACTCGTCTGAGTGCTACTGGACGTAAAAGTAATAGTATCTTTAGTCCAAACGTGTGGATCTTTCTACTTTGTGCCTTCTTTACTATCAGTTGGCTTCAGTTGGCTCATGTTAGCTTGTTGTTAGCACTAGCTAAAGCAGGGTTGTTTACAACAGTTGTAACTCCTCTTTCAACCAGTAGAGGGAGAAGCGGGAAACTTTAACAGTTGCTTCAGTGGCATGATATTTATTGAATAAATGTCCAACAGTTGTCTAATATTTCTTGTGAATGTTAATATACAAAATACAGAATCATGTGACATCCTTAAAGTAGTCTTTATAATGTCCGCCTGTTTTATTTGAATCATTAATTAATTACTTGTTTCACTTACAGACCTGACTGTATGAATGTTTACAAGAGTTTCTTCCTCAAGTAGTAAGCATACTTTAAAAATACAAAAATCAGCTTGTGAAGAGGCCAGATCCTATTCTCGTGTATGTTTAATTCACATATAGATGTTTTCAAACGTGATTTTACTTTAGTTCTGCGCATTAGCCGTTTTGGCTAAGGGGCTGAGCGTCCAGAGACAACGTGGCATTAGTTGGTAAGTAAATATATATATTTTTAATTTTAAATAAACGTAAATCCTGAGGACAGCTAGTTTAAGTTGCTCCAGAAAGCTGAGAAGTCAAGAAAAACAGCACAATGAACTTTGCTAACCAGCTAGCCTTTCCTGCTAACTAACTAGCTAAACAGTCAAACCTTGAGGTAGTGTCAGACAAATTAGGGGTCGCAATGTGTCGTAAACTCGTGGCTAACTGTCTCATTACTATTATTTACACTAGTCCAGGTGGCTAGTCAGACGGCTCCGAGAACCTACAGCTGGGCCGGTTAGACTGTTGAAAGACATCAGTAGGTCACGGCCACCAGGCCAGGACTCTGCCAATGTTAGCGGGACTCACCGGGCTCCGAACGAACCACCGCGTTCTCTGGCGGTCGGCGGCCAAGGACAGAGGTCGGTGGGTGCTGACTGCCGGTATGACAGCGGCTCTGACTGCGAGGTTACCGGAGCAAAGCCTCAGCGAGGGCCGGGCACACGAGCGGACACACTGCAGCAGGACACGGGCTGCCATGTTGGGGTAGAAGCTGGAGGATCAGCGGCGTATAAGAACCGGAAAAATCGATGACAGTGGCGTCTCAGTGCGCATGTGTAGAACGTAAGTTTCCTTTAAAACATTTTACAGATTGTTGGTTCTTTTAAACTTCTAATTAACTAAAACACGCTTTCAGTTGCCCCCATACAGGATTGTCAGAAAGAAAAGCTATAAAAGCCCCGACAGCAAGGACTCGAATTAAGCAAGATCAATCGATCCCAGAAAGACTCGATGGAAGTCAACATTTGTAATACTCAACATTATAGCCTAACTAAATAATAATATTCAAACAAATGCACATTGACTGTTTTGTTTAGTTGACCAACTGTCAAAGACTGTCAGAGTTTATCTGATTCTTGGCAGTATGTCTCCCCAACATGGGACAATTACATATATTGATCAGGGTCTAATATCATTATTGGTTCATCTCAACTTCTCTATACTGAAAATGATTTTGATTTAAACCTTCTGTTTTAGACAACTGGCGAGTTTACATGTAGTTTATGACTGAGGACTATTAGTTTGGGAAGCCCTCTGAAATAAATGGTAAGCTGTTTTGCCCGTTTTTGCTATATTTACAGTCAATTACGTATCTTGCTTCTTTGGGGAAAAAATCCAACCACACCTCTACACTGGATAGTGACAAAGACTACTTAGGAATAGTTTTATTGAAATGTGGTTGTTTCTTAGTTTTGGTCCTTCCTTTACTTCTCTCACTGATGGTGTCCTACAAGGTTCTGTGCAGGGAGCTCAATTGTTCTTCCTTTATCTGCTCCCTTCAACACAACCTGAGCTAAGAAAATCTCCTACCATCTTTACACAGATGACATTCAACTGTACATCTCCTTTAAAGATGTGTTCACTCGTTTAATCAACACATTTGCAGTGGTCTCTAGGAATTAATGCCTTGTAAGTCTTATTCTGGGGGGGGGGGGGGGGGGGGCTCTGGCGCACCTGTTTCAGGAACTACAAGTGATCCACATCAGAGTTGCGCTTCAGATGGCAGGATTTGGAGTCTTATTTCCTGATATGTGGACATTTTGGCTTGGATTAGCTAATAGCAACGTGACTGTACAACTGACTCTGCTTGTTCAGCAACATTAATATTGTATTATATTCACAAATAACACAAGCCTGAATGAGTTCTGACATGTTGTGGAGTTGCTAATGCTAACGGTTAGCTTCTATTAGCCGAGACGTTTGCTGCTGTTTCGTGGACACTAAACCAATGGCACTCTTCCTTGTCATGAGTCAAGATGGGCAAGATGGGTGTGACATAGATCTGTCTGGCTTTTCAAATCCTACAGTTTCTCTGTCAATTTTCAATCAGATCAAATCAGAGTAACCAGTTATAGTCAGAAATAATAACTAAAAAATAGTTTTTCAGTGAACCACAGCTCCGATGAGATATCTAAGCTGCAGCGTTGCACACTTGAGAACTTTCAACAGCTGAACGCTTTCAATCAGCAGCAAGAACACAAAATTATTGTTAGTTTAAAATAAATTGAAAGCATACACAAAATGCACTGATAAAAAGAAAAGACTCCTTATAATTGTGGATGCAAATCACATGTATTTGTTCAAAGAGCAAGTCACCCCCCCACCAGAGTATTACTCTGCTCCCACTTCCTATTTGAAAAATGCAACAAATGCTGTTGCCTAGCAGACTGAGAGGGTGGAGCCGCTAACAAATACACACACACACATAGGCTCACAATGGCATTGTGACATCATATGGTACCAGCTAACATTCTAGGGTACCTCTTAGCCAATAGCAATGGCAGATAAAACTGCAGTGCGGAGTTTTTACCTGACAATGGCACAACACTGACAGTTTTAGGCAGAAATTTTAAATTTTAACTAAAATGCTCTAAAGTGCAAACCTATTGACTACACGTGTCCGCAGCACGGTTAGACACACATTTATATAGTTTATCAGAAAAAAATGTTGATTTGGCGGTTACTTGCTCTTTAAACAGAAAGTCTGGACCTTATTTATTTATTTTTAACTGTTAATAGGTTAATGTGTTAACCTATTTTTATTCTTTTTGCTCTTGTTTCTAACTTCTGAAATGTAATATTTTATAGTTCAAAAAGAAATTCTAAAGAGCTCTTTGTTGTTTTGAATCCAAAATTTCTTATTAGTTGAAAAAGCGTAAAAAACATTCAAAAAGAGTTAGAATTACAATGTAATTATTATACACATTTTTATTTATAAATTAACATTACAACAAATACTTCTAATAAACAGGAGGCGGCAGCAGTGCGTCGTTGAAGCTTCTTGAAGAAGAAGAAAAAGAACTTCCGGACATGCGCAGAAAAAACAAAGCGGTTTGAGCTACCTTGTCGATGCTTTGGATGTTGTTATCAAATAGTCACGACTAACTTTAATATTCGTCGAACTTTTTAATTATGGAGCTTTCTGAAATATTTTACAACAAAGCGGAGTACATTGAGACGGTAATGTGTGATGCTTTTGTAGCTGAATTAGCTAGCTGTCCTGGTAGCTAAAAGGGTGTTGGGTTGACTGAGAACAGTTAGCTCAGATCATCAGAACTTTTAAAGAAACAATAACCAGCGCTGTCGTCTCATTACAGGCATCTGGGAACAAAGTGAGCCGGCAGTCCGTGCTGTGTGGGAGTCAGAACATTGTCCTCAACGGCAAAGTAAGGAAAACACACCTGGAAGTGGACAGAAATGGCCAGATTTTTTTACGTGTGTGTGTTTTCAGACCATAGTGATGAATGACTGCATCATCAGGGGGGACCTGGCTAACGTCAGAGTGGGGAGACACTGTGTTGTGAAAAGCCGGAGTGTTATAAGACCACCGTTCAAAAAGTTCAGCAAAGGGTAAAGTATCAGTTACACATCATTTTAAAAACTCAGCAGGCTCATTTAGATGATCTTTAAATATCTAAGGTTGTTTTGAGTATTTCTTTTTATTTCCTTTGTTTTATTGTGTATTAAACCTTTCAACGGTGCAATAAGTGTGAATTTTACTGTAATCCCTGCTGACCCGATTGTTACGCATGGACCACAGTGTGCCGTTCTTACTTAAAGCAGCTTTAACTCAGATCTAAGGTTCATTAGGCATAAAAAGTCAAAATGAAATTGTTTTGCACTTACGTGTGTGGAAATCACAACTGTCTGGCGTTAAACTCTGTAAATGAAGATGTTGGTGTCTCCATGCAACAACCAGCTTCAGAGCTTTCCTGTTTGTAGAGTTATGTTTAGCCTTTGTTTATTATTTATTCCACCTTTTGATTTGCACCCACATACACTGCAAACTGTAACCTTTCTAAATATAGTTATTTTTTCTCACGTCCTTGTTTCTCTATCAGAGTGGCGTTTTTCCCTCTGCACATCGGAGACCACGTCTTCATTGAGGAGGACTGCGTGGTCAACGCGGCACAGATTGGTTCCTACGTCCATATTGGGAAGAACTGTGTTATAGTGAGTGAGAGGCAATCAGACTGGCGATCTGGAGGTGTGACGGCTCATCGATTCGTAACAACCGACATGCACGTTGTTATTTTTAGCTCTGGTGAAGCGTGAGGGTCAGAACCTCTCCTCTAGTCACATGTTGAGGAGAACAGTAACAAGCTGCTGACTGAGGCCTCACATATCAGAGGAACAATGGAGGCTTTTGTTGAGGATATTACACTTTTCAAAGGCTTGTGTTGTTTATTTGTTAGTGACATAAAATCATGTGTGAACACCTGCTGGACGAGGGAGGGACAGAGTTGTTGTGTTGTCTGTATGGAAGTACAGGGTAAGACTCACTTTTACAGATTTCTAAAAAATAAAAATAAAAAAGTCACACAGAATTCCTGAAAAGGGGAAGGTTCTGGATTGCTGCTTTGAAATATAACATCAGCACATGAATTTTCACATCATCCTGAATCTTGTTTTGTTTCCGACACGCAGGGTCGTCGGTGCGTTCTCAAAGACTGCTGCAAGATCTCAGACAACACCGTCCTTCCTCCTGAGACGGTGGTGCCGCCTTTCACCGTCTTCTCTGGTTGTCCAGGTCAGCAGGAAACTCGCCCAGATTACGTCCGCTTTTATCTCCCGGCCTGCGTTTAGGAGTGTGTGTCTTGTTTTCTTTAAGGCTTGTTTTCAGGAGAGCTTCCTGAGTGCACACAGGACCTGATGATTGATGTCACTAAGAGCTACTACCAGAAGTTCCTGCCCCTCAGCCAGATTTGAAGCACTCTGGCCCCAAACCCAGTCCCGGTCCAGAGAGGCCAGCCAGGAGCTCCGGTTAAGCAGCAGTGGACTCAGAACTGGATCTCTGGAGCGTTGAGCTTCACTGCCCAAGGAAAAAATCAGATAAACAGGTCTCAGGCTTTTAACAACACGTTGGAAATAAAAAGTCTGACCGCAGCTCATCTTTGTCCACTAATACTTAAATCTGCAATGCTTCTTTAAAAACTAAAATCTAGTTTGGTCAAACTGACCTAAACGTGTCTTTCTGCTGGTGCCTCTGAGTGTTTAGCTCTCTCTGCTGGTGTCTGTGGCCCATTCCCAATACTCACACTGCCCCCTACGGTCTTCAGTGAAGTACACTTAGAGGAGGTGCGCTGTAAAACAAGTGTGCAAATATCTTAGGTGTGTTCTTGCTGTGTCGTATTTCTAATTCCATGCTGTAGTTCTTTTTTAAAAACACAGAACCGGTTTGTTACCTGTTTTCCCGCGCAACCGGGGCGCCCCGAGAGGCATCCCTCAGGGATGCCTCTCGGGGCGCCCCGGTTGCGCGGGAAAACAGGTAACAAAACGGTTCTGTTTTAAAAAACAACTACAGCATGGAAGTGTGCAAATAATTGCTGAACTGGGACAAGGAGCATTGTGTCATAGACCGTAACACATGCCGGGAGGATGGTCGCTGTGGTACTGTTTAAAAAATGTTATTAGCAACTTTCAAACAACCGACTAAACAGTTATTTGACTGAATTTACATTCTTTGCTGTCCACAATAATTCTTCGTCTAAAACACTCAGAGCATGAATAAATATCATTAATCTCCTTAAAACTTTTCATTTGAAAATACATATTGTCAGAAAAGGCACTCGAGCCATTGCTCCACGCAGCAATGGACTGTGGGTAATACACTTCACCCAAGTCCACGTCGACGCAGACTTGGGTGAAGTGCGGATCACGGGTGGAAAAAGGGGGGAGTGGTCAAGTTCCGCATTTGAGAATCGGAACGCCCTACGCACTCGCATTTCATGGATGGGATCGCGCGGGTGTGATGCCCGGCCAGCCTCAGGCCAAGTAACGCTCCCGTTCAAATAACCCCACCCCCGTCGAATTCTAACCGAGCCAATCAGCACTGAGCAGCTTTCGTCGCACACCGCGACGCTCAGTTTCTCGAAAACAACCAAGATGGTGTCTGAAGCGGAGTTCGCTGCGGCTCTTCTCTCTGGTCTAAACGACTTGAGTGTCTTTAAAACCACAACAAGTAGAAGCGCTAAAAGCATTTCTTCTAAAGGAAGATGTTTGCGCCGTCGCCAGACGCCATTTTTGACTACAGCTAAAAAAACTACAGCGTTGTGCGGTGTAGTCGTATTTTCTGTCTTTTTCCTGATTGGTTGTTTTTAGCTGGTTAGTCTGCTGTTGGTGCTCTCTGCATCCGGGTGTCCAGACTTGTCCCGTGTGTGGAACAGACGGGATGAATCTGGCAGACCAGGCTAGGAGTGTTGGGATTGGGCCTGTGTGTGTTTGGCTCCCTAACATCATTTCTAAAGGTGAGGAGGTGCAGCAGCGGTTATGTTCAGTACTCTTGGACCAAATCAGTTGCAGCTATTTATTTCACAAGGTTTGCCGTTTCTGTTTTGCACCCAGTGACGAATAAAGTGACAGTTTCAGAAATGTTAAACCGAACACTTTGGTTCCATTCTCATTAACTGAATCGTGTGGATTAAATGTGTTTGCTGTTGTTTGTTTGTTTTTTTCACATAATTTGTCGTTTCTTGTGCGTACAACAGCTGCTGATAACAGTCAAATATTTAATCAAATGAATTAAATCAGAATAAACCAGTGAAGTGTGTTTTATATTTTTAATCGAAACATACTAGTTTATAGTAACTTTTAACAGGTGTGTGTGTGTGTGTGTGGGGGGGGGGGGGGGGCAGATTTGTCATTGTTGCATTCACAAACAGTGACAAATCTGTTCTGATAATGACCCAGATTCCTTAACTTCTCAGTTCAACGAGCACTGCCTCTCCATTCTGAACATCTGTCCTGTCAGAACCAGATCAGCAGTGAACCCTACTCCCTGGTTTAATGACAGCCTGAAGCGCCAATGCAGAAAAATTGAGCGTTTGTGGAAGAAAACCCATCTCCACGTCCATCTGCTGCACCTAAAGGATCTTCTGACATCCTTTAACTGCAGTCAGGGAAGCGAGGTTTTCCTATTTCTCCAACCTGGTGTCCCAGAGCAAAGGGAACCCCAAGGTGCTGTTTAACACCATCAGCAGCATCGTGTCTCCTGCCTCTCCTACAGCCTCCATCCACTCTGTTACAGACTGTGAGAACTTTCTGTCTTTCTTTGTGGACAACGTCAATAAGGTTAGATCTAGCATCTCTCCTTCAGCCTTATCGCCGCCTCTCCCGACTCCAACCAGGCCCATCATCCTAGATAGCTTTGCTCCTGTTTCTTTGCCTGAGTTAACCAAACTAGTTAACTCTATGAAGACCTCTGCATGCCCCCTCGACATCTTACCCTCATCTTTGTTTAAAAGTGCTTTTCAGTCCATCGGTCCCAGCGTGCTTTCTATAATTAATGCTTCTCTGGTTTCTGGTCAGGTCCCTGCTTACTTTAAGAACGCTGTAATCCACCCGCGTCTTAACCCCTCTCTCCATAGCAGCTTCAGACCCATCTCTAAACTTCCGTTCATCTCCAAGATCTTGGAAAAGGTTGTGGCTAAACAACTCACAGCTGCTCTTGATGAACGTAACATCTATGATAGCTTCCAGTCAGGTTTTTGTAGAGCTCATTCTACTGAAACAGCTCTTCTTAGGGTCTCTAATGACCTTCTGACTCACAGTGATGCAGGGGACTGTTCTGTTCTGGTCCTGCTGGACCTGACTGCAGCCTTTGACACTGTTGACCATCACCTGCTACTGGAGAGGCTGAGAGACTGGGTAGGCCTATCAGGAACTGCTCTGGAGTTGATCTCTTATCTTTCTGAGCGCTCCTTCTCTGTGGCTGTCTCCAAGTTTAGGTCCTCCACCACCTCCCTTACCCATGGTGTCCCACAAGGTTCTGTGCTGGGGCCTCAGCTCTTCCTCCTCTATCTGCTTCCTCTTCAGCACATCCTGAGCTCCTTCAAAGGAATCTCCTACCATCTTTATGCAGATGATATCCAACTGTACATCTCCTTTAAGCCCCATGAGATGTCTAAGCTGCAGCTGTTACACACCTGCTTAGACTATCAAAACCTGGATGGCTGGGAGCTTTCTTCAGCTGAATGAAGACTGAGATCCTCATCTAAATGATGGCTGCGGAAACATAGTCGACAGAATTTAGTGGAATTCTTCTCCAAGTTCAGGAAAACAAGAGAAAATGTTGTATTTTAGCTGATTTTGCATCCTTATTTTTGAAATATGTGTAATTAAGTAAGTCAGTCGTTTTATTCTACATTAAATTAAGTTTTATATAATCTTACTCATTTTCTACATATAAGGGAAGAATGGGAAAAAGCTCTGTTCTCTACAAGAATGTAATTTTCTGAGTTTTTCCTTTTACCTAAAAAATGTCAAAACAAACGATCACAAATGCTTTTTGTAGAGACATGAAACTTAATTTTGTGATTCTGTAAAAACTGTTTTTGTAGAAAAAAGGTAAAAACACGATTAAATTACAAGACCCTAGAGTTCTAGGTCACTTCGGTCACCCCACTGGCGCCCCTGGTGGTTAGCAGTGGGACACAAAAGCTTTCCAATTTAAAACGCCAAGTATGCAGATTACCGTTTTCTGCTTCAAAGTAATCTAATTATTTTCAGATGTAGCAGGAATGTACCAACAAACCAAATTCCACTTCCAACTCAATGGTTTTATTTATTTTACAATGTGAACCACACATGTCATACCAACAATCCATTGTTAAGTATATAGATTAGCCATTTATCATTTTGTTTTACAAAGAAGTGTCCAGAAACAGCTGATCAGTGTTGGCTCAAGAGACCTGTGGCAAGAGTCGACCTCTTCTGAGACAACGACGACGACGGCGTGACAGGTAGGACAAACAAAAACGATAAGTGCCACCTCTTCTGTTACCACAATGACTGGGGGAGGGGAGGGGGCAGTGGCTAAGACAATCTGGCATTTATTCTTTGTCTCACTTTCAATGACATGTCGTCATGACAACACGTACAGCGACCACGCCAGGTTTTTTTTAAAGTCAAACTTTCCTCCTAAGGTAGCGTTGGACACAGGAAGGAGCTCAGCGTGGGTGGTGGTGGGGGAGATGAAAAAGAAAGCCTCCAAACTGAAATATGACTTTTTAGCCCAGCTGATGAGTCGTTCTGTTACGTCACTCACAACAACCAATCGGAGTTCACGGGACGGTCGTCTTCTGCGCCGACACGGCCCCAAAAAGGATAAGTCAGCAGCAGCTGCGGAGATTATTACGGCATGAGCACATGACGGCTCCAAATGCAGCGAAGTTAGTGACCAAACTAACAGAATGGTAAAGAACTCAGGAAGTTCAGCTTCTCAGGCCGTACGAAGCGACGAAGCTCAAACACAGAAAACCAGAAGGGTCTCAAATCAGCTCCGACGGATCCAACAGGGAGAACTCCACCACCGCTGCGGGGATGATTTTGATCTTCTTTATTATCCTAACAACCCAAAAATACTTTTAAATGCTGCTAATGAACTCACATTAAACAAGTTCAGGTTTGGCTCTGATCCGCTTAAAATCCAGACGAGATCAGCTCCCGTTATTCGTGCCAAATCCACCTACGATCTGCCGAATCAGTCCCCACCCTCGCTGAAGGATGGACATCATTTTAGGAATTAGGTGAAGATTAACCCCATTCAAGTTTTTCCTAATGCACACATCCCTTTCACATAAAGCAGCGGGTCACCACGCATCAACACCTCTAGTCTAGTTTAAAATGATCTGGTGTGCGCCGTGGCGTTTGGTGCTAAAGTGTAAGAACGTTTATTTACAGCACCTTCCCAATAAATTAAATCAATTAACAAAACAATGAAAGACTCAGAGTCTTTGCATTTAAAAGAAATCTACAGCAGGGCCAGATGCTGCTGAAGAGCTGCTGAAATCACTTTTTCAAAGCTTCTAAGCTGCTGGGGGTTGGACGCGACGGAAGAGCCGATTTATTTGCATGAGTTAGAGATGAAAGCTAAGTGCAAAAAATACTTATTGCAACTCATCAGAATCGTCACACAAACACATAAAACAGCAGCTGCTTTCATAAGACAGAGGTAAGAGGGAGAGAGGTCGTCACAGTCAGCGAGCGGGCCATTTCAACACACACGCACACACACACACACACACACACACACACCTCTATTTTATACTGAAAAGAAAACAAAAAGTGAGGAACTCGTAAAATTTACTCGACTATTCCTGCCTGGAAACTTAACACTGGAGGTCAAATGAAAACAAAACTAAAAGGGTGATGTCATCAGGTGAAGCCACGGTCCTATGTCCAACAGCCTGCTAGTGTTAGAGACGCCGTCCACCTGGGAGACGGATATGTGGCTGTGTGAGACGAGGCCGCACACGTCCCACCAGGTCGCTCAGCGCCACCTGTGGCTGAAGAAGGAACTCCGGTGATGAAGTAACACAGAAATGGGCGGGCGAGTCTTTGACAAAGTTAGGTCCAACATTTGGCGAGCGACTGTCCACTGAGGGAAGCGATTTGATCATGGCCCTCACTTCCTTATTAAGGTGGTGGGTGTGGATTTGTGAGATTGAAGGGGGGGGGGGGGGGGGGGCACTGATGTGTCAAAGGTCAAGCAGCACGGTGCACCCTCATCCCCTGAGAACTGTCTGCAGCCAGGACCAGGTGAGTGGGTCTTTGTTGTCTCCCTCCCAGCACAGAGAAGTGTGCGATGTCGTTTGAACTCGCCCTCACACACTCTGTTCTGATTGTAGATCGATGATTTGGACGTGTGATGTTGGGAGAGGAGACGAGCAACAGAATTCAGAAGCATCCAGGCTTTAGTCTCAGCCCACACACCTGTCCTCCATGAGCCCAACTCTAAAGACCCATCTTCCACACACAGGCAGGCAGCGCATCAGATCATCCTGTTGCGTTTGTGCGTCGGGGAGTCCGTGATGACATCAGTACATTGGGTGGAGTTTCGTTTCCTGGTCCCGCCCCCTCCGGCGGAGGCAGAGCCAGTAGAGTCCAGATGTCGTGCCATCTCCTCAGAGATGAAAGTGTTCAGGTCGACATCCTGGAGCCCGTTACGCCTGCTGCGGCACACCAGTCCAGAGCCAGAAGAGCTACCTCCACTCGCACCGCCCGTGTTGCTGCTGCTGCCGCTCACGTGTGTGGGGGAACCCGGAGCACCGGAGCGTACGCTGATACTCGCCATGGCCCCACTCAGACCTGTGGATGAATGAGGACAGAATTAGGGACCTGAACAGCCTCTGGTCGGACAAATATGAGGATGTCCAACAGGACTGATGAGCCAACAGCTGGCCCAAGTGGAACGCAACCACCTTAAAACATCTCTAAAGGTTCCTCATCGTCCATGTGAAGTTGGACAACCCGAGTGCTTGAAACAGTAATTAGTGCTGTCACGATAGTCTGCAAGTCACAACTTCCAAAACCGTCTTCCACAAATGTAATCATCGATGCCACTGGTAATTTTTTAAGCTTTGTTTTTCTTTTTAGCTTTGGGGCAGCAGTAGCTAAGGAGGTGGAGCGGGTTGTCAGAAGGTTGTAGGTTTGATCCCGGCTCCTGCCAGAGAATGCTGCTGTTGTGTCTTTGGGCAAGACACCGAACCCTCCGTGCCTGCTGGTGGTGGTCAGAGGCAGCCTCGCCTCTGTCAGTGCACCCCAGGGCAGCTGTGGCTACACTGTAGCTCATCATCACCAGCATGTGAATGACTGATTGTGCCGGGGGGGGGGGTTTAGAACCCTTGAAGGTGCTACAAACCCAGGTCATTTATCATTCTTCCAGAACTGCTGCGGTACACTCTGCTGCTCCATCTGCCCTTGATGCACATGTGCAGCTGTGGCATGGCTGAAAGAGCCCAAACAATCATGGTGAGCCAGCGATGGAACTCCAACGTCTGGGAACTTTTTATAAAAATTTAATAGAAGCCTGTGCAGAATCCGTACGGTAGAACCTGCCTTCTTTGGAAGTATGACAGTGATGCACAAGAATCTTAATGAAGCACGCTGTGGCGATGGCAAAGAGCTAGAGTAACCTCTGTAGGCTCATTTGCTAGTTAGCTGCTAACAACAGTAGTGATGGTGACGTCATTACCCTAAAAAAGGCTGCTGTAACATAACAAACCAGGTGTTTTAGTTTATTACGCTACATTACAGTCGAAGACTTTGTTACCAAGCCAACCAGCATTTATATTAAAGAGCAAGTCACCCCCTACCAGAGTATTACTCCACTCCCACCTCCTGCTTGAAAAATGCAACAAATACTGTTGCCTAGCAGACCGAGAGGGCGAAGCTGCTAACAAATAGACACACACAGGCTCACAACGACATTGTGACATCATATGGTACCAGCTAACGTTCTAAGGTACCTCTTAGCCAATAGGGTGGCAGATTTAAATTCAAATGCAGTGCAGAGTTTTTACCGGACAACGGCACAACACTGACAGTTTTAGGCAGAAAATTTTAATTTTAACTAAGATGCACTAAAGTGCAAAACTATTGACTACACGTGTCTGCAGCATGATTAGACACACATTTATATAGTTTATCAGAAAAAAAAGTTGATTTGGGGGTGACTTGCTCTTTAATCCCAGTTCTTTGTTGCAAAGCTAAAGTAGTTGAATGATCCATCATCCTAATTGTCTTTATTTGTAAAAAGCGCTCAACACTTGGCGATAACACTGATGGGTATATTAAGAGTGGCAGCATCCTGGTACCATAAGATACAATTTACACACGATCTTATTAGTTGACTAATTGCCAAAATAATCGGTCATTAGTCGGCTATCAAAATAATTGTTTGTGGCTGCACTAATACTAATCCATCTTTTAACCAACAAATATCTGAACATCTCAAGTCGTCACATCCTCACTAACAAAGCAACATAATCATCTCTACAAAGTGACAATTGTTTAAATGGTTCCAGGACAGAAATACAAACATTTTCCAAAGGCAGAGACAAAAGACACCAAAACCTTCTGAACAAAACTAATAAAAGTAAACCAAACTGGTCCCTTTAACACATGAACCTTTAATAAAACACCCCGACTATCGGCTAATGCCGACACGCCAGACCAAAACAAACTTATCTCTGAGCTGCATGTGGCAGACGAGACGACGAGCACAAAGTCACATGGTGACAAAACAACATCAGAAGTTAGAAATGACATGTGTGTTCACACAAAGACACAAAGCTTTCTCGCACCAGAATTCTGCATCGACTACTTTACTGGTAATCTTTGAAAAACATGTCAGCGGACAAATACAACCCCAGGAACTATTCTCACCTCTAACGCAGTACGTGTGTGTAGGACAGCAGCAGTAACGCATCTGAGAGCAGCGCTACAGCTCCGCGTCTGGTCTTCAATCAGCCAAAAAGAGCACACATCACCCCTCTGTTCATTGAGCTCCACTGGCTACCGCTAGCAGCATGCATCAAATTCAAATTGCTAACACTAGCATACAAAGTCCGAGATGGTACGGCTCCCATCTAACTGAATCCTCTTGTAAAGGCTTACGTCTCGGCCCGGCCGCTCCGGTCATCACAGGATCGTCGGCTAGCCGTGCCTACACCACACTCAGGACAATCCAGACTCTTCTCATGCATCGTTCCACAAATGTGGAATGACCTACCAAGCACTACCAGAACAGCGGCTTCCTTTTCAATTTTCAAGAAACTCCTGAAGACCCTGCTCTTCAGAGAGCATCTTCTAAACTAGCATCCTCCCTGCACCCGTCCCCCCTCTCTACTGTCCACTCCTTGTTCCCTCCTCTCCATGATTGATGTCAAGTTGTTGTTATTGTTGTTGTTAGCCTCAAGGGCAACATGTCGAGTTATCACTTGTAAGTCGCTTTGGACAAAAGCATCTGCTAAATATATAAACACCAGATTTAAAGATGAACGAGCCGTGGACTTCTCACCATGCAGTGCTATGGCTTCCCTGAAAGGCTGAAGGTCCGTTTCCACGGACGAGCCGGTCTCGGCTGGTGAGTTGGCCCTGCTCGGGGCCACCATGGCCAACCGGGTGCTGGTCCTGCTACTTCTGTGCGGTGGTGCTTTACCACACAGAAAGCTGATGAGGTCCTCCCTACGGATGGTTCTTCGGCGCTTTATCACCCAGGCCAGCATGTCCTGCAACAACATCAAGTGATGAAGCAGATGTAGGGATCAAAGTCAAAATGTTTCCAGAAAATAAATCAGTGAAACTCTGTTGTTGCTCCTGAGTCCTAACGCGTGTGCTCCATTGTAATTAAATGAGGGTTCTGGGTGTGTTTACAAAGTAAACCACAAAAAAATTTAATAGAAAAGGGCATTTTCTGGCTACTTCTGCAGCATCGATCCTTCAAAAGAAGAGTCTCAAACATAAATGGGTACCTAGTTTGATAATAATGTGTGAAAAGAGCCCAAACAACAAAACTCACCTTGTTACGCCGCTGGTGGCCGATCTGCGTGCCTCGATCAAAACTTCTCTGGTGAGCTTCTGCGCTTTCTGGTGAAGAAATTCTCAAGTCAATGACCCAATTCGGTTATGTCTGGACATTAGAAACCTACAAACACTCGCTTAAATAGGTGAAATGAAGAGTGCACGCACACACAGATCAGGAGACGGATGTGGACAGTTACCTTTGTACAGGTTTGTTACTGCTGTAGCAGCATTCTGAAATGGCACCCATAGTGACAGGCCCTGCTGGTGGCATACTCTATCTGTGAAAAGGAACGATTGCTTTAGTTACTCTTCACCACATAACCCTGATCTTTTCAAACAGGCACTCATGTGACCCTAACGCAGCCAAAGAAGAGCAAGGTGCTGAGAAGTTGGTTTTAAACGCCATTTTGTCTCGCATCTACAACTGCAGAGATGGCATAAAAATAGCTGTCCGCAGGCGCTAGATGGCCAGCTTGGCAACACACACTTTAGCAAGAAACTTAACTGCGCGTTCAGCAGTAAAGTTAGAAATAATTGCAAAACGTACTCTAAACAATGACTGAACTAAATTCAGGCGATATCACTTTAGCCATGGATAACACAAGAAACGATTTGAAAGCGAACCAATGTTCTCCTCGCCATCTTGTGATTTTTTAACGCCTGCTAGTCACTCCTCTGCCAGTAGAGAACCCGGCGTTAACACGCAGCTCGGTTCTAATAACACTCGTTTAAATACGGTTTCAGAAAATGTGTGCGACTTGGTAAACTGATGGCACACAGAAAACTGTCAGCTGGGGACATCGCGTAGCTGCGACCGTTACCATCGCCATTTTGTACCGAGTTTGCTAATGTTGCGTTAGCCGCGCTCTAACTTAATGTCAACAAATGTAGTTCACGCAACAAATTATTCAAGATTATTGTTTTAAAACAAAACGTATTTGCTTTGACAGAGAACTAATATTTGTAACTAATATTCAGCCAGTGGCAAGTACAACATAACTGAACTTACCATCGGAAAAAGTCACCTGTAAACGCTATGTTCCAGGTGTTTTGCCCTAAAAAACGTTATTGTTAACCCTTTTCTAAACGGTTATCACATCCAAGTTCCGTCTAAGTCTAACGTCAACAAGCATTTACTTTTCATGTTCATTAAAACGCATTTTAAATAAAGTTATTCTGTTTTGTATGTATAGCATATGTACTACAAAGCTGCTATACCAGGCAGGGATGTTTTTTTTCTGCACAACACCGGTACCGGCTAGCTAGTCGGCTAACAAGCTAGCTAGCATTGTGCTGATCCTAATGTAAACTCAGTTACTGTAGATACGCTGCCAGATGGCTAACAAACTAGCCAGAGCCCCCATGGCTTATTTGTGTGTCGCTGTAAAACACACAGCGTCCTCTTCCACCTTTGTATAATTGTGCCACGGCAGTGGCGGAGTTCTGAAAGAGATGCCACAGTTTATCCTGATCGTTATCAGCCTCCTCCTCGCCTGGCTCCATCTGCTCCGCTTCGGCCAAACACTGCCGCTCCCATTTTGAGAACCAATGTTCGGGTCCGTGTTCCTGTATTTCCGAGTCTCCGTCTTCCTTCTTATCCTCCATTTAATGCACCAAAACTCGAGGGAAATTCGCTCCTAATATTCGAAATGTGTTTAAATGAGCACCGTATAAAGACCTGTATGTGTTAAATCGTGAATACGTTTATGTTTTCTTCTTGTCTTCGTCCTAAGAATACTGCATTACTGCATGTCCCTACCATCTAAGATAAGCCTAGCTAACTATTTTCTCATGGTTGCCGACGTCGCCATATATACAAGACATACTATCTTGTTGTGTGCTTTATCCCGCTCACTATGAAAAAAGGGCCAACGCTGATTGGTCATTTTACTCTTGTGGGTGAGATTTAGCGGCTGTCTCGGAATCTCATTGGCTGTCAAATGTGTCCGACTTAACATTGACATGAAACACGGAGTAAATCGTTGTTACAAAAATTCATCGCGAAAGCCACACGTGACAACATAAACAAAACCCGGAATAACAGGTTAAGGTCGAAGAATGTTTGTGTGTGTCTAAAATGGCAACAAATTTCAAGAGTTTAAAATGTTTAAATTCTTTTGTTTGTTTGTTTGTTTGTTGTTTGATTTAGAGTTTAAGCAATAAAAAGTTCCCAAACAAGACAAACGTCTTTCTCTCTCTACAAATGTATATGTAGTGTGCTTGTCACTATTAAGATAATAAGCCAAAACATATCATTTAGAACCCCTGTGTTCAACAATTTAGATAACATTTACCATCCTTGTAGTAATGAAGCTAAAAAAAATCCCAATGTTTTTATTATCCTTTTGTGATTATTCCTATTAAAGATAAGGAGGAGGAGGACATTAGGAAACTGTACTTTTAAAGTTCCAATAGTTAGTAGAAACACTTCCTGTAAATTCTTTCAAAATAAAAAACTACAGCATTAGCGACAGCTAGGGGTCTCAGTCTAAAGGTCTATTTTTATTTAGCTAAAAACACAATTCAAATTGTATTTATGTAACAGCGTTAAACACAATGGTTATGTGCAGTGGCTGACTGACCCTCAATAGCACCGGGAAGTGAAGGTTTTCTGTATTATTTAGATCAACTGGATGCAAACACAAGTCACCCCTTACAAGCGTACTTCACTCCCACTTCATGTTTGAAAAATGCAACAAATGCTGTTGCCTAGCAGACCAAGAGGGCGGAGCCACTAACAAATACACACACTCACGACATTGTGACATCATAATGTGCCAGTTTACATCATAGCATACCTCTTAGCCAATAGGGTGGCAGATTTAAATTCAAATGCAGTGAAGAGTTTTTACCTGACAACGGCACAACACTGACAGTTTCAGGCAGAAAATTTAAATTTTAACTAAAATGCACTAAAGTGCAAAACTATTGACTACACGTGTCTGCAGCACGATTAGACACACATTTATATAGTTTATCAGAAAAATAAAGTTGATCAGAGTCTTACTCCACTCCCACTTCCTGTTTGGAAAATGCAACAAATGCTGTTGCCTGGCAGACCGAAAGGGGGGAGCCACCAACATATACACACATACAGGGGTTGTTTCTCAATACTCAAGGAAGCTAGTACGTTCTTGTGTACTAGACAAGTATGCTCTTGGCAAGGACCCCAGAAAGTCTGTTCTACAGAGTACGGGAGGACAAGGGTGGCATTTGGAACAAAACCGTACTTCATTGTGTCCTGGCAACATGCGCTGCTTCTTGCTACCGTTAAAAAAACGACCTGACAAGTCTTGTTTGTTCCTTAAATAACAAAATAACAATGAAACAAATTATTTGTATTAGATTTGTCCCACTTTAATCAAAACTAATAAAATACCAGCATTTCCCGCCCTTTAATGAATAAAAAAAAGTTTATTTTTCATCAGAACCGAGCTACGGTGCTTTTATTTTGATGGTGAGTTAGCTAATTAGCATTTTGACAGATTATGAAGAGTAAAACCCAAACACACAAAGCAAAATTTACAGTTTACACATGATTATTTACAATAACAGAAAACTAGCATTTTATTTATATTTCTAATATAAAACATCACATTAGCTATCTCCTCTGACGTTCGAAGTTTAAGGGTTTACAACGCAATGCATTATGGGAAACATTGCTGTCCAAAGTTCGCAGAAGGATGCACTGATGCATCCTTGATACAATGGGCGGAGCAAGGACATATCCTTGAGCAAACTTTCCATTGATGACATTTCACAAGCACGCGAGCACACAAGTTCGGACAAGTATGCATTTGGAGAAGCGGCCAGGCTCACAACATTGTGACGTCATAATATACTAGCTAACGTCATGTATCTTTTAGCCAATAGCGGTGACAGATTTAAATTCAAATGTAGTGCAGAGTTTTTACCTGAACACGGCATAACACTGACAGTTTTAGGCAGAATATTTAAATATGAACTAAGATGCACTAAAGTGCCAAATTATTGATTGCATGTGTCTACAGCATAATTATACACTCATTTATATTGTTTATCAGCAAGAAAAAAGTTGAATTGTGGGTGACTTGCTCTTTAATGTCTGGCTTTGAGATTTTTCCACCCCAAGCGGACTAAAACTGTTACTACATGCAGCTTTCATAAAACTTTAAAAGACATTACTCATTTGCACTTTCTGTAGATGTTTTCTAAATAAAACATGCCACTTAAAAATGACTGTGGGTTTTAAATTAGCATTAACAACGTTGGTCTAAGAACCGGAAAGCCAGAATGCCTTCATAAACTACCTAAATACTAAAACTCATTAAAAACATTTCATGTATGTGTGCTCACCAAGATTAAATCAATGAGTTATGGAGGATGAAATCAATGAGCGAGCAGCGGATTTATCAATTTGGGGGCCCAAGGCGAACACAGACATGGGCCCCCTTACACAAAATTGTCGACAGCCTTATCTTTAACTGGATTTGCGAAACTCTCCCCTCTTCTGACGTGAGTTATTTTCACTTTTTCTTAGTCCTCCTCATTTTTCCCGTCTTTCTCTCCCTTTGAGTGCCTTCAATCTTTGCTCTGCTGTCTTCTTCCTGTCAGTGCTCCTGCGCTATTGCCTTTCTTTTTTTTTCTTCTATTTTCCATTTTGGTCTACGTTTTCCTCTCTTTAAACATTTTCCATTGTCTTTCCTTTTCTGCTTCCTTTTGATATTTACATTGAAAAACAACGTCACTTTTGGATGTGAAGATAAAAGCTTTTCTAACTCAAGCTGCTTCTTTTTCTTATTGGAGCCACTAGGATGACTCCATTTCATGCTTAATGGTTTGACTACTGCTTCGAGTTTGCTACGAACGCTCCCGCCGCTCTTCTTCATTTTCTGCTTTCTCTTCTTATTTGTGCTCTTATGGCACTCGGCAAACAGCAATTTGGTGCATTACTGCCACCAACTGGATTGGACTGGAATTACCACCAATCACTTCCTGTTTGTGCACTGGCGTCTTAAAGGATGTGGCATTAACAGAGCGGTGCCAGCAGTCAGGGCTAGGGGGTCCCCCCAACATAAGGGGGCCCCAGGCGGCCGCCGACCTATGCCTAATGGTAAAACCGCCACTGCAATGAGCTAAAGCAAAAGCCTGTCGAAGGTGAAAGATGGAACATGAACATGAACATGAAAGCGACACCTAGTGTGTTGAGGTTGTAGTTGCTACAAGGTTTCCAACTGTCGGGATACCAGGTTTGCTGCCGATAGGGGAATTTCTTTACTTGGGTCCGTCTGTTGTAGGTTTCACCTCAACGGTCTGATTTTAGATCTTTTATGGTCGCACCTCTTCTGAGAAGGATGCACTTTAGTGCATCTTAGTTACAATTTAAATATTCTGCCTAAAACTGGCAGTGTTGCTCCCTTGAAACATAAATCAGGCTTAGTTTAATGCTTTTTTGCGCATTACTGTTTTGTCACATAGTTTGAATTTTTACTTCAGGAGCCAGAAGCGGCAGAGGCCCTATGGGCAGCAAATGGACAGGAAGTGTTGAAAAAGGACGAAGGGGAGATGGAGGGCAGCACCACTGCTAGCCACCCTCGTCAGGTAAATACTCTGCATTGCATTTGAATTTAAATCTGCCACCGCTATTGGCTAAGAGGTGCACTATGACATTGGCTGGTACATCATGATGTCACAATGTTGTTGTGATCCTGTGTGTGTGTGTATTTGTTAGCGGCTCCACCCTCTCGGTCTGCCAGGCAACAGCATTTGTTGCATTTTTCGAACAGGAAGTGGGAGCGGAGTAAGACTCTGGTGGGGGGTGACTTGCTCTTTAAGGTTAGGACAGAGGGCCAGGGGTGTGTGTCTGCTTAGTAATGCTTTACTTAATATTAACATCAATATTTAACCGTCGGACAACATTTGTTACTACAGGTCGTTTTCATGAAGATAAACAACTCATAAGCACTTCCTGTAGATTCCTTCAAAATAAAGTATATTGCTTAAAATGTGCCAAGGGCTTTAAATTGGCTTAACAGCATATATAAATGGTAAAAACCAAAATGTCTTCACCTATACAAACTACTAAAGCTTAGTAAATCAATTTTAATTATCTGTGGTGAATGAGATTAAATCCACGAGCTAAAGCAGGAGCAGCTAGCTACATCACTACAAAAAAATCAGATCATGAACCCTCTGGCAGCAACAAGGTGAAACTAAATCCACAGTAGGGATTTATTTTCTCTCTTAATAAATCAAATTAAGTTATTAAAAGGTAATATAGAATAAACGTCTTGCCTGCTGGTGGTGCCTGTGCACGGCAGCCTCACCTCTGTCAGTGGCCCCCAGGGCAGCTGTAGCTACGCTGTGGCTCAACATCATCAGTGTGTGAATGTGTGTGAATGGATGAATGATACACTGTTGTGTATAGCTCTTTGTAGCTCTCTGACTATGAAAGGCGGGTCACGTATCGTTTAAACTCTACTTTAATGTTCCTCTTCAAACGCTGCATGATCACAGGTTCAAATCCTGGCAGCATTTGTTTTTATCCTGGTTTTCTTCTATTGGAGACAACTCACAATTCCCTAAAAGTTATTTGATGAGCAGAAAACTATTTATACGATTTGGGATGTCAATAGATGGGAGTCCCTCAAGGTTCTGTGTTTAGTCCTAAATATTAATGCTAACTATAAGTGTCTAAAATACTCAATTTTCTTTTGCTTGCAGCTGATACACACATTTTTATTTCAGTAAAATATTTAAAATCATAACAGAAAGTATGGTTTGTGAGGTGTCTAAACTTGAAAAGCTGTTTTGTAATGATAAAAGTTAAGTACTTATTAAATGGGAAAAGGGATGATTTAACCACATCATACACAAATTAGATTTTAGGGGTTATTTCAGATCTTGAGGATATTTGGATGTCTCAAATAAAATATAGAAAATCAAAAGTTAGTAGGACTGCAACTTGAAATAACTCAGAGGGTTTTAGATTTATCAGCATGACATGAAAGGACAACACATGTGTAACTAATACAAAACATTTGTTAGGATAAATAAATAAATTTACATTAAAGAAATTAATATAATAAGCCAAACACGAAAAAGCATGCCCAATAAATTACTTTAATAGATCTTCTTGCCTACTAGAACAGATCTGATTGTGACCTTCCTTCTGGGGATTTGAACATTTCTGTTTTTAATTGCTTTTATCCTTTATTAATCATTTATTACTTAATCCTTTTATTTGTTGCTTTTTCTGAGGTCCCTACAGACCAAAGATTAAATAATTTGCGTGTACAACTGTCTTTGACCACTAGATGGTGCCAAAGGCAGAAGGGTTCTGTACACAACAGTGACTTTGCTTTTAAAGAGATTTGATATGTTTTCTTAACAAATTGCGATGAAAAACATACATTTAGAGGGTTAAAATTTTCCAACGTAAAACTTTAATAAAGTTGTCCTTGTACTAAAATAGAGAAAATATTTAAAGGCCCGATATTTGGATGTTTCATTCAGTTTGTTAAAAAACATTAAATTATTTGTAAATTAGTTTGTGTAATAAATAGCTATGTAGTGATACTGAACTTTTGAGCAAACACAATAGAATATCAAATATAATGCTCCATTAATGGGCATTTTTTCTCCTGAAAGCACTGAAGTTATTTCCCATTTCATTCTGATTTATGTAAATCTGTTCGGCCTGTTTAACACAATAATGCAGACTTATTTGATCAGATTTACATCGGTTCTGTTTATGTTGCGTTTTTTCTCTACACTAGTTTTTTTTTTTTTTAATATTATTGTTCCCGAATGCATCGCAACAAACGCCGGGCCCATGTGGGTTAACGTGGATGTGAGGCTCGGGGATGGGCCCGTGTTTGGATCTCCATGCGGATGTGACATTTCAGAGAAGAGCGCGACCGCCATTTTGAGCTTTCCCTCAGACTCAACACATCACAAACCACGGGAGGAGTAGGTTCAGGCCAGCGTTGTGTGACCGGGCACATTCCTCAAAACAGACGGGAGGTTAGTTCAAAAATGCAACGAGGTGCAACGTTTTGTTATTTATCGTCGTAGGGCCGCTTCCGGGGGAATTATTGGCGAACTCTCGTCTCCGTGAACTTCCAAATTGACGCTAACATTAGTGGAAATTGGTTTGAATGGATAGCTCTTTCCTCCGCTCTTCCCCGGTCGTTGGGCAGTCGGAGGAGCACTCAGACTGGGGATATCGCAGCCAAAGTTGTTGATTGTCCGCAGCAAATGAGCCTTTGTTTCCATTATTGCGCCTTTATCGCCATTTGGCTGCCTAGTGTCAGGTAGCTCCAGGCTAGTCATAACCGGCTATTTGTTCCTCAAGGTGCAAGTCGCGCTGCGAGTTGCCTTATTGCCCCTCGTTTCCCGGGGTAAAGCCGGATTGATTTAGTTAATTTTAACGGGTCTCCGTCTTCGGAGCCCCCGTCCATCAGCGAGTTGCACCCACCAAAAGCGCCGAGATTGGGCGAATAGCGAGCAAATACGTCCGCGTTTCTCTTCCCGCTCCCCAGCCGACCTCCCCTGCTCACTCCCCGGCGCTGACAGCGGACAAGGCCGAGGTCGTAACAGAGCAGGCCCGGCCGCCTAGGCTCGACCTGTCCACTCCACCTCCACGTCCCACCACACCTCACCAGCAGTCCAGAACCCGGTTCCACAACACCGAATCGAGCCCGGACAAGGTCGAGGGTAACAAAGATAGCAGGGATAACCGCATCACCACCACAACAACTGCCAACATGAACCACCACCACACGCAGCAGCAACAGAAAGCCGGCGAGCAGCAGCTTAGTGAACCGGAGGACATGGAGATGGAAGGTAAGTGGAGAACCCGAGAAGCGTCAAAAGTAAATGTTTTCCAGCGCATGTGTCAGAATGTTACAGATGCACATAAATGCATGTATCTTTGTGCAAGCTGAACTCAACGTTACAGTAAACAAGGCCCGGGGATGGCTGGGATAGCCGGTTGCGTTTCTGCTGATTGTGCGTCCGTTGCAGCAAACTTGTGCGTAGCTGACCTCATTTCGCGTTATTAGCAAACTGTTTTATTTCTCTTCGTTCGTTTAGCAACGTCAAGCGGGTTGCATGTCTGGTTATCCAGACATTTAAACATTAGTCTCATAAACAATTCACTGGAGTTAGCTACCACATTCAAAAATAAACCAAACCACTGGGATTTCAGCTCTCCTTACGCACTATCAGAATTATTATTATTTTTCTTCTAAACCACCTGAGTTTATGAACTACGTGTGTTAATTATACACATGGACATAACGAAGTAAATTATTATCGCGTCTCTGTCTGCAACCTCCGGGATGAATTTGATGGGAATGATTCACCGGACTTTTAAACGTGTTTAAGTTTAACTAAAAGGAAGCAGTAGCAGTTAGATATTTTGATAAGTAATAAAATAACGGTCCGGCATGTAACAGTAAGCTAACCTATGAACGGGGGTGACGTTAGCATCGTGTATGCACAAAATGCGGGTGACAAGGTAAGTTATTAATTGATTATACCATTTAATAAAATAGTACACAATTTATTTATACATGAACATTTGATATTTCGGTTGTTTTGAAATTATAACCGTGTCGGGTTTCGTTGGGTGCAGTCTAAACGAGCTCGAAGGCCCGTTTCGTTTCTTGCGTTCGCTTGTTAGCATGCTAGCTAGCATGCTACTTAGCCGGTGGTCACAGAGGGGGTGTGTTGTGTTCCAAAATGGTGGCTTGTATTTTGCATCGTTAATTCTCGGCTGTGTTGGGCCTTGGTTTCAATGCCATTACTGATTTTTTTAATTTTGTCCCTAAACCCAAACCTTTGAATGCACAACGTGCTAGTAACGTCACGCGCCCCGCATTGCTTTTCGTATATTAACTGGTAGTACTGGTTTGCTAATGCTAATGAAGGCCTGCAGATAATTCCGTAACATTCTAATTTTCTTTTGCTCACGGTGACTGCATTTGTGTCTTAAAAATATGAGCCGAGTTGTAAGTTAGCGCCGTGTTGCTTTATTTGGTGATGCGGTTGCGTGTGGCAGTGCTGGCAAGTAACGGTAGTCGGTGCTGCGGTAAGCCAGGCACAGGGGCAGCGCGGGGATTTGCTGGTTCATTGTATGGAGGACCAAAACGGCATGAAGCTCGCCATTTTTAATGATCGTGTGTTTTTGTTACTTGGATTTGGAGTCGGGACAGCCCACCCGAAGCGTGGCAACAGTTTTACACCCAACGACAACACAACCCCGTTTTTATTCTTATCATTTCCCCCAAATGCCAGCTTTGCAGTCAGAATTAGCTCGTGGGAGACCTCAACTTGACTGCGTCATTCAGTCCCAGGGATCTTATCTGATGATGACACACACCATTGTAAGTTTTTAACAATCCGGGTTTCGTACGCAGCGTTAGGAAGTATAGAAAACACTATCAAATGTTTTTAATATCTAAAAGTTTGCAATGGATTAAAAAACAAGAACGTGGCTACAAAGTAGAATTTTTTTCTGCGTGTCAAGTGAATGAAACATACTGCTTCACATCAGACTGATTCAGACTATTCCATGAGTGTGAGAACCATCTGCTGTCAGAACCATTACAGCTATTGTTTACACTAACATCAAAACCAAGAAGTGTGTTAAAGTTTGAACACCTGACATAACTGCATAAGCATGCATGTGTGTGTTGCATTAACTATTATTATTTTTTAATGCTCGTCTTACTTGTAGCAGGTGCATTTACCAGCTCTTTTGCTTCTGGTTCTCCCTCAGTGCACCAAAGCCTTACAAGGGCAATGAAAACAGACTGTCATAAGAAACTCTTCATTTTGTCTGACTGCTGCACTCACGCGTGCCGTAGTTCATTTATTATGCCACATATTTGGAAGTGAATTTAATAATTTCTTCATCTCTTTCACTGCTGCACTTGTTACAGGGACATCAGTCTGAAAATAGCTTTAGAAACTTTGAGATTTAGGGTTAATAAAAGCACATAATCATAAAACTCATTTAGTGTTATTTTAATGAAGTTTTCAGGTGTTTCAGCTCGCTGTCTGGATGCTCCCAAGTGCATCCAAGATTCTCCGTAACAATCGTCATAACAGCATCAGTGTTGATGGATTAGAAACAGCTGATTTTTAACTCACAAGGTAAATTTCTTTCAGCTCAGAATAAATAAAGCTTTTTATTTGTAAGAGGAAATATAAAAAAAACGATTATTTAAAACCTTTGAGCTCCAGCAGCTATGGCGTTTCAGATTAAGATCAGAATGCTGTGAAAGCTTTCACATGGATTAAATGTTTTTGTAGCAAATATTTATTTTCAGGCTCCTTCCAGAAACACATTTAGGGAGAAATTGAGATGCTTTAAGTTTTTCTTTATAGCAAAAATGATCTGAAATAACTTTTTATAGCCTTTACTTCTAGTGGAATACCCAAACTTGTTTTTGTTGCTGCTTCCTTGGGTAGACGTCCCACAAGTTTCAGACTGGACGGGCAGGACAGGGCTGTCATACGTGTGACTGACAGGACCCATTAGCACAGGGTAATCCACTTGGAGAAAGGAGGTCAGTGTTGTGTGATCAGAACCTTCACCCGAGGACACGAGTCTCAGTGCTGGCTCTTGGAGGCAGAGAGGAGACGTAACATGTTTCTCCAGACCTGCTTCACTCGCGTCATCATTACTCATGTCGTCGGCCCTCTGTAGCATCATTGTCCTCGTCACCAGAGGTCACTCTCTCCTGCAGCCAAACCAAAACACCCATGACTGTGTCATCAGTGTGTTCAGGGTAGGGATGCACCGATACTGGTATCAGTGCCGATACGATACCGATAAGTTAATCGATACCAGGAACCGATGCCAATGCAGTTGCTTGAAAATGGCTTCACTGTAACTTGTCATTTGTGCTCACCTAATATTTTAGTTTTGTGATGATTTCTATTCATATGTTTTACTTTGTATCTACCTCACATGCTTTTCCTGTTGAAAGCAGAGAAGAAAATAAAATCTGTATTCCAAATCACTGCATTCTTTGTGTGGTAGCAGTATCGGTACCGGCGAGCACTCAGATCCAAGTATCGGTATCGTATCGGTTTGGAAAAAGGGGTATCGTTGCATCCCTATTCCCTAGTTCAGAGTGTCGAGTCGTCTCCTTTTGACCAGAAATTTGTTATTGTTTGTGTTCCTTTTGTTTAAAAGGTGACTCTCAGCCCAGGATTGTTTCTGTAATTATCCGTCCTGCTGTTTGGATAGTTTTATCTTTTTACACACGCGCTCGCAGCTTGGGAAACCTTCGCCATGCTGTCTCAGCATGGTTTTCCTAGCTGAGTGTGTTTTGGGGGCGTTCCTTTTCTGCTTAATTTTTATTCTGAGTAAAGTCTCAACTACTTAATGGATTTGGAACAAGATAATATACGAAATAAGCATAATTTGGTGAAACTATGCTGGAATGTAAAAGGTTGCTGCTTTAGGTAAAACTTTAGTGTTGAGATGATTGTTGCAGATCCTCAGCCAGTTAGAAATCACTGTTGCTATTATTACTAGGGATGCACAATATATCAGCATCAATATCCGTATCAGCTGATGTTAGTCATTTTTTAACATATCTGTATCAGTCCAATAAATAAAACTGGGCCGATATTAACAACCAATATTTTTTCCTCCGTGTTTCCAGTTCTTAATGTTTCAGAGGGTGAGGGAATGATATGTATTTGTTTAGTCATGTTACAGTGGTTGTAATCATTTCAGAAGCGTAAACTTGTGTGTACTTAATAACGTAAACTCGACTTTTAATAGTTTTCATTCTATCCCAAATCTGCTGACTTTTGAAGCATCAATGTCGGCAAATATCGGTTATCAGCCACAACAGTGAAATTAATGTCTATCGGCCCAAAAATTCCATACCAGTGCATCGCTAATTATTACACCTGTCTCCCTTCCTGTTCCAGCTGGGGACACAGACGACCCTCCAAGAATTCCTGCTAACCCAGTGATCAATGGGAATGTGGCCATGGCAGACGGACACAACAACACAGAGGAAGACATGGAGGACGGTGAGGAAGAAAGATGCTTATAGAAACATTAGAATCAGGTTTAATAGTGATGATCACGCTCCTCCTGCTTTAACGCCATAATATAAAGATCATTTTTTTGTTGAAATGATATTTAACTCGGGTAACAATATGATCTGCCTTTTGGGAACAAATCAGTGATTGAAAGTCATCATTTTTCCTTTACTCTAACATTTGAAATAAAACTTACTTTTAAATATGCATGCTTTAGCCTATTCCTTCCTTTAGGACTAGGTGATCTTGATCAGAATTGTCACTGAGCTAACCCAAAAGCAATGCAAGTCTCCGGGTCGGAAGTGATTTTCTGTTTCTCCCACAGACACCAGTTGGCGATCAGAGGCGACGTTTCGGTTTGTGGTGGAACGTTTCAGTCGCCTGAGCGAATCGGTCCTCAGCCCAGCCTGCTTTGTCCGGAACCTGCCCTGGAAGATAATGGTGATGCCCCGGTTCTATCCCGACCGGCCTCACCAGAAGAGCGTTGGCTTCTTCCTGCAGTGCAACGCAGAGTCCGACTCCACGTATGTGACCAGCTTTCACTGTGTTTTTAGCTCAGGAGCTAATAGTTTACAAGGATTGCTAATAAACTTCAGCTAACAACAAACAACTTTATTACAAATGCTTGTTTTCAGTTAAAACCATCCACTGGGTAGGAAGCAGACGCTGCAGAGAGAGGTTCCGCTGCAGTAACTGGAACCCAGATTTATAGGACCATAGCGTTTGAAAAACGGGATTTGCCGCGGCACCCTGGGGAGGATTTTGGTGTTTATAGTAGCACAGCTGAAGCTGGAATAAACTGCCATCTGGCACCTCTCAAACCAAGACGGGATATAGGGAGGTCGCTGGGCGGCCCCCCCGCATGTGACGTACAGGGTCGCGCATTCGGCGTCAGACTGATGAAATTTATTTTTCAGACCTTTAGCTTTGAAGTGACTTGCTTTTTGTCCCGCTTGACGCCCCGCCCCACGTCGAACAGCTGGCTATCTCTCCGTCCCCGTAAAAAGGCGACTAATCTGTTCGTCCGCTCGCATGGCCAAAAGCTCCATGGTCTCCGCGTCCGTCCAGCCGGTTTTCCTTCCAGCTGGCACTCGGCGCGCAGTACACGTGACTAACGCAACCACCCTCTGTTGGAGCTTTCTTCAGCTGAATGAAGATAAGACTGAGATTGTCATCTGTGCCCCAGACAAGCTGGTTCCCAAAGTCAGAGACTCTCTTGGTCAGCTTGCTTCTCACACCAAACCTTCCCTCAGGAATCTTGGTGTGACCTTTGACCCAGCTCTCACCCTGGATTCTCATGTCAGTTCTCTTGTTCGCTCTTCTTCCATCTCAGGAACGTTGCTAAGCTGAGTCCCATTCTGTCCCGCTCTGAACTTGAGACAGTTCTCCACACCATCTCCTCACGCTTAGACTACTGTAACTCTCTTTTCACGTGTCTGAGCAGAACCTCCCTGAACCGTCTACAGGTGGTTCAGAACGCCTGTGCTCGGCTTCTGACCAAGTCCTCCAAACACACCCACATCACCCCGCTTCTCCTCCAGCTTCACTGGCTGCCAGTCAACTTCAGGGTTCATTTCAAGATCCTGGTTCTGGTCTATAGGGCCTTACATGGACAAGCACCATCTTACATTGGTGATCTTCTTAGTCCCTACACCCCCAGCAGGTCCCTGAGGTCCAGTGATCAAAGCCTACTGGTTGTGCAGCACCAGGCTAAAGACCAAAGGTGACAGATCATTTGCTGCTGTGGCCCCCAGACTCTGGAACTCTCTCCCCCTGGGCCTGAGATCAGTGGACTTTAAAAAGCAGCTGAAGACTCACTTGTTCAAGCTGGCTTTTGTATGACCTTCTTCACCACTCTCTTTATTCTGTTCTCCCCACCTATTCCACCTTCCTCAGGATCCACCGATTTCCCTTTTTCCTATTCACTCTCTCTCTTTCTTAACATTTTTAAATCACAATTGTCTATTTTTTTGCTCATTTTAAATATATTTGTAACCATTTTCTAAATTATTTTTTTATTTTTACTTTTTGTTTTTGTGAAGCGCCTCGTGGTTTTTGTCTTGAGAGGTGCTATAGAAAATATAGTTTCTTCTTCAGATTACAGTGGAGACGATGCAGCATAAGAAACAATTCATTTAAAGGCTGATGATTACGTCAGGGGTTTAAGTTTAGTTTTAAACAACACTAGGGTTGAGGCAGATCTGAGGTCCTGGGGAAGCTGATTCCATATGTGAGCAGCATAGTAGCTAAAAGCATCTTCACCCTGTTTGGTTCTGACCCAAGGTTCTACCAGCTGATTGTTACCTAAGGATCTCAGAGCCCTGCTGGGTGTATATACGGGAATGAGATCTGACATGTATTTTGGTCTCATGACATTGAGTGAGTTATAAACTAGTAGTAGCACTTTGAAATCTATTCTGTGGTTTACTGGTAACCAGTGTAGGGATCTAAGAACAGGAGTGATGTGCTCCGTTCTCTTGGTTCTTGTTAAGACTCTAGCAGCAGCATTCTGAACCAGCTGCGGCTGCTTCACAGCTTTTTTGGGAAGACCAGTTAGGAGACCATTGCAGTAGTCCACCCGAGTAGCAATAAAAGCATGAAAACATTTCTATAAGTCTGGTCTGGACATGAGACCTCTGACTCTTGATATTTGATAAAACGCTGATTTAGTTATAGCCTTAATATGTCCAGAGAAGCTCAGGTCAAAGTCAATAATAACACCAGGATTTCTAATCTGGGTCTTTTTCTTTATTCTAGGGTTGTCACGGTGTGAAAATGTAACCTCACGGTTATTGTGACCAAAATGATCATGGTTTTCAGTATTATCGTGGCATTTTTAAAACGTGTTACATTTTCAGACAACTAAATAAATCCTGTATATCAGGAAAATATTGTCCTCAGTTTGTGTCAAAATTGTTATTTGTAATTATGTTGTTCATTTGTTTACATTTTTCCCCTTTAGTCTTTAAAATACCAATATTTGCCCATAACTTCTTATTTTTTGTCTGTTTGTCATTTTAAAAATATTAGACCAGATGATAGTACTAGGGATGCACCGATACCTCTTTTTTCCAAACCGATACGATACCGATACTTGGATCTGAGTACTCGCCGATGCCGATCACCGATACCAATACTTCCACCACACAAAAAAATGCAATGATTTGGAATACAGATTTTATTTTCTTCTCTGCTTTCAACAGGAAAAGACTGTGAGGTAGATGAAAAGTAAAATATATGAATAGAAATCATCACAAAACTAAAATATTAGGTGAACAGAAATGACAAGTTACAGTGAAGCCATTTTCAAGCAACAGCATTGGCATCGGTTCCTGGTATCGATTGACTTTTACCGATACCGATACTGGTATTGGTATCGGTGCATCCCTACTCAGTACTCAAGTAGCCTTCTAATCAGATACTTTTTTTTTACCCTTACTTGAGTAATAAACCCTATATCAGGAAAATATTGCCCTCGGTTTGTGTTCCAGTGAGCTTTGCAGATGTGGGAAAATGTCATCAGGCAGTAATCATTGTTAAATTCATAATTATTCTCGGAGAGAGACCAACTCTTATCTGCCCCTGGGAGCCCCATAATGCATAGCGTCATTTCAACATGGCGGTGTCCGCGACACGGTTTATATGCAGGTGGCGGCGCTGCGGCTGCTTTATATAGCGACTCGTTGCATTCTCCCTCAACCCAAATCCTCGGATCACGCATTTTAGCTAAAACGCTAACGTTAGCTTGCCTTCCCTTGACTGTAGAGTTGTGGGTGATGGTCACGCAGATGTGTCATGAGATTTGAAGCGTTGCTGCCTTTCACAGACACTTTTTCTGCACGTGCTGCAAACAGGATAGCCGTCTTCTATCAACCGTCCCTCGGCATTCTTCGAATATCCAAAAAATGCCCGTACTTCCCACTTTGTCTTCTTTGAGGGATAAAAAAATGTCCTGAGCGCTGCCGTCTCCTCCTTTGGCCATTATTTCAGCTTTAGCTTCAAGAAAGTTTTGGTTGTAAACAACAAAGTGCGCATGTGCCGCCGGCAACCTCAGCAGATGATACGGTGGCTGGTAAGGGTCACCGCGCCTACACCGCAGCCACAGTAAACCACCGAGATAATATAGTTTTTTAAAAAGAAGACGGTTGTTATTATTGCCAACTTTTTTACCGGGGTTTACCGCTACACCGGTTACCGTGACAACCCTTCTTTATTCCCCTGGAGTTAAGCTGAGCAATAACATCCATTCTTACCTTCTTGTTGCCAAAGACAATAACTTCAGTCTTGTCCAGGCACCGACAGGGTGAGTCCAGTTGGCGATAAGGCTAGGTAGACTTTCTTGTAGTTTTCCATGAATGAAATTAGGAAGAAAAGTCTGCGTAGTTGGAATCAAACCTCCAGATGTCCTGTGGTCCCAAGTCTCTCAGTTTTCTGCTAAATTCTGGCTAAACCTTTTAAGCTTTTGTTTTTGTGAAGCGCCTCGTGATTTTTATCTGGAGAGGCGCCATATAAAAGATTGTTTTCTTTCTTTCTTTTATATTTATATTTGTTCCTGTTTATAAATTGTTTTCTCTTGATTTACTTTAATGAAGCATGTATGTGACATTGAGATGAGATTTCTCCTTAGTTGGTCTTCTGTGTCTGGATGCCTTTTTGGATGTTTTAGTAAAATCATCCATACAGAACATTTTATAGCGAAAGGATTACAAGAGAAAAACGGAACAAGTCCAAATATCAGGTTGTTCTGTGGCTAGAAGTGATCTCAATTTAAAAATTGTGTTTTTTCAGGTCGTGGTCTTGCCACGCACAAGCCATGCTGAAGATCATCAACTATAAAGATGACGAGAAGTCTTTCAGTCGCAGGATCAGTCACCTGTTCTTCCACAAAGAGAACGACTGGGGCTTCTCCAACTTCATGTCCTGGAGCGTAAGTACACGCACGTCCCGGCAGTTCCTCGTTTAGAAAGATGGTTCACCTGAGCAGGGCTCAGTTTGTTTCTTCATGTTCATTAAAGTCATTCAAAACTAACGGTGTGGTTTTGGCTTGTAGGATGTGACTGATCCAGAGAGGGGCTTCATCGATGACGACAAAGTCACGTTTGAAGTCTACGTCCAGGCAGACGCCCCACACGGAGTGGCGTGCGTACTTTTTAAAACTTTGTAACTTAAAAGGGTTTTTATGGGCTCGATAAACGGGAGGCGACAAACGACCGCCATCAGCGAAATTCGTCGCTTTTATTACCCGACACACGGGAGGCGACCCGCGGCAGCGGCAAAGCCGTCGACGCGTTCTGTTCCATGGCGAAATCGAATCTTCCATTGTTTTGATTTAAATGATTAGATTGGATGTTAAATACATAAACGTTTTTCGTTAGGTTTGCTATTGCTCTAGATCAGGGGTCGGCAACCCGCGGCTCTTTCATCCATCTGATGTGGCTCTCTGTAAACTAAAGAATATTTAATCACAATGTATTTTATTCATGTTTTCATCTGTAGCCAATTCTAAATTTAAAGATCGTCTGTGTAAACAGGTCACCTGCTTGTGCGTAATCAAATGTCTCTATAGGAGCTTTCTGAGCTGAAGAGGATATGAGATTCTGGACTGTTCCTCAGACAGGCTCATGGATGCGTCGCAGTGTTGGAGACAGGGAACAGGGAACATTTTTTGAGTGACAAGTCTCTGAGGGACCGGGTTTAGAAAACACAGAATCTTCCTGCATGGTTCTGGTTCTGTGATGCGCTCCAAGCCCCCGATCTATCTTCAGCTCGCTGTCCACGTTACGCGCGCGCTGACAGCGAGCTGCGCTGAGCTCAGTGTCCATCTCAGGTGTTCTGATGGGAATCTTTTCCTGATTGATGTAGCTACCTCCACGATGTGCGTTAAAATGTCAGCGCATCTGCAGGCTTGAGATTTCTCCGTTAAAATAAATACGGGAAACATCGGGTCAGTGCGAACCCTGTCATTTAACCGTTTTACCTTCTAGTGAAGATTGTTGCAAACAGAAACATTAAACCTGATGAACACCAGAGCCACCACACTGCGCCGTTGTCTCCGTCAGTGTAAACAAGGGAAAAAAAACTAATTGTCTTTTCTTACCTTTTCAACAATGTTTAATGCAAAGTTTAGTTCAGTACAAAGGTGAATTACAACAGTCCAACGAGACAGAGCCTGGATTTGTATTCTGAACAGTTATGTGTGATGCCTCAAAAAGCGCCCCTGCTCAACTATTAAAACCACTAGCAGGGTGAGAAAAATCGAAATATTGTAGCACAGACAAGCTTCAAATTTTGGATCAGCTTTATACAAACTGTTTTATTAATTATCTTCTGTTGAAAGATCACTTTGAGGTACATGAGCGACCGGTATTGGTTGTTGTCACCTGTTGTGATCTGTTAAAGCAGCTCTCTGCTGTCAGAGGGTAGGCCCCGCCCACAACGCTGCGGCTGCTGCGGCTCCCAGTGTTTTCTTTACTGTGGGAAACGGGTAATAATGGCTGTTTGATGGGGAAAGGTTGCCGACTCCGCTCTAGATAAAGTTACAAAAACGTTTTGCATTTGTAAAGTACACTTACCTGATGTGTTAATTGTGGCACCAACAATTTCCCATGCCGCGGCCTTTTTCTGAATATCTCTATATTCTTTGGTAGGAATATTGTTCAGTTCTGGGAAATCCGTCACAGCAAGTATCAACTTCTCCTCCATGTTTGCTCGGAGATGTACGGAGCATCCTGTCCACTCATTGGTCAGTGAATGAAACCTCCGTTGATTGGTCCTCATCCGAGCGACAGCAATGAAAAGTAGAAAATATTTAAACTTTCTGGGATTGCGTCGCTGGGTCGCCTGTGCACGACACGTGCGCAAGCGCAAAATTTCACACGCACGTTTTTTGCGTTTCACTTAGTAGGAGGGAGACCCGCGATTATCGCTTTGTTGCGCATGTCTCATTGAAAATGAATGGAGGAGAGGCGATGTCGCCTCCCGTGTGTCGAGCCCATTAGTCTCTTAACTCCAACCTCTGCTCTGCAGCTGGGACTCTAAGAAACACACTGGCTACGTTGGACTAAAGAACCAGGGAGCAACTTGTTACATGAACAGCCTGCTGCAGACGCTGTTCTTCACTAACCAGTTACGGCGGGTATGGGTGCATCTTTACATCAAAGTTATATTTAACTTGAATAAATATCTACAGAAGAGGGTCATGGCCACTGAAAAAAGCTGTTTTTTTTTTCATAATTCAGAGAATGACCTGAAAATTCGGAGAGGCTTTTATTCTGAAATTAAAAACAAAAATCTTCCTTTTCCTCTTCTGTAAATACTAACATTTAAGAGATTTGTTGTTTTTCACAAAACATCATTTTGTATTCATCAGGTTATGAAATAAAGGAAAGTAAAACTATGGGATGTTAATATTTGTCATTCTGTTGTTGAATTTCCATAAAAACAAAAAAGATCCTTAAACCTGCTTTTATAAAAATATATATTAAAAAAATAGTTTTTCAAATCATTCTTAAAGCAGCTTCAATATTATATTAAATGTAATGTTGGTTTGTGACTATCCGTTAGCTCATCAGTCTTCAGGGACATAAACTCTTTCTCCCAACAGAGGCCTTTCAAGGGGCTAAAGTGGGAATTATTTAAAACTTTTGCACAGAAACACTCTTCAAGATGGCTGAAATATCCCTTTAAGTGATGAAAACTAGCAAGCCCCATCAGATGAGGTGTAACTTTGGTGTGGACGTCTGTTCCCAGGCCGTCTACATGATGCCCACGGAAGGCGATGACTCATCGAAGAGCGTCCCCCTTGCGCTGCAGAGGGTTTTCTATGAACTCCAGCACAGCGACAAACCCGTAGGCACCAAGAAGCTCACAAAGTCTTTTGGGTACTTATAATTTTGTGGATCGTAAATGAAAACTAAAGTCTGTGTAAAGTTAAATTTCCTGACATGTGGAATTCTGATCCTAACTGTTTCTGGACTCCTGTTGTGAAGGTGGGAAACACTAGATAGCTTCATGCAGCACGACGTTCAGGAGCTGTGCAGAGTGGTGAGTTCTTAAGTGACCCTTTAAATGATGTGCACCTGTTTTCTGAAGTCACTTACACACACGTGTGTGTGTGTGTGTGTGTGTTCTCCAGCTCCTGGACAACGTGGAGAATAAGATGAAAGGCACTTGTGTTGAGGGAACCATCCCTAAACTTTTCAGAGGAAAAATGGTGGTAAGCTCATCCTTCTGTGTCTTTACTTGTTACTTTAGCATTTTTTAATTATTTTGTTTTTTAAGGTGGGCGTGAACATGTGTAATATGTGTTTATGATTCATAAACGGTGTGAAACCTCTGCTTGGCACAGGACACATCTGTGTAAGAATAGAGGGTTAAAATAAGAAGCGACCCTCTGAGAAAGGATATTTTTAACTATCTGGATCATACTTCCTGACCGTGTGTGTGTGTGTGTGTGTGTGTGTGTGTGTGTGTGTGTGTGTGTGTGTGTGTGTCCTTTTTAGTCGTATATCCAATGTAAGCATGTGGACTATCGGTCTGAGCGGATAGAGGACTACTATGACATCCAGCTTAGCATAAAGGGAAAGAAGAACAGTGAGTAGTAGGAACATCTAATACTTACCTCTGGCATCATAATTTTACTCGTTACAGAAACTAACCTCGGACTGATTTGGTGGATGTTTTACCTAAAAACTCAGGATTTGTGTTTTTTCCACGTCTTGATCTCACGCCATTCTTCTGCTTGTTTTCAGTCTTCGAGTCATTTAAAGATTACGTTGCTACTGAACAGTTAGATGGAGACAACAAATACGATGCAGGAGAACACGGCCTTCAGGTGAGATCACGTTCTAGATCAGCTTGCATAACGTTTGCCCTCATGTGGCTGTCTGTGTCTGCTTGCATGTTGGGTTTCTGGCACTGGCAAAAGCACTGGGTCGTTTTTGGTAAACTCCGAGGAAAAAATCCATGGATGTGGAACTGATCGATGGACTTTTGAAGTTGATCTGAGTTGAGATGGCCACCACAGCTCATCAGCATCAGCCAGTCCTGTTAGACAGATATGGAAATGTAGTTTGATGTTTGCAGAAGCTGAGAGATTTGAGTCCTAAGCAGTCAGCTGAGATCTTTTTGTTCCTCCAGATAAGAGTTTATAACTCTGGAGTCTAATGTAGAGGGAGGTGGATGTTTCTGCAAGGCCTTTTTAAACTTTATTTAAACTATTTCAAAAGCAACATTAGAATTTTCAAATGTGAATGATAGAATCCGTTTCCTCTAAAACAACCAAACAGTCTTCTGTTTTTTTCTGTTTCATTACAGGAAGCAGAAAAGGGTGTGAAGTTCCTCACTTTTCCTCCGATCCTTCACCTGCAGCTGATGAGGTTCATGTACGACCCACAGACCGACCAAAACATCAAGATTAACGACAGGTAGAACACACACACACACACCCTTTTTTAGGTTACCAAAAACAAGTAGCGTTAGCAAAACAAGGTAAAGAACAACTCTTTTTGTGTTTTAAAAGAACCAAGCAATGCAAGTTGACAAAACACACAGAACGAAAGTACAGAAGATGTTTAAAGTGAAAGATATGTTAATGAGCACAGAGAAATTGTCGACGAACAGCTAAACGTCCGGGTTTCTCATTCTGCAGCACCGGAGCTGACTGCGCCGGTAGCTACAGGTGTTGTGTAGATAAAGGTTAGGCTGCTGGCTGTGGCGCCGTGTGCCTCCCCCGTCACGGGGACACGCATCTTTCCATGCAGCCGCATAAAGAGGAAGTAAACGAACAGAAATATGAGCAGCTCAGCTACTTTTAAATATATTCATAATATTAACTCGTTTTTTTTTAATCAGTTTACTTCCTAAACAAGATAAACTAAGGGAATGACAGAAATACAGAAAGAAAGAAATACCCAAATAATAATAAAGAAATCAAAGGATAACTTGGACACATTTTCCCTTTTTTCTTCTTATTTTAATGCTTTGCTGAAGTATCGGATCGGTATTTGGTATCGGCAGATATTCAAAAATAAATGACTCTGATGGGGAGCGATAAATGCGATCGGAGCACCCCTAACCTTTTCAGAAGGCAGAGTCATCTAAGATTGTTGTCCTTTGTTGTGTAACAAGCTCTGAGTCATCTCCACTTTAAAGCTGGGAGCACCCGGCTCCTCTTAAGCCGGGCGTCCACTGTGCGACTTTTTCACTTTTTTTGAGCCGATTTTCCACTCGTGCGAGAATCTACGAGATCGGGGCGAGTTTTGCGCCGAGCGTCGTGTAGTGTACAGGGGGTTACGAGAGGCGATTAACACCACGTGATCAGCAATCGTGAGCTCGCACGGACTTCTGGTGTGTTTTTGGCGCCAGCTATTTCCCTACTAGCACACATCGTTCGTTTATATTTCTACACTTTTTTTTTTTACACAAACAATGAAAAGGATCATCAAGAAAGCATGTTTGTCCTGTTCGTGTCAAATTAAAGTGACCACAAAACACTGATTTACTTTATTTTGTTTTCCTCATCCAACCCCTATAAATCCCTGCGTCGTCCTGCAGCACTACTGAAGCACAACAGACATTAGGGCTGCAACTAACGACTGTTTTAATAGTCGACTAGTCACCGACTATTGAAACGATTGGTTGAGTAATCAGATAATTATTAAGTTTAGCGTGAGATTGCTTTATTAATTGCAGCTTGTTATGTAAGTTATGTATTTCAGCTATATATATATATATATATATATATATACCTTTTCAGAAGGCAGAGTCATCTAAGATTGTTGTCCTTTGTTGTGTAACAAGCTCTGAGTCATCTCCACTTTAAAGCTGGGAGCACCCGGCTCCTCTTAAGCCGGGCGTCCATATATATATATATATATATATATTTGCTTTAAAATTAAACTATTGATATGTAGGGCTGCACAATATATCGAAAAATTATCGTCATCGGGATAACAGGACGTGCGATAGGCCCATCGCAAAGCACGTCAAAAATGGCGATAAATGTTTGGTTCAACATTTCCATCTGTGTCATACATCAACTTTTTGTAAACCAGCTCTGTTTTTAACGCGGAAGTATTATTTGACCAATCAAATGTAGTCCTGATATGCGGCCAGTCAGATGGGTCCGTCACGTAATACGCCCGCCCCCTACATAGACCCTTTTGGAAAGCAACACCCGAACATTAGCGGCGCCGTTCCCTTGTTCGTCATGCTGGCTCAGAGCAACGAACGCACTTTGCGCTGAGGTTTCTGGAATCAGCGCTGCTTTCAAACGTGAACGCGAGTCCGCTCGGTGTCGTTAATCGTTTTTACCGGGCTGACTCCGACACGTGCCGGTGAACCAACCCACCTTCATGTCGCTAGTGTTCCACCGGGTGGTGATGTTAGCCCCAGGCTCCGGTTAGCTTCCAGCTAAAAGGCTGCAGCACTCTCCTCCCAGTCCCACCCTGCTAAAGAGGGCCTGGAAAAGTTCCCCCACACATCAAAGTGATTTTTCCTTTATGAGCTTTTATAACCTTGTTAATCAGGATAGTTGATTTGCTGCTGCACATAAACTGTCAGTCAGAAGCTCTGCTAGCCGGTTATCTTAGAGGAGCTAGTTCAATTAGTTAGCTTGTTATCAGAATCATAGTTGCAGTTTCATCATCTGAGCTGCTTTTTGAGATCCAGGTAAACTTGTTCAATTTGGGGTTAAAAACAAACATTTTCACATATTTTCCATGTAGTTTTTTTGCCAGTTCCTCTTCTGAAAGGTAGACGATTGTTTTTCTCTTTCCCTCAAAAAATCTTAATATTCTCCTAGTTTGGCCCAGCACAGTTCACTTCCCAGTTGCAGCAACAGCCTTATATCATAACCACATAAGTGGAGAGAATGCTCAGTAGCAATGAGAGAATTTGCTGTTGCATTTAAGTGATGTTAACTATTATTTAACATTCAAACCTATTTTCTGATTTTATTTATTCAGAAACCCTGGTAAGGGATGTTTTTCTGTATTTGGAGCGTCAGAAAAAGTTTTATGGTGGAGGTGATGTTTTAAAGTCACTGAGAAACTGCATGCATGCATTTTGTTGTTTTGCTGCTAATACAGGAGCAGGTGCAGCTGCATATGTTTGCAATAAAAATGTTATGTTGTAATGGAATTCATGCATCAGTTTTTGTTTGCTTTGAACCCAGAGCAGACGTCACACGCCAGACGACATCAACATTGCATACTTTAGTATTTGTTCATTTATCATGAGTAATATCGATATCGCAGTATTAAGCACTGTTATCGAACATCGCAGGTTTTCCTAATATCGTGCAGCCTTAGTGATATATATATATTTTTTGGATGAAATATTTCTGTTCATTTTAAACGATTACCTTCAGAATCTGTGTACTGTATTTCTGCTCCATCAAGTGGTGAAATGGGTTCTGGATGGCAGGATGTAGTGTGGATTGAACTGGGTTATCATTTGTTGAAACCCAGCACCATCCACCATGGAGAGCGTTCTCATATCATAGATCAGCGCCTGTTGCGGGGTGCACGTCTGCTTCTTTTGCAGAAAGGGGTTCATGGTGGCTCTCTTCTTCAGACTGCATGCATTTAATTTAAAATACTTTTGTCAGGCACAGTCGGGCATAACATTAAATCTCTATTTTTTTAAAGCGAAAATACGTACAACGTACATCCAAAACAAAACGTATTGGCTTTTGTGTTATTTAAATCTTACCGAGGTGAGTCAGACTCTGTTTCATTCGGCTGTCCGACGTGCTTTCTCTTTAAGTGTTCATGCATCTTCGAGGTGCTGCCGTGATACGCGAGGACTGCTTTGCATATAATGCAGGTTATCTTTTTATTCGCCGAATCCAGGCTAGAATGCTCCCAAACTTCAGATGTTTTGGTACGCGTAGCTGCTGTGTTGGACGCCGCCATTTCTGTTAGTTGGCGCTCAGCAGAGACGCTATTGCGCATGTGCGACTCTCGGCAGAGATTGTAATGAAGTGAGATGCCTCACTCGGTCAGAAGAAACTCGTCTGGCTACAACGTCGACTATTGTCTATTTGTCGACAACATCGACGAATCATTGCAGCCCTAACAGACATAAGTAACAACACAGGAAAAGTCTGACGTGTTGTGTAAAAACTGCAATTTTTAGCATATTTTTAGGTCCGACGTGTTGCTACCACACACACAGCGTGAGCAGTCAGGACGCACCCGAGAACTGGGTCGTACAGCGTGAGCACATGACTTGTGAGATTTGCTCTGCGAGGAAGTCGTACAGTTTGAGCTGAAGCTGATCGCTACAAGTGAAAACGTCGCAGTGTCCGCCCGGGATTAGGGCCTTGCACTCAGACATGGGTGTGGAACAGCATTTGAATATAATCATGACTGAATAAGCTAGCCTTTTCTCCCTAATCATTTACAGTTGTCTGATACTTAACTGGTCCTGGTTTCTCCTCAATAGATTTGAGTTTCCAGACCAGTTACCTCTGGATGAGTTCCTCCAGAAGCCGGACTCCAAGGATCCTGCCAACTACATCCTGCATGCGGTGTTAGTACACAGTGGGGACAACCACGGCGGTCACTACGTTGTCTATCTCAACCCTAAAGGAGACGGCAAAGTGAGTGACAAGGAACCAATAGTGAGAACAAATTTTTTTATGCACCTTTCACAAAATGTTCTGTTATTGGTCGGTTTTAGCTTCGCAAACATCTAAAAATGTTTAAAGAGGTCAAAGCTAAACGGTCATAAATGTAGAAAATGTCAAAGATCAGGTTTGATTCCATGTGTTTAGATTCTGAGTCATGACACAAACCGACACCTGCCTGTTGTTGAACGTTACCCATTCTCTTAAAAATGAAATGTTTCTCAGGTTTAATTAGGTGTTTTTTTGTTTTTGTTTTTTTGTGTGCAGCATTGTCAAAAGAGCACTTTCACCCCACTGATCTTTAATTATTTAGTTTGTTGTGTACAGACTTGTGTTTAATTTTAGCTCCAAAGGTTCTCGTTACACTTTGGTTAATATAAATGGGATAAGTGGCACGTTCTGTGTTTTGTTTGTGAAACATCCCTTTAGTCCGTGATGCTTCTGACCCTCCCCTTGTCTTTCTGGTCTGTCCCGTTCTCACCGATCCTCCATGTTTGTCTGCAGTGGTGTAAGTTTGACGACGACGTAGTTTCCCGGTGCACCAAGGAGGAGGCCATAGAACACAACTACGGTGGGCATGACGACGACCTGTCAGTCCGCCACTGCACCAACGCGTACATGTTGGTCTACATTCGTGAGTCCAAGCTGAGTGAGTAACGTCATCTCCTACAGTCTGAGCTAAGCTAAGCTAATGTAGCCAGGAATGGATTAGGGACTTCCTGTCTGATGCTCCATCATACTGAGCACGGGAGCTCCGCAGGGATGTGTGTTCAGTCTCTCCTGATTCACAGCTGCTCTGCTAAGTTTAGCTCAAACCAGCTCATTACATTTTCTAATGTCACAACATTGGTGTGACTCGTCAGGACTGATAAAATAGCGTCTTACAAAGCTGAGTAGGAACTCTTACTGAGCTGGCATCATTTCTCAGGAGATGGAGGAGTGGGACAACTCCATCTTCCACTCTTAGCACCAGGTACATTTTAGTAGAACAGCAGCGTCGATGAGGGGAAGACTGCATCCTGTATAAAAAATGGCTGAGAAAGTCGTTAGGGTCTGAAGCTCTTATTTAGATTTTATTTTCCTCGTCACACAACTGTACCAAAATCACTCATGATGACTTTGGTCCTTCAGCAGAATCTCTAGTAACACATGTAGACCAGAGAAGGTTCCTGTCATCACATCTTATAGACTCAAAAGGACAAATGACTTGAAACTATATTAGATGACTGATACATGTGTACCAGGCAGGTTATAGAAGTTCAAAGTTGTGACTGGTCCCACTTCTCCTGTCCCAGGCGAGGTGCTCCAGCCCATGACCGATGTGGACATCCCTCAGCAGCTGGTGGAGCGCCTGCAGGAGGAGAAGAGAGTGGAGGCGCAGAAGAGAAAAGAGCGCCAGGAGGCTCACCTCTACATGCAGGTCCAGGTAAGAAAGCGTAGCTGTTGAGTTGAAGAACTGTTTTCACTTCTTATGGGGTCTTCTTCCTGTTCCTGTTTGTGTTTATGATGCAAAACCTTCAGCTGTGGAAGTTTACTGGGTCAGAGTGGGAGCTTTTCCAGCATGAAGGAACCATGAATACCGCTCCAGAACTAACGTCTACCACAGCTTACCTGTTGGGTGACTTTAGCCAGTGAAAAGGGATAAAATAGAGGAGCTGAGATGTTACTTCTCTGCCACCTTGTTGTTGTTGTTGTCAGTGTTTTATTTGTGGTATAATTGTAAACAGACAAAAAGCTTATGAGCAACACTGGAGTGATGCAGAGTTTATAATGCGGTGTGGCCCTTCCACTGCTGGAAGAGTTAACCAAGGGCTTTCAGACACGTGTTGCTAGGAGTGTAACGGTACATGCATTCAATTTACTTCAAGAAAAGTTTTATTTAAATGTAATTAAAGACATTTATACAAAAGAAAACCGTTTTTTTCCCCAACTTTGTTCCCTCACTGCAACCCGAATGAACCGAACCGGGATTTCAGGCGTTCCGCTGCATCCCTACTTGATGCCGATGTTTACGATCAGTGACTGAAGTCGTTCATCTTCCTCCTTGTGGCAGATGGTGACAGAGGACCAGTTCTGTGGTCATCAGGGCAATGACATGTACGACGAGGAGAAAGTCAAGTACACAGTGTTCAAGGTCCTGAAGAGCTCCACCTTGCAGGAGTTTGTCCAGAACCTGTCCCAGACCATGGTGAGTGACCCGAGTGTGTGATGTGGGACCGTGTCATCCAATCATCAGGAGCTTTAACACTTCCTCTTTTCACTCATTTTAAAACGCGTCACAAGTCTGAAAGAGAAGGCTTGCTGATTTTCCTGTTTTCTTACCCCCCCCCCCCCCCCCCACACACACACACATGCACACTTCACTGTGTTTTCTCAGTTTGATTGTCAGATGTCACAAAAGAAGCATACACGCGTAGATACAGTTTTGTTGAATCACCATTCGCGTCTCATTTATTTATTGGATTCCAGATTTTTCCTGTGAACGATAAGCCCCATAAAGACTGCTGTGTCTTTGTGCTGCAGGGTTTCCCACAGGAGCAGATGAGGCTGTGGCCCATGCAGGCCCGTAGCAACGGAACCAAGCGACCCGCCATGCTCGACTACGAGGCTGACAGCAGCAAGCCGGTTGGTGTTCCTGGGGGTTATTGAGTATTTATGTTTTAAAGTCCCACACTCGTGTCCTACAGTTGTAGCTGTGTTTTAAACAGTGCAGCTCTTTTATAAGCGCAGCAACGCGAATCACCAGAAAACACTGTTTCAGACGTTTGTATGTTTTTAATTCAGATGATCGACTTGAGCGACAACGAGAACCCCTGGACAATTTTTCTGGAGACGGTGGATCCAGAGTTGGCCGCCAGCGGGGCCACATTACCCAAGTTTGACAAAGACCGTGAGTTCCACACATTCTCTCATGCGGGCACATACCAGGGTTCCCGTGGGGTCGTAAAGGTTTAAAAGCATTGAATTTAGGAATTTAGAAATAATACCTTAAAAAGTCTTGAATTTAGACCACTGGGTCTTAAAATGTGTTCTTTATGTAAATTCTTTGCACTGTATTTGTCCTCTAGTTTCATTTGTCAACCACAATCATTTTTATTAAATAACGTAGCGTAAATAAAGAGTAGTGGAACCAATAATGGAGAATGTCGCAACCTCAGCTCCTAACATGGGACGTATTCAGCTCCCGCGCTACAGCAGTGATACAAAACGGTAAATATAACACAGACCTCCAGCAGAGGAGAAACGCGGAAAATCTCAGCAGACCATGAGAAAGGTTGACTGACGCCTAGGGCTGGGTGTCAGACCTCTGGATCTCTTTGGGACTGAGTGAAAACATTTGGTGGGTACCGATCTCAGGAAAAAAAAAAGTATTAAAATGTCCCTGTGGGCCACCGCGGGTCACATGACTGATCCCGAGTCATGGTATGAGTAGAGGAGACACTTCTCTGCAGTTTACAGATATAAATGCAAAAAGTCTCAAAAGTTTGGGTGCTTTTTGCAAAAGTAAACAGCAGCTAAATGCAACACAGGCGAGAAGTTTGTACAGCAAAAATCAGGAATAGTAGCAATATAACAAAGCACCTCCTCGTGCAGAGCATCGTCTTGAGTAGCGATGGGTACCGAATTCGGTACCTTTTAAGGTACTGACCGAATTCCACAGTACCGACTGAGCACCGATTCACGTCATTTGAAACAGTGCCTCGTTTCGGTAACCGTCCTTCATAATGAGAACTTGCCTAAACAGCTGCGCATGCGCAAGAGAGTTACGTCCATCGCTGCGAGCCAGTTGTAAACAGAGCAGCATGGTAGAAAGAACGCACGCTAAAGCTTGGGTCCACTTCACTAAATGTGATGGGTTACTGGGTGATGATGAAACCAGCGACAACGATCTAAGTGAGACATCCTCATCTTAATCTGCTCCGGTAGGTAAATAAAATGTTTAAGATAACGTTAGCTTGATATGTTAGCTTCCGTTCTGCTAAGGGTGCGTTTGCTTTCTCCTCGGAACTCCGAATTTCCGACTAGAAGAACATGAACGCGCTCTAAAGTTTGGCTTCACTTTACTAAATGCGACGGGTGATTGGGTGAAGATGAAACCAGTGACAACGATCTAAGTGTGAGGCATCATCGTTTTAATCTGCTCCAGCAGCTAAATAAACTGTTTAAGATAACGTTAGCTTGGTATGTTAGCTTCCATTGCCACCATTGTTATCAGCTAATGGTGCGTTCGCTTTCTCCTCGGAAATTCTAACTTCCCAGTAGGAAAAATCTAATGAAAAAAGACGGTAAAAGGAATGAAGATACACAGTAAATTTAGTTCACAGTAAAGATGTTTGCTTCAGTTTAATTATCAGCTTATAAAACTACAAGGACCGATGTTAAAATACAAACAGTTGAATGATATTTATCGTGATATTTATCAAATATGGTTATATATTGAGAAAAAAATATATTTAATTATAAAAGAGAATTAATATATTAAACACTCAAAAGTATCGAAAATTGGTACCGTTAAGTACCGGTATCGATTCCTAGGTACCGGGAATTAGTACCAAATTGATTCAAATGTCAAAGGTACCCATCCCTAGTCTTGAGAGCCGAAACATGGAAAGTCTTTGGCTGCAAAAAAGTAAACTTGAGTCCATCATCTTCCAAAACCCTGGAGGAGTCTGAGGATGGAGGCTGATAAAAGCAGAAATAGGACATTAAACCACCTTGCCTGCAGTTTACCAGCATTATTACTACTGTTACTGACATAATGGGAAGCATTAGTCTAGTTTTATACATACATTTCAATTTTGTGCCTTTAATGTTTGCATTGTAGCTTTGCTCTGTTTTTACTTTGGAAAACATATATAAATAAAGTATAATAAAATAAATATAATATAAACAATAAGAACAAAACCTTTTGTTTGTTACCCTCTCTTTAAATAAAAAATATATAGATTTCAACAGAAGTATTAAGGTACTGCCATCAAAAACCAGGTTATCGTTAAACATCAATAGATATCTCCTGGTACCCAGCCCTACTGATGCTGTTATATTTGAGACACGTGTTTTACGTTGCCTAGCTACCCTTTCTGTGAACCGCTCTGCTACTGTTCTCTACTGAGTGTTTTGGCAAATATATAATAAAAAAGAAGATAAATAAAATAACACAAGTTCAAGGATTTGTTTTTGCCGGTCGGTCTGTGAAATAATTATTTACATAAGTGGTCTTGACAAGGTCTTAAAAAGTCTTGAATTTAACTTGATGAAACCTGTAGGAACCTTGACAAACCAGTAAAAATGTTTAGAGCCATTTTGTGTCTGTTTACAAAGATAGTTACTATTTCACCTGTGGTAGATGCTTCTTCAGCTGCTTTTATTGGAAGGAATGTGGTTTAGGTTTGACATGAGCTAGCTACTAGCTCAGCCTTAGCTAACACAGCATTCTTAAAACGGCTCCAGTCCCTAAAACTCCTCATTACAGGTGCTGGCCAGTAAATTAGAATATCATCAAAAGGTTGAAAATATTTCAGTAATTCCATTCAAAACGTGAAACTTGTACATTATATTCATGCAATGCACACAGACCAATGTATTTCCAATGTTCATTACATTTAAATTTGATATTCATAAGTGACAACTAATGAAAACTCCAAATTTGGTATCTCAAAAAATTAGAATATTCTGAAAAGGCTGAATATAGAAGACACCTGCTGCCACTCTAATCAGCTGATTTACTCAAAACACCTGCAAAGGCCTTTAAAAGGTCCCTCAGTCTTGTTTTGAAGGCACCACAATCATGGGGAAGACTTCTCACTTAACAGCTGTCCAAAAGACAATCATTGACACCTTGCACAAGGAGGGCAAGACACAAAAGGTGATTGCTAAAGAAGCTGGCTGTTCGCAGAGCTCTGTGTCCAAGCACATTAACAGACAGGCGAAGGGACGGAAAAAATGTGGTAGAAAAAAGTGTACAAGCTCTAGGGATAACCGCACCCTGCAGAGAATTGTGACGACAAACCCATTCAAAAATGTGGGGGAGATCCACAAAGAGTGGACTGCAGCTGGAGTCAGCGCTTCAAGAACCACCACGAGGAGACTCATGAAAGACATGGGATTCAGGTGTCGCATTCCGTGTGTCAAGCCACTCTTGAACAAGAAACAGCGCAAGAAGCGTCTCGCCTGGGCCAAGGACAAAAAGGACTGGACTGATGCTGAGTGGTCCAAAGTTATGTTTTCTGATGAAAGCAAGTTCTGCATTTCCTTTGGAAATCAAGGACCCAGAGTCTGGAGGAAGAGCGGAGAAGCACAGAATCCACGTTGCATGAGGTCCAGTGTAAAGTTTCCACCGTCAGTGATGGTGTGGGGTGCCATGTCATCTGCCGGTGTTGGCCCACTCTGTTTCCTGAGGTCCAGGGTCAATGCAGCCGTCTACCAGGAAGTTTTAGAGCACTTCATGCTTCCTGCTGCTGACCAACTTTATGGGGATGCAGACTTCACCTTTCAACAGGACTTGGCACCTGCACACAGTGCCAAAACCACCAGCACCTGGTTCAAGGACCATGGTATCCCTGTCCTTAATTGGCCAGCAAACTCGCCTGACCTTAACCCCATAGAAAATCTATGGGGTATTGTGAAGCGGAGGATGCAATACGCTAGACCCAACAATGCAGAGGAGCTGAAGACGACTATCAGAGCAACCTGGGCTCTCATAACACCTGAGCAGTGCCACAGACTGATCGAGTCCATGCCACGCCGCATTACTGCAGTTATTGAGGCAAAAGGAGCCCCGACTAAGTATTGAGTGCTATACATGCACATTCTTTTCATGTTCATTCTTTTCAGTTGGCCAACATTAGAGAAACAAACATTTTTTCATTGGCCTTTAGAATATTCTAATTTTCTGAGATACCAGATTTGATGTTTTCATTGGTTGTCACCTATAAATATCAAATTTAAATGTAATGAACATTGGAAATACATAGGTCTGTGTGCATTGCATGAATATAATGTACAAGTTTCACGTTTTGAATGGAATTACTGAAATATTTTCAACCTTTTGATGATATTCTAATTTACTGGCCAGCACCTGTACATGGATGTTTTAGGAGAAGTAATCAGAAAATCCTGTGGCCAACAAAAGTGCTGCATTTAACTGCAGCTGGTGATATTTATGCCACACATGCAGAAATACTTGTGTAGAGTTTTAATGATGTCACAGCTGACATGTGGAGCTTTGTTGCACATCAGAGGCAATCCCTAACCTCTGAATTCTGTTTTTGTTACGGAAAATCTTCTTTCTTTTGTCACATTTTGGGAGGCAGAAGTACTAGTTACGAGTACAAATACTTATGTTTGAGTACATGTTGATACCAAGAACTGATAAATGTCGCAACACTTAAAACAAGCCTATAGGTTATTCTCATTAAAGGGTCTTTACGAAGTTTTGAATTTTTATGCTCGCGATTGCCCCCTCAGGCCAAAAGCGTAACGGCAGCTTCAATAGTAGGCTCGTGCACGAGGCGCGCATGCTGTACGTGCACACTCCTTAACGAAAATAACAGCTGAGACAGTCCCTTGTGTGTGTGTGTGTGTGTGTGTGTGTGTGTGTGTGTGTGTGTGTGTGTGTGTGTATGTGTGTGTGTGTGTGTGTGTGTGTGGGTGTGTGTGTGGGTGTGTGGCCCGGAGGACAGAGGACAGGAGAACGCGCAGCTAATTAAATAATTTGGTTCTGTACCTTTCTCTTCAGCACAGCCGACAAAGGTTTAAGATGGGTCAGTCCTCCTGCATGCTCAGATCATTCCCTTCCCTTGCTTGAAAAATTGTTCCAAAATGAAAGTTGAACCCACATCTTTTTTATCTGTGAATTCAATGCCATTCGGCGAGTCTCAAATAAAAATTTGGGCATCTTACTGTAAAAAAATATACCATTAATGTAAAAAAATAAACTCTAAATAAATTATGTTCACATCCAGAATTGAACCCAGGTCTTCTGCACGAGAGTCCGATGTCTTCTTAGGTGAGCTAAAGCGCCGTTGATGTACTTTGTATCTGTAACATTTATATCCTTGATGACAGCTGAAACAACGTTCAAAGAACGGTTCGGAGCGAAAATGGCTATTTTGTTGCTAATTTGCAGGAAATATCTAGAAGAAAGTTCTACAGAAAGTAGATCAGACTTATGTTAAGCATAATTCTGCGCACACGAAGATGCATAAGAGACCTGGATGATGAAGCTCAATGGTTAAAGGAATCACTGAAGCGGTGTGAAGCGCTCCGTCGCGCGTCTAGGAGACGGTACCATAGGAGGCGAGCTGCCATGGTTCGCCGCATGCTACAGGAGCAAGCTATCTAGGTGCACACAGCGTCCCCCGGTCACCCCCTCCTCCCTGTCCAGAACTCGACCTCACCAGTCTGAAGCAGCCACCTTGTCCGTAACAAGTCCGGACCTGTTACTAGGGGCTTTGTCCGGTTTAATTACGGAAAACGTTATCCGGATGTATTCAGACACAAAGGTCTTATGGACAGAGTCCGGAACATTTACGCTTTTCGTGGCCTGTCCGAAGGGGACTTTACTGTGACACAATGTTAAGTTTGAACTCTGCATGTTTTTAACCAGCAGCCACATCTTTTACTGGTTTTACCAAAACTCACTTATTAGATTCAGCCCTTTAAAGAGGGCATACAAGGAAATTTTCCTTTCGTTGTGATCGTTTTATGGTCAATACTAAATACTAAATCCCTCTTATATGACATACTTTCAGCAGCTTTATTCCTGATATTTTCAGAACCTTTCAGAGTGAGCCGTTTCAGGAGCTGGCCACGCCCACCCAGCCCCCTGCTCAGGCTGCTATAAGCCAAGAAGCTCTTGAGAGAAGAGTCGCTGCTCCTCCAGCAGCAATAGAAGTTGTTGTCCCTAAAGTACCTCCTCGGTAGGAATGTCTCCTACTCACTTATGCGATTCTGTTTTTTTGTTGTTGTTTTTTTAGATGATGTCATGTTGTTCTTGAAGATGTACGACCCCAAAACCAGAAGCTTAAATTATTGTGGACATATCTACACACCTATATCCTGTAAAATAAGTAAGTAGCGACCTCCATGCCTGCTTCAGCTGAAGCTCGTCTGTCCAGTACTGTGTGGAGGTTTCATGATGTCATCTTTTCTCGCCGTTACCAGGAGACTTGCTGCTCATCATGTGTGAGAGAGCAGGGTTTCAGCGGGAAACGAGCCTTATCCTCTATGAGGTAACTCGCTGTGGTCTTCATTCTGAAGCTGCCTTTGTCTTTGATGTGTTTCAGTCTGAGAACCTCATGTTGGGATTACAGTCACTACCTTCCTCTGTGTGCTCTAGGAAGTAAAGCCCAATCTAACGGAGCGGATACAGGACTACGATGTCTCTCTGGACAAGGCCCTGGATGAGCTCATGGACGGGGACATAATAGTCTTCCAGAAGTAAGCCTTGTCCCGTGTTAGACTCTGTGCAGCAATAATGACTCGTACACATTCTGGTTGCAATCCTGCCATGATTTAGTGTTCCTCTCGGCACCTTAGAGACAAAAAAGTGTGAATGATCCATCAAAATGTGCGATTCAACCAGGAATGGTGTGTTGTGATTTTCTGGTGCTGCTTAGTTGGATAGAGAAGAAATTCCAGGTAAGCAACGAGGAATTCAGCAAAACAAGTGAGAAGACTCCAAACTGGGTTAGGCTCGAGCGTCTTGATGGGTGTCGGGAACGTGGAGTTTACAGAACTCAACCACCCGAGCTCCGAGGTTTCTGCAAACGAGCTTTTCTCGTTCAAACGTTTCTAAACGTTTCTTATAGAGTCTACGGTGGAATCTCAGGGCTTCGAGTTTCTGTGTTCTGCTCGAGTTTTTTCTGACTCATCGTTGCTCTGACTTTTCCTGCCTACAATTTCCTCTCCTCAAACCCCCCCCCCCCCCCCCGCAGAGACGACACAGAGAACGACAGCAGTGAGCTGCCCACGGCCAAGGACTATTTCCGGGATCTCTACCACCGGGTGGACGTCATTTTCTGCGACAAGACCATCCACAACGACCCGGGCTTTGTGGTCACGCTCTCCAACCGCATGAACTATTTTCAGGTACGACCAGTAGTGACATTTGGCTCTGAGGGGCGATGACTGGGGTGTTTATTTAGAAAAACTGGGTTAGATTTTAGTTGTGCATCAGAATCTCTGTTGTTCTGTGAAGCAGCAGACCGGTTAGGTCACCTGATCACCTGTCTGTTTCTGTCAGGTGGCTAAGACCGTTGCACAGCGGTTGAACACGGATCCCATGCTGCTGCAGTTCTTCAAGTCCCAGGGGTAGGAGCCTTGTCTCTTCCATTCCCACACCAATGCCCCGCTCTCCTCCTGTGCACGTTTAAAGCGGCGACAGCCAGAGTTCTTCTTGAGCGCCAGTAGAAATGTTGTGTAACCTGTCCCCCCTCCACCTGTCTTTGTTTTCCTCTTCCTCCTCCCTCTGTCCCTCTCGTCACGTCTCCTTCCCTCTGTTCTCTCACTCCTCCGTCCTTCCCTTGGTCGTCCTCCCCCCCTGCCTGGTGGTGTGGTGGCCAGGTACAGGGACGGTCCAGGGAATCCTCTCAGACACAACTATGATGGGACATTGAGAGACCTGCTGCAGTTCTTCAAGCCTCGGCAGCCCAAGAAACTTTATTACCAGCAGGTAGGGAGGGGTCCAAACGCGCCTTTGCTCCTGTTGATGAGTGGAAACGAAGCCCAGTAGCGTAGTCGTCAACGTGAACTCATCAGCGTTCATATTGTGTGTTTCTGCAGCTAAAGATGAAGATAACAGACTTTGAGAACAGGAGGAGTTTTAAATCCATATGGCTCAACAGCCAGCTCAGAGAGGAGGTGACCCACGCAGCTCCTGAAATCCGTTTCTTCAGCAGCTAAAGTGATGGCGGCTAAATGTTCTGCGTGTGTTGCAGGAGATCACCCTCTACCCTGACAAGCACGGCTGTGTGAGGGACCTGTTGGAAGAATGTAAAAAGGTGGTGGAGCTGTCGGAAAGCGGCTCTGAGAAGCTCAGGTACACACGGATCGATCATGTAGGAAACGTTTGGCTGATCCAGAAGTTTCTGTTTCTGAATCGTTGGGAAATGTTGGGAAAACGATTGTTCGAAGCAGCTGCTCCTCTCTCCCTGCAGGCTGTTAGAGATAGTAAGCTATAAAATCATCGGGGTTCATCAGGAGGACGAGCTGCTAGAATGTTTATCTCCTGCTGCCAGTCGCACCTTCAGAATAGAGGTACGAGTGTGTTTGGGGTTTATTTTTAGCTCTTTTACCTCCCCCTGCTTCCTGCTGCATCAGTACTTAAAATATTTAGCTCTCTGTTGGAAAATGAACAGCACGTGAATCCCACACAGCTTTGGTTCACCTCTGAGGAGCAGGGAGGGAAAGCAGCAAACATTGCTTTAAAATTCCTCCTCTTTAATCTTATTCTTCACATTTTTGTGTTACCAACCAGTGTTTTGATTCTGACTGCTCCGATTTACGGTTTGTTCATCAGGAGATTCCTCTGGACCAGGTGGACTTGGATAAGGACACTGAAATGTTAATCCCAGTCGCTCATTTCCATAAGGAGGTCTTTGGCACCTTTGGGATTCCCTTTTTGCTCAAGATCAGACAGGTGTGTGTGTGTGTGTGTGTGTGTGTGTGTGTGTGTGTGTGTGTGTGTGTGTGTGTGTGTGTGTGTGTGTGTGTGTGTGTGTGTGTGTGTGTGTGTGTGTGTGTGTGTGTGTGTTTTTTTTTGGGGCACACATCAATCCTTACCAGTATTTGTCTGATTTTCATCATTTTTAATCTCTTATGCAGGGTGAGCCGTTTCGGGAGGTGATGAGGAGGATCCAGACCATGCTGGACATTCAGGAGAAAGAATTTGAGAAGGTATGCATCATCCACCGAACCATCATCGTCCGCTTATCCAGGGTTGGGTTGCAGGGGCAGCAACCTAAGCAGGGAGGCCCAGACTCCCCTCTCCCCAGCCACTTGGGCCAGATCTTCCACGGGAATCCCAAGGTGTTTTCTGGCCAGACGAGGAACATAGTTCAGGGATTAAAGTTCTCCGTCGTGGCGACGGAAATCCGTCAGTTGGAATAATCAGAAAAAAGTTCTGTCAAAATCTCTTCCCTCTCACTCTCTCGCTCTCGTTGCTAATTGAAACGTGCACCGCCCAAGCTGCAAAAACTCGTGCACTCATCGTTCGCTCCTGCACAAACAAACTGCGCGCGCACCAGGCGCGGGGGTCTAACAGAGCCAATAACGCTCTGATATCACAAAGAGCGTTAACGTGGGAACCCGGATCTAAATTCCCGGTGGACCGATCTGAGGTCAGTGTTTTTAGTCGTCTTTGTATTTTTCGGGCCGGTGTTCAGTCACGACACTCTGCTGATCACCTGCTGATGAGAGGATTTCTCCTGTCAGTGGAACAGGTGAGCTGCTGAACAAGAGTTAGTTCCTAGAAACACTTTCTATGGCCAGACTGTAGTGACCTGTTATTTATAATTTTATAATTAATATTAAGTGAATGCACTAAACCCACAAATGATAGATTAGATTAAGTATTATTAATCATATTACTATCGGTTCTGTTCATCACTTTTATGGACAGAATTTCTAGACGCAGCCGTGGTGTGGAGTGTGTCGAGTTTGGTGGCAGGAGAATCTCGTCTCTGCTTTTTGCGGATGATGTGGTCCTCCTAGCTTCATCCAGCTCTGACCTTCAGCTCTTGCTGGGTAGGTTCGCGGCCGAATGTGAAGCGGCTGGGATGAGGATCAGCACCTCCAAATCTGAGACCATGGTTCTCGACCGGAAAAGGGTGGCTTGCCACCTCCGGGTCGGGGGAGAGGTCCTACCTCAAGTGGAGGAGTTTAAGTATCTCGGGGTCTTGTTCTCGAGTGAGGGTAGGAGGGATCGGGAGATCGACAGGCGGATTGGTTCGGCGTCTGCAGTGATGCGGACGCTGAGCCGATCTGTCGTGGGGAAGAGGGAGCTGAGCCAGAAAGCCAGGCTCTCGATTTACCGGTCGATCTACGTCCCAATCCTCACCTATGGTCATGAGCTTTGGGTAACGACCGAAAGAACGAGATCGCGGATACAAGCGGCCGAAATGAGTTTCCTCCGTAGGGTGGCCGGGCTCAGCCTTAGAGATAGGGTGAGGAGCTCGGACATTCGGGAGGGACTCGGAGTAGAACCGCTGCCCCTCCGGATCGAGAGGAGTCAGTTGAGGTGGTTTGGGCATCTGGTCAGGAAGCCTCCTGGACGCCTCCCCGGGGAGGTGTTTCGGGCATGTCCTGCCGGCAGAAGGCCCCCGGGTCGACCCAGGACACGTTGGAGAGGTTACATCTCCAATCTGGTCCGGGAACGCCTTGGGGTCCTGTCGGAGGAGCTGGTGGACAAGGCCGGGGAGAGGACGGTATGGAGCTCCCTAATTGGGATGCTGCCCCCGCGACCCGGACCCGGATAAGCGGAGGAAGACGAAGACGAATATTACTATCAAATGTAAATAAGTATAACCGATAACTAATCTTAATGAAAAAATTATATTAATTTTATTTTAATATTGATTATATTTAATTTCTACGGTTTGGATGTCTGTGAACATTACAGAATATTCAGACTGGTGAAAAGAACGTGATATTATTAATAACAGGTCATGATCCAAAGCTGGTCTGAGATGTAAAGCTCTACCCTGGGCCTAAAGCCCTGCAGATATATTTCGTTTCTGTAAACAACAACAACAAATAAACAACAGCAGCTGGATTCTACTTCCCTAAATTGAGTCACGTAGTTTTGCAAGTTCTGCAGCTCACACGTTCACCAGGGAGCTCTGCCAGCTGATTGGTTCTTTAGTAACTAGTGCAGTTCTCGAAGCGGCTCCTTTTTGCGCACATCTCGTTACTCGTGCGGCCTTCCTCTTCTCTCTCAGCTACACAATGATACTTTTTATCGATTGAATATGTGAGATTTCCACCAACAGCAAAAGGATCTCATGTTTTTGTGGGTTTTTTATGTTCACAAGCACATTCCCTCTCACTAGGGCTGCAACAAACGATTATTTGGATAATCGATGAATCGGATGGGGTCTCGACACGATTAATCGATTAATCGGATTACATAGGGACATTTTTAAAAACTGCTAGGGAAACGTTATTTTTCTCCTTCCTTCACTTTATTAAACACAGCATTATTAGAAAACAGTTCAGTAGCAGAAAAACAACATGCCATCACCTAAATTGTCTTATAAGGTGTATAGACAGAGATCCTAAGCTACATCTACATCTGTGACCTAAAATGCTTGGTCCAAGTTAAACAGCTTAAAGAGCAAGTCAACCCCTACCAGTGTCTAACTCCACTCCCACTTCATGTTTGAAAAATGCAACACATGCTGTTGCCTGGCAGACCGAGAGGGCGGAGCCGCTAACAAATACACACACACTCAGGCTCACGACAGCATTGTGACATCATAATGTACCAGTTTACATCATAGCATACCTCTTAGCCAATAGCGGTGGCAGATTTAAATTCAATTGCAGTGCAGAGTTTTTACCTGACAACGGCACAACACTGCCAGTTTTAGGCAGAATATTTAAATTTTAACTAAGATGCACTGAAGTGCCAAATTATTGACGACACGTGTCTGCAGCACGATTAGACACTCGTTTATTTAGTTTATCAGCAAAAAAAAGTTGATTTGGGGGTGACTTGCTCTTTAAGGGCAAATCTCATCTGTTTTGTTTGATCTCATCTGTAGACATTTATTATAATTGGGGGTGTCAAACAACTAATTTTTAAATGTAATTAAACATAGGCTGTGAATTAATCAAAATTAATCACTATTTCCAAAAATGACTGAAAAAATACCAAATAAAACAAAAGTAAATGAATGCCATCCTCCTTGTGATGATGCCCTGGGCAACTGCCATAAAGTCACATCTAGAGATGCTGCTGATCATTCCAATGATCCCAAATAGACTCACATTAGGCCACATGAAAGCAACTGAACCCAAAAATATATTAACCAGTATATAACTGCACTCTCACACAACACGCCTGCAGCAACAGTTAGGACTCCTCCCTCCCTTTTAAAAGCATGTTCGCTTCCGAGGACATTGTGATTGTAAAGCCACATGCTAGTAGTCTGGCTCCGGTGTGATCAACCACTTTATGTGGGAATGTGATGGCGGAACCGGTTCGCAGCAGCGCAAGTCTCCCCCCCCCCCCCCCCCCCCCCCATGTTTCTGAGATGTTTCGGCTGCTTCAGGCCTCCGTACATGTTAACCTGGTCAAACGTCACTCCACCCAAAAAGCCCGCTAAAACACGAACATCTCTAAAAGGGAAAACGCAGAAGCAGAACTTGAACCTGGAGATTTGGGGTGGTCGGTTTCTTCTGCTGCAAGTGAAACATGATTGAAAGCATCTGAGTGAAGTCTTTGTGTTTTTTGTTTTTCAGTTTAAGTTTGCGATTGTGATGATGGGCCGACATCAGTACATCAATGAAGACGAGTACGAGGTCAACCTGAAAGACTTTGAGCCTCAGCCAGGTATTTACAGCTGACTTTACAGACACCTCTTTGAGCAGGGGTGTCCAAACATTTCAAGACACAGTCCAAAGTCATCACGTTGATGCCCTTAAGAACCCGAACCCTTCAGAAATGAAAACAGACTGGAATAAATACTCCAAAGTGTAGAAAGAAGTAAAATACTTTTCCATATATGTATTGATAGAATGTCATTGAGGTTAACTGGAATATGGTGCTCAAGAAGCAATTTTGCAGGTGTTTGCAATGGGCTGAGACACTGGTGGTCTTTTATTTATTTATTTATTTATTTATTTATTTATTTATTTATTTATTTTTTTACATTTGCTGTAGTCAGAGTACAGCACTGCCTTAACTCTTGGGCATGGATTTCACTAGAGCTTCATAGATTGCCGCAGGAATCCTCTTCTATTCCACGATGACATCACGAAGCTGGTGGATGATAGACATCTTCTGTCCCACAGATGCTGAATTGGGCTTAGGTCTGGAGACGTGCTCGGCCAGTCCAGCACCTTTACCCTCAGTGTCGTTAACAAGGCAGTGGTTGCTTTGGAAGTGTGTTTGGGGTCGTTGTCATGTTGGAAAAGTGCTCTGTGGCCCAGTGAGCAAAGGGAGGCGGTCATGCTCTGTTGCGGTTCGAACACAGTACATGTTGGCATCCATGGTTCCTTTAATGAGCTGTAGTTCCCCAGTGCCGGCAGCACTCGTGCAGCCCCAAACCACGACACTCCCACCACCGTGCTTGACAGCAAGCAAGACACATCTGTCTTTGTACTCCTCACTTGGTTGCTGCCACACATGCTTGACACCACCTGAACTAATACGTTCATCTCGGTCTCATCAGACCACAGGATGTGGTTCCAGTATTCCATGTCCTGAGTCTGCTTGTCTTCTTGTGCATCATCTTTAGAAATGGCTTTCTTCTGGGATGATGCTAGGTGTGGCGTCTGGGTTGGCAGGCTGGCTCTCATCCCTTCAATATCTGCAGCAATGCTGGCAGCACGCACAGGTCTATTTTCAAAAGCCAACCTCTGGACATGACACTGAGCACGTGCACTTGCTGCTTTGGTCGACCATGACGAGGCTTGTTTTGAGTGTAACCTGAGGCAGCAGCAGCTCAGGAGTCCTCTGACTCTGAAGATGCTGTACAAGTGCGGGTCATCATTACCGTGTCCTACCGCTGTACGGGCGTAGCCACGGTGTTTGTGACAGCCATCTTTACTTTTTCACATCCTCAGAAAGAAATCTTTGGTGCTGCGGTAAACTTCTAGTGACCAGTACGAGTGAGACGATGACGTCAGATTTAACACAACTGCTCCCCATTGACACCTGAGACGTTGCAACACTAACGAGTCACATGACAGCAGGAAGGCGAAGGGGCTAATTAGTCCCAGTTTGTACGTTTTCATTTAGGGTTTGCTCACTTTAGCAGTTCAGACTTTAATGGTTTCATGTTGATCTATTTTTAAGGAAATTCAAAAGTACACCATTAAACAAGGTGTACTCTGATTACTTTACATTCTCTCCGAGTCTCGTATCTTTAGTGTTGTTCCTAGAAAATATATAATAAAATATTTGCAACAATGTCAGGGGTTGAGTCACTATTGTGAGATACTGTAGGTCTGTCCTACTGAGGACACGTGACGCCCCGAGTTACAAAAACACACTTCAGTGGCCCCCTACGAGACCGACTGTCGTCACAGGATGTTTAGATTGAAAATAACACGACGTGGTTCATAGGAGGAGACTTGAGTAGAGTTTTGCCGTTGGCCTCGTGCAGAAGTCCGTGTCTACCCCAGCTGCTTTCCGATTCCAGTTTACATGATGCTTAGTATTTGTGTTTCTGTCCTGGAATTCCCAGTAACGGTCAGACAACTGGTGCACGTGTTTGTTAGAAATGCGATGGCAATGAGATTCCACACAAATGTCCTCATTTTCTTAATTTATTCAACATTTCAGATTTTCAGGGAAACATTTGGGGTTCAGCAGTCCAGTCCAAAGAGACCCAGTGTCCCTAGGCTGGTCTGAGCTGTGGTTGTCCAGGGGAGCTCGTCAGTCCAGTCGTGTCTTGCTAAGCTGTCACCATTACGATATGAAACGGGTTTCTGAAACAGGAATGAATGATTAGAGCAGGAGACTCTCCTAACCCCCTCCTGGACATTTGTCCTCCACAGGTAACATGTCCCACCCGCGTCCCTGGCTAGGGTTGGATCATTTCAACAAAGCTCCAAAGAGAGGACGCTACACGTACCTGGAGAAAGCTATCAAGATCCACAACTAAAGCAAGGAACC